ATTTTATCGACCGCACTATTCAATGTATCTCTTGCATGCTCGAGTGATATTATTATTAAATTTTGTAGTTAAAGATATACATATGTACCTGTATGAAGGAGTAAACTATGGTCTAAAAAAGATCGACATTGTTTTCATTTTTTATACATTTCACGGTATAACTATTAATCACTAATTACTTTTATATAAAAGTATATATCTTTACATATACATTGACATTCTATAGATATTTCTTGGTATATAGTATGTAACGGCTTGTCAGCCGGCCTTCTTGTATAAGGGCTAGTGATGTGCCGAATACAACCACGAGCGAGACATGACAAGTTATTTATAACCCATTTAATGTGTGTGTGTGTGTGTGTAGCATCATTCTTCATTCTTTTAAATTCTTTGTAAGCAAACAACCAATTGAAACATTTACCAATCTCTGACCCGAAAACGCTTGCGACAAAAAGCATGCGTTAGTGTAAAATTAAGATTTAGTAGTGAATCCTATCAGAAAAGATGACCTACCAAATATGTCATAATGCATTTTCTTGTGTATTATAATGGTTATTATTATATTCATGCTACACGTTTTATATTCAATCATATAGGAGCAATATAATTAGAAATATTGACTACTTAAAATATCGATTTCAATTTTTCTTTTGTCTATAACAATAGTCAATCAAGCAGCGAAAACATATATACAAGTAGGTAATTGAATATATCGTAGGCTTGTTAAATGTAAAGGATATTTCAAAACTACATGTATTAATGACGCTTTGAACATTTATTAATATGTAAGTATAAACGTGCAAAAATGGCAACAATTAGCCGGAAAGGACCTAAACGAACGGAATTTGAAATAATGGATACAACATTCAGTCCAACTGGAAAAGAAACACTTGAACCAAAAGAGAGTCAGTTAAATATTACGAGTAAAAATCACAATGTGAGTAACGCAGACGAAGCTAATTCAGGGGATATTTCAATGAACATTAGAAATCCAACACCATCTAGCGAAACAATAACTCCTGAGCGGATCCGCCCAGTCGACTGTGATACTTGTCATTTAACTAAGGATATAGACACGGTAATGTTTTGCAGGAAATGCAAACAGAAGCTATGTGATTCATGTCTGGAAATTCATAATCGCATTGGAGGGACCAGGACTCACTGTAAATCAATTGAAAAATGTGTAAGTAGATTGATTTCAACAACAATAAATAGAATGCACGTAGCAGCTATATGAAATATTTAAAACAAAATGTTGCAACAAAAATCGTATTTTTCAAAAGCAAATATTTGTAAAACAGAACTCAGCTTTAAAATATATATTTTTAAGAAACATTGCTTAAACCATCGGGGAACCTAGATTTTTTTCAGCGTAAAAATATAAAACTGGTTTTATGTAACACATCTGTTTGAAGGAAAAATCATGTAAATTTGCCAATAGAGATAGAGAGAAGAGTAAAGCTAATGATCATACTATGATATTCGTTATTTGAAAAAGTTTCATTTTATTTTTATTTATTTATTTATTTATTTATTCAGTGGCCAGAGGGAGAAATTCTTAACAAGTCGGTTATAACTAGACTTATGAAAGAGCGAGAAGTAGATATAGAACAGTTATCTACAGACCTATCCAACGAGCTTGGTTTGCATGTGAGTCTCTTATATGAAACAGATGATCTTGAAATACGGGCACCGTCTGGCGACATTCTTGAACTGGCTATTGACACAATATGCGCGGGTAAAAAACCTGCCTCGAAAAGAGTCAGTTATGGTTTGATAGAGTGGACGCTAGAAGGTTTTTATGCACATGCTATAACAAAACTACTTAAAAGGCAACTTGAAACTTTGATTGACACATATGACTTGAGCGTCTTGAAAAAACATAATTCTGAAACAGCAGTGCAGCCAGTACATCTCTCGAGAAGAAGTGACAAGTCTAATTTTGATAAAAATACAGCTTCCGAAGTAGAACCGCATTTTGGTTTCAACGGAAACATAGAATTAACTATAGCATCAAGTTTTGACAACTATTATGCCGTTAATTGTGAAATCGAGGGATTTAAAGACGAGGTGGAAACCCTTAGAAAAGCTGAAGTATTTCGACCGAAACATGATGAATTCCGAATGAAGCTGTATGTACTAATGAAAGAAAATAATGATGACGTATTATGTCACATGGAAAAGACAGACAGCGTTTTTAAGCTTGTAATACAAGGGACTGACGACAAAACTGTGAACAACGTGAAACAGGAATTCCTCAGTTTGTTCTGTAAAGGTAAACTTTATATAACAATATTACAACTTTGTTTTAAAGAAATATGACGAATTTCCGGATATTTACAACATAGCAGAAAATAAAAACACAGTAATGTCCGAACAACCGATTGGTAAAAGTCTTAAACTGTGAGCAAAAGCCGCTTTACAGATAAAAATTTGATTACCAATTTGATTTTATTCTTGATTATATTCTTTCCTCTTGTGGCTGAGGGGTTGCCTTTACAGATTTAGGCATCAGAATAGCAGCCACCGTTCATACATGCGTGATCGTAAGGGGAGACTAAATGGGTTCGAATATTGGAGTCTATGTACCTCTTATCTCAAGCAGGTGAGGTGTTTTTGACCTCTGGTGTTGCTTAAAGTTTGTAACACCCGAGATTAGCCGAAATCATCAAATTCCTATTTCGGCGCCATATGACCTAAACTGTTACAAAAGTAAGTGATTAAGTAAGGATATTCTCCTGTATGAGGAAGCTGTTGAAATATTTATACAAATATGTTTGTACTAAACACCATGTTGCCCACCTAACAGTTACATTTTTTCCTGGTCAGTGCAACAAATCACGTTCATTATCATATCAACTAAGCCGCAATGAAATTGAACGATATTTCTGTACATTATATCATTTGGGAAAGTCAGCTGCATCCAATATATCGATTGAACTAATACTAATGATTGTTGATTAAGTGACAATTTCATACTACCATATAATATCGCATTTATTATTCATAACTCCATAACCAGATGTAGCGCAAAACATTTTAGCTTAATAATGCAAATTCAATCGATGATTACCATGCAATCTATGTGATGTAGTACATAATATCATGCAATTATTAACAGCATTTTAACGCTTCATTTAGAATGTTCATCGTGTAAAAGAGATTCAACACGACCAATCTTTCTAGAATGTAAGCATGTACTATGTCAACATTGCGTAACAAAATCAGCTTCACGAAATGACGGATTACGATGCCCAATATGTTCAGACACAACCAGGGAGAAAACGCCGGTAACTTCGTTAAAACTACGGTGTATGCAAGTTATAGATAGTCATCTGATGGAAAATACACAAACCAGCACTAGTAGACCATTTGGTATTGTCAGAAAACAGGTATTTTTAGTAATCTTTGGTAAAATAATGAATAATGTAAGTTTGATCTTCCTACTATGTTAACAAATCATAAATTTCTTAATGACTTGACGATTTTAAGTTCAGCGTCTAAAGTTCTACCAGTTACCCGATTATTGTCATGTAGTAACACATTAATACACTTGAATCGTTTGCAAAACGGTGAAATGCAAATACCAGGCTTTATTCAATCGTTTGGCCACCATTGTCTGTATAAAAAAGTTTCTATCTCTAACTGAACTGCCTCCTTGAAAGCTGTTTAAAGAACTTCATCTTAATCTTGTTATATTTTTCTGGCACCTTTTGTTTTTTTCTATGGACAGGCCGGTCCAATCAAACTGTGTTTGCCATAATCACCTGTGTATTTCTGTTTTCATTCAAAACGAAAAATATCATTTCCCATAATGTTTGTTAATATAGGTTAAAATTGTGCAATCAACCAGCATTAGAAAAGAAAATTTAATTATTACATGCAAGCAAAGTTTCGCACTATTCCATATGCAGTTGCAATTGATAAGATTTGCGATATTTAGGAAAAATCGGATTTGAATATGATGTTTGACCATCCGTTCTATCACTGGTTTGTTAACAGTATCATTTTCCATACTTTGTTATTTTGATCACAAATTTTGCAATATCAAAATCAAGTTCATATTAAATAGCAATATAAATATAAAACAGATACATTATTTTTTTCAGAGCTCTCTCAGAATAACTCATGTATCGGTGAAGATTCCAAAGTACCTGCTACAGAAATGGAAGAAACTGACTGGAGGGAAATCTCGCCTGAAGAGCGTGATCGAAAACACATATGGATTAAAAGTAGCTGGCGTAGATGATAACATGAAGATATACGGTCAACAGCAAGAAATTCTCGATTTGGCTGTACAAAGCCTTGAGAAACTGAACGAGAAGACGCCCGACATTGGAATTACACAAAGACTCGTTGAGAAAAATGTGGAATGGAGACTTAGAGGAGAACATGCAAGAATTGCTTACTTTTTATTCAACAAAGAGTTGTATGATTTAAGGAGGAAGTTTAATACAGTAACAATACGTGCGTTCACCGAGTCAGAACCGATGATCGTTGACGTCAGGTGTGGATATGAGGAATTTCTAAAAGTCAAGTATGAAATGGAAGAGCTGGAAAATGATATAAAGAATCTTCACACTGACGAATGTGTACAACCAAAGAATTTTTACCATAATGTTAAGATAAAAGAGTACTTGAACAGTAAACGTAGAGATGAACAGGTTCATTGCAATCTAGTTGACAAGAATAACGTGAATGCAGTCGTATTCCGTGGACGGAAAAAAGAATTTATCGTAGCTGCAAAGGAGCAGCTAATGAAGTGGTGACAACCCCGTACAATAAAAGAAAGAAAAAACATGCAAAAAATGCATCTGTGGACCTCAAATAAGTCACAATTGGGCTATTTTTACATTTCCTGATAAACATTGAATACATAAGTATTAATCATTTACCGTTCTTTGTCTGAGTTTGCCCTTAAATGTATACAGTTCTTGGCAAATGTTAGTGTGAAAATGTTTTCATCTATATATTATAACATGGTAAGAAAAACACCTTCGTGTGATATTCACCAGTTTTATTGAAATTATAACCATTCCCAAAAACAAACTCAAATAATTTTTGTGGTAATGGTTCCGATATGTTCAATAGCAACTTCGACAACATCCCCAATCTGGAAATAAAATATGAAAAAGTGAATGATTCCAAAACGTGTACACTGCTATAATATACATATTAGCTTAAAGACCACTTAGCGGCGAGTCGAAAGCCTGGAAGTTTCTCAAAATTAGAATTTGTGAATTTTTTTTTCAACACAGTTAAAATGGCAAATCGGTTCAGACATACCTTGAGCGATTCTGGTGGTGTTCTGCAATAACCAACACCTGGTGGGGAGCCAGTTAAAATCAAATCTCCCGGTTTCAGCGTTATAAACCTGAAAAGATAACCATATTCTTTGTATCAATATTAATCGATTTTATTTAAAAATACTTTTAAATGATGGCTCTGGATCGCTCATCTTTGATTCATTGTTAGAAATGGTCATTATTCATCAAAGCAGACGTAGGCAATTGGGTCATTTTTTTGTCAATAAAACTTTTATGGAGGTATGCCAGGGAATGCAACATGTCAATTTTCTAAGCATTTTGTATTGTGTTATCTGAATATCAGATGTTTACTTATTCCCCTGTAATAGAATGTAAGTGATCTAGAGGCAGGCGATTTTTGAATCTAAAGGCATGAGTTTTTTATCATATTTTGTAAAGGTCTACTTGGAGATATCAAATGTCGAATATGTAAACTCTTGAAATTGTAGTTCCACAGCAGAAGACCTAAATCTGTTTCTATATATTAAGCCCATTAACAAAGTAACCACTTACTATAAGATAGGACCAGTTTTGTCCAAGTGTATGATTTATATAACATTTGTAAAGAAATATATAACACTTATACGTGCCAAATATTATATATGCTTTAGACATTATAGTTTTAGAGCAGAAGATTTTTCAGACGCATTTATTGTATAAGATTTTGCGTTCTGTGAACGTCGTCTTGCCTTGTTGATTTTATTTTTTATAAACAAGGTGGCCCCAAAGAAAGGCCCCTTTTGACTTTAAATGAACTTACAGGAACACGAATTATGTTACATTTTGTAGAGGTCTACTGGGGACATAATATGTCAAATTATTAAGCTCTGTGCAGTGTAGTTTTATAGAAAAAGACATAAAAGCGTTTTCTCTATATATGTCGATATAAACTAAGTGACCTCCAAGTCGCGGCTATTTTGACCCCAGTGGCATAATTAATATCACTTTTGTCGAGAACCTGAAATTCATATTGTAGTTCCGAAGAAAAGGTTTTCCAGGATTATTTTACTACACATATGCATGTATGATCCTAAGTATAATATATGGCCTCCAGGGCAGGGTCTTTATTAGACAAAGACATTATTGACATAACATTTTAAAGGTCAACTAGGCAATGCAATATACATATGCACCAAATATATAAGCTGTGTGCCTTGTAGTTTCACACGAGATGGCTTAAATCATTTTCCTATAGTAGTCCATCTAAACTAAGGGGTCGATTCTTTTATCCTTGAGACATGATTTATGTAACTGTTATATAGCACCACAGGTGATGATAAATGCTAAGAGCATCATAGTTACTGAGGCAATTTTAATGAATTTGTTTATAATGTTTATTCGTAGCTCCTTAAACTTTCTAGTCTATGAGACTCAAACCAATTGTATAACTTTTGTAGAGGATCACTCAAAGGTCATTCTAGTGAAGTTTAGTCAAAATCAACCACATTATTTAAGAGAATAAAATATTATGTGGGTAACGACAGACAACAGACAACAACCAAAGTGCTAGAACAAAAAAAACTCACCTTTGAGCTCTTAGTACAAAATGATTTTTTGTAAGCCTTAAAAAGATCGCATGAAGTTTTTCATCGTTTAAAAACAGAATTTCTTTTTAAATATGATAAATAAAATCTTACCTAGAAATATAAGCAATGATTTGTTCAGTTTTATGTATAAGTTGGTTCGTATTGCTGTCTTGTTTGAGGTTCCCATTAACCTTACAGGAGATCCGGAGATTGTGAGGATCTGCAACAATGTAAAAAACACTTTTTTTCACATGATTCTAGTACAAACTTTATTCAGTTGAAATTTATAATTACGGAAATATTACAATATCCTCAAAGCACTGTGTAGATAGTTTGAAGAAGCAAAATGCAAAAAAAAAAAACCCCAACTTTTTAACACATACAAACGGATGATATAGTAACGACAAATTTTAATATATTTAACTTCTTGCTAATCAATTCAACATACCATTAATTTCGTCTTTTGTAAGTATTGATGGTCCAAGAGGGCAAAACTGGTCTCTTGCTTTTCCAAGAACCGCCTGTCCGCCATTTTTCTTCATCCAGTCACGTGCAGTGACGTCATTTGCAACGGTAAAGCCAAATACATATTCCATAGCGTCTTTTACCTAAAGGAATATACTTCAGTGCTTATTGTAGTAATGACGTTTACGGATATCCTTAAAGACACTATCTATGTGATTTTCTAATTAAGAAAAGCATATATCTTGTTAAGGATGCATTCGATCTTTGTGTTAAAGCTGAAAAAAATACCAATCCCGATTTTTTTACTTAATTTTTTAGATGTTTTTCAAAGTCGAATGAAACTTTGAAGAGAAAGTATTAATGGTCTCGTTTTCCCGTGAGAAATAAGAACACAGAATATAATTAATGTAGCTTTTTGATATAGAGTATAGAGAATAAACTAACAACATTAAAATGTCACCCAAGTCACATATAAAAGTTAAAAAAAATCATTTGAGACGCTGAGATGTATGGTTTCTGGGGAGAAATTTTATTAGAGCTACAGTACAATGTACATACTATCATTAAGTACAAAAGATAACATTAGAAAGTTTATACATAATCATATGCTTTCCACACTGTCTCAGAATTTCATTTTAGCGTATATCTTAAGAAAAGGCTCTTTGTAAATATTTTGTATCTTAGAAACTCAAAAAGAACCTGGATATATTTTGCCGTTTTGCCAATTACTATTGCAAGTTCCGCTTCCCAGTCAAGAGCCTGAAAAGTACAGTGACGTCATAATTATAAAAGTACTAGATACGTTGAAATTCGTCTTTTTCAGTTTTAAAGAGTCATCAAAATGTTAAGAATGTTTGAATTTGTTGTATTTATAGACAATGTGTTTTGTTGGTTTATAAGTCAAATTCTGCTTAAATATGAAAAAGCATGATCAACAAGGAATGGCGGAAATCATTGAACGCTTCTCCCAACACAGGACTACCAGCAAGGAGCCCAGCACGACACCAAACAGGACAGGGCACACGGGCAAACCCGCAAGGTCGTATGGTGATTATCAAGCTTAACTAGTGGCGGGAAATATTTCAGTCACTACGAGTTGCACCTGTGTAGAACCTCATCTTCGGTTACCTCCTTAGTTGTTTCAAATGTGAAATGGTAGAGAAAACCAAAAGCCTTATAAATAATGACATTATATTTTAATGATATTTGAAAGCAAACCTCTGTGTATCCAGGGTATTTCAAAGAATCGTCTGGCCCAATGACACAGCTTGGGAACTTGTTGAACACCACAGGTTCTCTTGGAATAGGAAAATTTAGTTCCTTACAATGGTCTCTATAGTTCATGCCAATACACAAGACCTTCTCACAAGAAGTAATTGGGGCAAGCAACCTTATCCTATCCCTTATTACCAAGCAGTCTGTTCTGTTTGAAGCACTGAAATAATATTTTTTAATTTTATATGATGCATGTTATAATATTCTTATCTAAATCGAACTTTAAGAAGACCTGAAATACCGGTTACTATTGAATAAAATAATTTTAAAATTACACAACTACAAATGTGTTAACATTTATCTATAAAAAAGGAATGCCTCACATTGACAGTTCCATGATTTGTGTTGCTTTCAATTGATATTATATTTTTGTTATTACTTTGTCCGGTTATCATACATAATATTGAATAATATTTCAATAGCCTTACGACATGTTGCTTGCTTTTTAAATTTGTCTTTTGACATCTGTCAGTGAAACGCAGGCTTCAATCCCTAAGACCCCCTTTCAAACTTCCATCTTATTTTATTTTCTTGTTTCAGACACACTCATATTTTACTTGGGTCCATACGCCGTTTTTCGTGGAATAACACCACAAAGTGTCACATTGTAGGTTCCATGAACTGCTGCATAAAGAACATCTGTTGATGCTTCTAAATTCAAAATTTACCCATTTACATGTTTACTCACTGATTAAGCCTGTGTTAATAGGTGGGGTCGGTAGTTTGCACATTACGTCTACCGTCCATGAACAAGTTAAACTGTACCTGCAACATTTTATTTTTTTCCGCTTTGGGTACCCGTTTTTAATTTTGTTTTTTCTTTAGAAGAGATTTTAAGCTTAATTAGTTTTATCAATACACTTTAAAACATTAATTCGAACGTATTTTAAATTTTCATACGAGTAAAAGCATACGCAGATCTGATGACCTACTAAAATTTATCATGTGAATCGACTTAAGATTAAACCAGTATTTTTTTTGTATTCTCAAATGGATAAATAGACACGATCCTATCCTTATAAAAAATATCTGGAAAAAGTGGTCCCTTGGACGCATTAAAATCAGCAAAATTACATGAGAGTTGCAGACTCGGTTTCATTGAGTCTGTATTTGAGGACTTATGAAATAGTGCAGCATCCGTCACGCCCCCTAGAACCGGCTTGAGCGGTACTCAATTTTCAACACTTAAAATGCTGGCATCAATGATCCCGAAGAATTCTATGCTCGGAGAAAGATTTTACTAGTTAGTTTATCAAACTTATTTGTATTTATGTATTATAACTTGACCTTGGTGTCCGCTCTAAAACGTCTGCACCACCTTCTATAAATATCCTCATATCACGTGGTATCGATGAATCTGTTGCGTTTAAATTGAAAATATCCCCTGATTTTTCAAGTTCCAATCCAAGAAATTGTTCTCCATCTTGTAAAAACTGCACTAGTCGCATTTTTATTGACGCTTATCTATATACTACTATTAAAACAACTCAATTGTGAATTTACATAATCTATTTAACATTGAGATAAGAGATCTAACACTAGCGTGAATAATAAACAGCAAATAAGGACTATAGTGGCCGACTTTTGTAATTTATGGTTTTCGTTTGACCAACAAGGAGAAAGCATCAATCGGATGGAAAAAAACTCAGCACATGAAAGGCGTTGTAATCGCTATGATTTTTCGTGTCTTCGAAATTAAGCGTTTGTAAGCCGAAACACATATATTGCGTTTCGACTTTTCGATTTTTAGGCAAGAGTTACGAAACAATTAAATGCAATTGGTCGTATAAGCCAACGTGATGTGAAACAGTTGATTGGTGAATAATACTTACACCAAAATTAAATGAGGGTCCATAATTCTGACAAATTGAATGTAAAATATCAGTATTTAATTTGCTTACATATAATTGTATACGATTCCCGGTAAGTTGGATATTGTATTTTCACAGTGTGTTGGATGATTATGATTTAGGCGTTGTCTCCTTTTGCCACCAATTTACCATTAAGCAGAAAATAACAATAATGTATTCTGCATTATGAATACGGTTTGTAATATTTTGCCTATGTAATATACTTATCAAAAGCATTTATTCCCAATTCAGAATAATTAAAAAATCCAACATCGTCTTGTCTGGACAACATGTCATCCGATGGGGAAAATCCAGTGTTTGTATATTGCTCTCCTTATTCTCTTTTGTCATGGTAGATTTATCGTTTAATAATGATTGGAATATATGTAATACATTTAATTGATGAATTAATGCTGTGTTAAAAAGAGATTGACCTGATGCAGGTTTCCCATTGTTTTATGTCTCGACATGAGCGATAAAACTTTGACGAATTAATTAAACGATTTTCTACAGGTGTTAATCAACAATACAATAAAACAGTGCCTGCATCATAATTAATTTTGCCGTACTAGAAGACTTCCAAAGTTAGTTTCATGAAGTCGTGACTCCATAAACAGAATAATTTGTAGTGTTAAAAAGTTATATTGTTGACATCGATGGGTAAAAATGATTAACTCTTCTTGACATCTGTTCATAACTTTGTATCCCTATGGTTCTCATTTTGTTTGTTTCTAAATCTAAATGATTTTAGTCTTGATTGTCCCAATTTTCTCAATTTCAACTTCAACTACATCTCCAACCTTAAAACAAAATACATTTTGTATTACAAATAAAGCTTAAAATCTTAATTGTTACAAAACAGTTTTACAGAAGAGAACAGATTATACATAGTATATCATCTGGTATATACATATAAATAAATACATTTGTCAAAGATAGATACAAATTCATACAATAAGAAAAGACCATTTATATTAAGTTACTTTTTATATTCGCTGCTTTATCCATAGATCGTTAAATGAAAATAAAGTAAATTTCTTAATGTAAAATGCATGCAATATAAGTTGGTACGCGTGCATATAATCAAATGCTTGATAATTGTGAACCGTTTCTGGTGATTCAGACAAATTAAAGCAGACCTACTATGCACAACTTTAAATATAAGTTGAGAAGTGCCTGTGACTATATTTAGTGACAATGTCAATAAAGGCATCAATTATTTTTTATTTTGTCTTTCTAAATATCCGATTTATAAAATCTATATAAATTTCAATTATTGCAAAATGGTCGTTAATTAAAACTTTTACCTTTATATACTCGGGCGGATTCATACAATGCCCAACTCTTGGGGGCGATCCTGACAAAATAAGATCGTCATGAATCTGTAATTTAGAATAACCACTTAAAAGAATTTGCCAAACATTACACAAAAATTTAGAAGAAGAACTTTGTGAATTATTTCATAACCGCTTTAAAAGATCCACACTGTACTGTCATTCCTAAATTTAAAATTTGAAATGAGTTTATCTTCATAATTATCAGCATAATTATCTTCATCGTTTTGACAAACATTCTTATCAATGGACAGTCAAAACAAGTCGTTTTACCTTTATAGAGATCAGATATTTTAAAACCATAAGATGTATATAAATTGTGTGGTTCTAGTGATATCAACGAATTGTTTCAGTACAGCAATGTATTACCTCGTTATATGGGCAACTATTTTTTCGGTTTTATACAACATTTCACAAGTGTTACTGTTTTGTTTTACAACACCATTCACAATACACTTTATACCAAGGTGATGAGGATCTGAAATATTTAAAATATAAATCACAACGTTGTTCCGTGGGGAAATTACCTGAACGTCAAGTTTTATATTTATCAAAGGACAAATTAGGTATTACATATATCTATTTAATTACATTACCTTTAGAATAAGTTTAGATTTACTTTCTGCATTTTCTAATAACATACTTCATTTAAGTCTATCGATCATTCTATCATTCGGTTGAAAATTTTAAAATCATTGACAAGTGCATACTTAAACGCATTTACCTTTTATTTCATCAACAGTGACTATTGTTTGGTCCATAGCTGAACTAAGAACCACCTGGCCGGCATTTTTCCATACCCAGTCACGTACGCAAACGGCATTCGCTTAAGTAAAGCCAAACACGTATTGAATGGCGTTCTCTAACTAAAATTGACATAAAATTGAATCAAATATATAACAATATAATGTAAACAATTACATTGTATACAGGATTCGGATAAACATCAATCAACTAGCTATTGGCATGTAGAACCACTCCGTGTGAGTTCTGCAACTATTGAACCAAAGAATGAACAATTTAGTAGCTTTGGCGTTTAAAAAGGATTTTCAGACTTTGCAAAAAGTTTCTGAAATAACGTATCTGAAATTTCAAACTAACAGGAAGTGAAACAAACTTAAATGCCAATTACTATGAGTTGCAATATAAAAAATGGGAACAAATATTCTATATCCTGAATGCAAAGAAAACCTTGACATGTTTTGCTGTTTTCCCGATAACAATGACCAGCTCTGCTTCCCAGTCTAGTAGCTGAAAAGAAAAGAAAAGTGGAAGTCTTACATTACCCGGATAAACTATCTAAAACCTGAAAGAATAATCATACATATTCATTTTACAGATATTCTTGAATTTAAAAATTATCTTGTAGGCGATTCATAGTATAAGACAGACATACTAAAAGCTGAAAAGTAAGCCGTACATTATCCATAAAACACATGCTATTGGAGAGTTATCTGTAGATATGTGTAGAGATAAAGTAAAAGTGCACAGCTGCATTAAACTTGTAAAACATTAGCTTAAATTAAGACCAGTATATCTATTCATTAATGTAAGACAACTTGAATAGTGAATAGAGCAATTATAAACGTAACTGTGCATTTACACAGTCTGCTATTCAGTTAAGTATCTCATGTTAGAGCAATATACGCAATACCTTTGCCTCTTCTGGGTAGCTCAATGAATCATCTGGTCCAATAATACAACTTGGAAACTTGTTGAACACCACAGGTTCTGCTGGTATATCAGCATTTTGTTCTTTACAATGGTCCGTATAGTTCATGCCAATGCATAACACCTTCTCGCATGACGTTATAGGGGCAAGAATCTTTACACAGTTTCTCTTTACCAAGCAGTCTTTTCTGTTTGAAGCACTGAAAAGTCAATTTATTCTAGGAATTACAATGACGTGATCTTTTGTGTCGTCTGATTGCATAAAATAAAGCCATCAAATATGTTTCTGCGTCTGTATAGCTTTTACTGTAGATTGTTTCCTTATCTTAGTTTGATCAATACAGTAGAACAATTACACCTTCAAAACAGTGTCATAGACATGTTTATTGCAAGGTCAATCAAGGGTCGTAACTCTTAATTGAAAACACAGATAATGCAGGCCTATTTTCCGTAAAGATTAAGATATGGGTTTATATAGGACAATACTTTATTATCACTAACTGCAGTTGTTGCTTATGTCAGACGCCGCAACCAATGAAAATAATAATAACAATGATGAGGATGATCTAGCTAACTCTCATACTCCTACCTACATTTGAATCATTTATAGCATTCTTGATTTACAACAGAATTTTGACAACGTATTATTCATTTATGATTAAGTGTAAAGATACTTCATTTGAAATGTCCAGACGCGTTTTCTGCGTCAGAAGATCTATATGAAATAAGTGATGTCATAGCTGGATTATAAGCCACTGGAGGTGAAGCTTGTTCACGCACACATAGTATGTGAATTTGAGCACGAACTAAAACATTTTAAACCAATTTCTAAACTTTTGCAATTGAAAAAAATATGCATAACAAATAACGTGTATCAATGCACGAATGTTGCATTGTATAGTACTGATTTATTCAGATAATCAACCTTCTAGCTTTGTTCCATGTATCTTCTCCGCATTCGAGAAATGTTCTCATATCACGTGGTATAGATTCGTCTGCTTTATTCAAATTTATTAAATCTCCATTTTCAGAGAGTTCCAGTCCAAGACACTGTTGTCCATGTTGATTGAACTGCACTAATCGCATGATTTGTATAATTAAAATTGTATCGTCTGTTATAATGCTCACAGTGAATGAGATTTAATACTATCAAATCGTTGAGGTGTGTTTAAAATTTTGATATAAACTTGATATATAAAGAAATATCATAGCAACTTTGTAATGTTTGTATAGTTATACATTATCTAGGTCATAGCTACAAGCTATCTACATATCAAACCCTTGACTGCACAATCATGAAGGTTGACAAGGTAGATGAATACATTAACATTACAATATTTCAAGAGTGTGTAATCTCATTGTTTTTATGGTTGTTGCCCCTCTGTTGCACCTTATCTTTGGATAATCGTAAACAAATCATTTTATTACATTACACTAAGCTTATTAGGGTCAGAAAGAACCATCTTAAAACTGAACATAGTTGTCACTTTCTGAAATAATCTCATCCCTGAAGACAGTTCCGCTCTATTATTGTTAGTCAAATCTGGTATAACTATCAAAAACCTTGAAGAACATTTACTTTAATTCAAAACCGTGTAACGTTTGTTTCATTGCAAAGAACAAGTAAATTTTGTTGATTTCATGAAGTAACTTATCAAAGTATTACATGTATTTCACCAGCAATAGTGCTCATGCTACTAAATTGATCCAGATTAAGACCGTCTGATCATGCATTTTCAGTCAATATCTATTTTGAAATTTGCCCTTAAAATGGTTTTGTCGACATTCAAAGATGGAAAACTAGGATGGAATAAACCATAAATGCTAAATAAAATCTTTACATTATATTGCATACATGCATTTATAATAATCATTGCAAATTTCAAATAATTGCACGTAACGTAGAATTACCGATTTGGACGTAATTGTATGCAGGAATATTGTTAATGCACTTTTTTTTTTATAAATCTGCAGAAGCGTCTGGGACTTATTTATTCCCTTGCCTGTGATCTCTACTTTTGCAGATGTAAATGCACGGAACAAGATGCACTAACCCTCAATTATGATTACCAGTGAGATTTTGTCACATACAAGATATGTTCAATGCTATCAAAATGTTGTATGCACCGGTCTGTGCAATGGTGGATCTTTTCTTTAATGCTGTTTAATAGAAACAATCTTTCATCTTTTTTTAATTTCATAATAAGTTGATGATTATACTTTTTTGGCCCAGTAAAGAAAGACTTGTTCACCACATAAAGATTGTGTTTAACCTTTTTATTTATTACAATTTAAAATTATTACATACCACCACTCTTCTGAATTCTTTTGGATATGTTTCTCAACTCAAAATGTCGATATTTTCGTGTTTTAATATTGAATTCTGCTTAAGCCAGTGCTAGTGGGCGTGGACGGTAACTACCGTCCATGATCAGACTCAATCAAATCGAGCCTGTAACATTTATAATTTTGTCGTTTCGGGCTTTCTTTAAGGATTCTGTTTTCTCTATTCTAATAATGGCAGTACAAAAATTAATTAATTAAGCAAGTAAACAACTGGTTTTTTTTTCATAAATTTATTTGTTTGTTTTTTTGTTATTAGTTTCTGTCCCAAGCTTTATAGCTGTGCATAGTTTTTGGCGTTATGTACTTTTTTACAATACCTGCGTTTATTTCACATTCCTGCGTTACTTGATATACACGATGAAATAGTAATCTGATTTGCAAGGGTCTTATAGAAAATGGAGATATTAAAGCTTCATGCATTTGAGATTAAATTTATTTCCAAAAATAGACTAGTTCATGCTGTTCTGTCACGATCACAGCCTGTTCCTTCCTTGACGTAACAAATCACATGACTCTATAGCTAAAACAATAACTGATAATTATTTAGCTATTTAGCTTTTACGACTGTCTAATTCCTATGTAAGCATATCGGTATTTGAACAGTTTTAGTATATTTAGTTTTGCAGGTCATACAAATCAAATCTTGTTTAAATGCTGCACACACCACGTATCCCAGCAAGACTGCAATAACTCGTTTCAATGCGAATTTTATTTCCCTGGTTAAAATATGGTACATTGATTTCATATAAATAAGATAGAAAATGGGCTTAATGCTAAATCGATTAGTGATTAAATATTCAAAAACAAGGTAGACTAAATACAAGACTAAAATAGTTTGCTCAATATAATTGATAGAATGCCATTAAACCAGTGATAATTATGATGTATAAAATTACATCGTGCGGACTGCTGGGTATATCTAATATTGGATCATGTGAACTCAGCAGTTGTTTTCCGATGAATACATTGAGCCATTGACTTTAAAGCCAGAGTGTTCTATACGTTGACAAGTAAACTATCTGACAATTAGTCTGACGTTATATTTAGCCATGTATTCTCAAACAAAGAGAGGAAAAAATATAATTTGTGATGTGATAGATTTTATTTCGTTGGAAATGTTGGACTAACTATTTCATAACAAATATTATTGAAACTATTTCTTGATGGTGATGAGCTTTACATTTTTAAGTGATAATGGTTCATCAAACCAGGTAGAATGTTCGACGCCAACTTGGGGTTATAGTTATTTAGCAGGGCAAGTGATTGGATATTGTTTAGCATTCGTCCCGGTGCTTGATATAACTATAAATATTATAACATTAGCATACACTATACGTGCACCGAAATTAAAAGCTAACACACGGTTGTTTCTATGTTCGTTGATGATCTGTAACACATTCTCCGGAGTGTTCGTACTTCCGGTCAAGTTGTTTGGAATGATAGCAGTGGAGCTGGAAATACCTGGTCAATTAATAGTCTTACTCTGTGATCTCGGCAACAGTTTTGATGGCATGCTCCGCACAAGCTCTATATTTCATCTTTCTGCGTTGGCTTTCGATGAATATATCTCTATTTGCCGACCATTTAGACGAAGTTACTGGTTAAACCGGAAGTTCAATACGATACTATTTGTCGGATGTTGGATAATTCCAGCTATTTTGTCTTTTTGTTTTATTCCTCCGAAAATTCATATTAAAGGGATTGAACAACAAATGGAATGTTTATTTCAACGAACAAAGATGTGCCAATTTATTTCAAATAAGCCATACGCCTTTGCAACAACAGGTATATGTTATATTGTGCCGACAGCGTTCATTTTGATTTGCAATGCATGTACAAAGTCATCTGATAAAAAACGGGAACAAATGTTTTATAGACTTGTACAGATCAACACGAAGAGACGCAGTTTGAACAGGAGATATTTTGGTACAAAATTGGCGCGCATCGTTATTTTTTTATCGTATTCATGCATTTTATGCTGGTTCCCTTTCTACTTGATTACTTTTATAGATCCTTTAACCTCTTACAGTGTACCAACCTACATGTGGTTGCTTGTTTCTTGGATAGGGTACTCAAACTCTATTATTCTACCAATAATATATCTCAAATTAACCAAAGTTTTGACATTTTAGTAAGCATGTGATATTTGGAATGTGCCAATTATACTGCAATAAAAAACGTGCCTTTCCTCAATTATTATATTTAGTATTTATTAATATGCAATAATGTATGCAATTACAAGCATTTTGCTGGAATAAACACAAAGTAATTCCAAATTACTGTTCATTTTCTCCAAACGAGCTTAGAAGTACCAAAGAAAGAAAACTGATTTGAAAAAAATAAATAAAGTGAAAGCGTCATAAATTAATTATGAAAATTATAACTAAATATATTATCTTGATTATCAAAATTTTATGCAATTTAACATATCATTTTTTTACTAAATTATTTCCATCTGTGGCCCACTTGTATATAACTACCTATTTATGGATGTTTACAGTATCTTTCTCTTTCATAAATGATGTAATATTTATTTAGTAAAGAACTGGAATAAATCAAGAAATATGCAATTGAAAATGAACTATATTCTGTTTGTTGTTGTTGTTGTTTGATTGTGCTGTGTTAATTTATTCAACGGCCTATTTTAATTTTTTTCATTTACATATTTATTTGTAACCAAAAACGTTTATTTTAGATATTTATTATCATCTAGATTTTCAAATATGGACATTTCTCAGTATCTTCGCTATTTCAATTTATTTAAGCTACATGCCTCCAGATGGAACAAAATATTTCAATTAATTCAAACTTGAGAAAAACGTAAGATGTAAGGAAAAGTTATATTTTACATATTATGTGCGATTAATGACTGATTTTTCAGTATTTACAACTATATGTCTACTGCGTTACTAACGCAGTAAAGGCTATTTATGCATATTTTGACCACTTTTTGGTAACAACGTGATTTTTAAGTGCCATTGATAATGAGTAAATTGTTTCCTTTTGGTTACTTCACAATATTACACATTCAAATACATTGTCAAAATTTTCATGAAAATTAGCATGAATCTGGAGGCGTCTGCTTTAATGTATAAATAAATAAATAAATAAATGAATAAATAAATTTATTTATTTATTTATTTATTTATTTATTTATTTATTTATTTGTTTATTCATATATTTTTGGATTGTTTGTTGTTGTTGTTTTTTTCTTTTCTTTCAATAAAACCAACACATTTTGAAACATTTAGATTTTGAATTTATTATCTTACAATTTTCCATGTTTCCAGTAATTCAAATTGTATGTAATTTTGAAGCTACACTTTTGTTATATTGCTTTCTATACATCGATGTTAATTACCAATCAATACCGTTTGATTAGCAATTATAATTTTCCAGTATTGTTAAACAGATGACGTGTTTCCGTAGAGACATATAACCTGTAACCATAGAGACAGGTTAGAAGACGGATCATTAGTCATTCTCAATACCTGACTATTTCATATTTCTTTTATAATAACGTATTGTTTTTTTTTTTATAAAAATTCCTACAAGAGATTAATAAAACATTCTATAAGTCACGTTCACATTAAGGTTGTTTAAAGGTAAAATCAATAATAGACATTTATAGAATAAGCTTAATGCAGCCTTAGCTAGATTGTAATCAAACATGTTCATATCCCTTGGTTACCAGTCCATTTTATCCGTAGTTGTCCTTTCATGAAAACTAGACAATAATCATAATTATAACAATCATTTTTGCAGCCGTGGAAGATTTGTATCGGCTATTTCCGTCAGCCTTCGGATAAATTCTAATTAGGAATTATCGGCGAGTTGTTCCGAAGTTAATTAAGCGACAAAATATCGGTACACGGTTTACTCGGTCATAAAATAATTAATAATGTTTGGTGATATTGTGTATACTGTTACATGAAATAGTAAAACATTATTCAGAAAACAATAATCAATGCATACAGTTTTATAGAACAAAAACGGAATTAACCCTTTTTCGTCGTGTTTAATAAAGCGTAAATTATATTTTAAGTTTTTTTCTTTTATCCATGTTTATTTTTCGTTTAAGTTAAGTCGTATTTTAAAGCGGAGCATGTGAGTAACAATCTTTGTTGACTGGTTCATATAATTTCAATTCATTAACTTCAATTTGATACGCAAAAATAGATGCCGCCAGCAATCATTCTCAACACTGCCAATATGGATTGCATTGTATTATAATTTATTGTATTGTAATGTATTGTATTGTATTGTATTGTTTTGTAAAAAATACTATTGTGTTGTACCAGTATATCGGTTAATGATAAAAACAGAAAGAGCCTACAAACTGAAGTTTTGAATGCTTGTAAAATATTTGATAGAAAATTGATTGGAATTGAAGAATCTATGTTCACACTCTCCCCCCAATGATACCAAAAGATGACATCAGCATGTGCTATTAGGTACATGTACACCATTTACAATCGGAGATGTAAAAGGAAATAATCTGTACAGTTGTTGCTGGTGGTTTTTCCTTTTCTGACGGTATTTCTATGAATTATTATCTTTGATATTTGAACCTAGGTTCACTAATTACAAAGTGACGTTCTTGAAATATCTTAGCCAGTATTTTCCTTGAACTTGTAGTTTGAATAAATGTCACATTGCTAGCGCATTAGAGAATTGATGACTGAATTATTTTGCAAAAACATCGTTCAATTTAAAATGGTTATGAAATTTTCTAACCTGCTACTTTAAGACCTAATTATCACAAAATTATCAGGAATATGTGAAAAGTCCTAATTATGCTTTCATGTTATGAATATTTTACTTCGCGAGGTTAGCCAAATCAGGAGAATATTTACTATATAGTCTATAATATTCTAACACTTTTAATTGTTTCATATAAAACAATTAATTTAAACATTTGTCTGAAGTTCATATTAAAGAACATTTGAGCCGTGCAGTCTGATCAGGATCCATGCTGGTCGCAAACCCATTATGTTGATTTTGTCATGACACGGCTCATTTGTATTTTTTCTAATGACATAACAATGTGATTGCGAAAGGTTCATAGAAAAAGTGTTTTCTGTTTATGTCAGTAATATGTTATGTCACTTACTGTTTGACTATTATTCGTTACATTTTCAGGTTATGTGAAATGGCATATCAAATTGGTGGAATCCGTCTGATTTTAAATTACGTTTACTGATTCAAAAAAACGAAAACTAAGGCCAAGTTGTAAATCATTTTTGTGGCAAAGACATAAAAACTATACGTTATTTTCACATTTTATTTCGAAATTCTACACATTTTATCTGTATATTCTGTATTCAAACCCTCCAAAGTAAACATTATCTGGATGAGCGGTCACTTGAATAACAATGTCTCGTGCGAATGTTGCGTTAAAACAGGCTGAGATTTCTGTAAAAAAAGGTATGTAATGTAAAATAAAATTGACCCGCAAAAAGAATTCTTATATGAATTTATAGTGATAGTCAATTTGTTGAAAAACGTGTATAATGGTTCAGAAGACATTCCGCAGCGAAAATTTAGGTTGAAATCCTAAACATATCTTTTAGAAATGCTAACGAGTAACATTAATAGTCTACCTTTAATAATAATAATGATAATAATATCGTTATTGAAGGCAGGTATCATATGAAGATATACCATCGTAGAATTCAAAACAATATATAGAAACACAAAACATCATAAAACCATGACAATTATTCCATTAAGATTTTGCCCTATAACAAACAAAAATTGATTTATTTTGTCAAACGCTTCTTTAAGATATTAAATAGCATAGGAATCATCAAAATTAATGATCCATACGTGATTCAGAATAAGGTGTAGCTTATAAATAATGTGTTCTTGTTGAGGACAAACCAACAATGAAGTGAACACTAACAACAGTTTATGTTGTACTCGTTATGATGAAATTTGTGACAGACCTGATCCTGTTTGTCATAGTGACATATTATTTATACATCTTCATTTACAAATATTTTGACAATTCTACATGCATGATACAACATTTATGGCTATCGCGAAAATGTACATGCATAATTTGCTTTCTTTTTAAAATATACTTACTATCATCAAATGGCCCCAGGCGTTCATTCGTAGCCTTTTCCGTTATATTGAAGAAATCGCCACATTGACTGTCTCTTATACAGATAGTTCTTCTCAGCTAGCGGGGTGAAAAAAATGACAGATTATATCCGAGAAAATAAAAAATGTATACTTAGTAATTATACAAATTCATAAAGTCATACTATCAAGATTCATTTATTAAAAATGAGAACAAATTATTTCTTTTTTATATATATTGTCTAACATAAAATATTTTAATTATTTTAATACCTCTTTCACATTTTGAAAATGTAGCATGGTGTGTCCTTTGGGATAATGCCAGTTGAAAGTTCCATTGGTGCATTCTGCTGGAACATTAACAGTTGTTATGAAATTGTCTGATTTGGGAATCCTTCAAAATAAAACAGGATAATACAGGTACTAATTTTGTCAAAAATATTGTTAAAATTGTCTGCTTTACATAATAATCAACAGATGTTCATACATTCATTTTAAAATCGTATTCCTCTGAATTAAACTAAGTTTTTTTAAACATCAAAATACCAACGATGATATATTTCAATTTTCGAAGTAAACTATTTGTAATGAAGTATTTTTGATCAAAAACAATAAAATAGTTATATAATATATTCCAGAACTTACCCGTTAGTATATTTCGGACATACGTCACATGGCTTATCACAGAAAAGTCCGCATGCGGAAAATACGCACATCAAGAAATAAATCAAAAAGATCATCATCATTATTATGTGCTTTTTTACCAACAATAATGCTAAGCTGTTTTAAATCCGTTCTAAGTATTTGTATACAAATATAATAAGAACTATGAAGTGAAGTAAGTTATTTAAATTACGTTTTACTTTAAATGTGTATATGAACTACGTCAGTACGATAAATGAAGGTATTCGCTCAAAACGTTTCTTTTTATATATAGTCCGGTTTAACGGCCTTGTATAATTAACTCGTAAAAATACATAAAACAATGACAAATGACATCCTGTTTCATTTTCGCATATATTAGTTTTTTATAATCAACAATAAGGTCATTAACATGAAATGTAAATATTTAACTTTATTATATACCTATAAATTTTCTCCCTTAAATACACGCCGATATTGAAGCGCAAATACGTTTCATCGGATAGAAATTTCCGTATTATGTTAGTGACAAATACGGTACCATATATGGAAGTGACGGACTATTTTTGACGTTGGTTCCGATCTTAGCTTTGTATAACGTTGCATTTGGAAACGGGAACCAAAATTATTAAAGGCGTGGCCAGTTTTCAAGAATTACGTATTCATCCGTCAGTCATGAATTTATTTCTTGACAACTACATTGCATTTTCTTAATAAAACGAAAATGTATATAATAAAAGGAAAATTATGTTGTAGTAGCGTTCTGAGACTATGTATTTTTCTACTCGCAACGTTGGAAAATTGATATCTCGCTCGACCTTCGGTCTCGCGAGATATCAATTTTCCACCGCTGCTCGTAGCAAAATACAAAGCCCCAGAAAGCTACTACAACATAATATTCCGTATTTATCGACCCTGTTGTTTAATTATTTCGTAAAAGTATTTCACAACAATATCACATATGAAATCCTGTACGATATCCGCGTATACATGTTTTTTTTCAAAATCAACTCGGAAATTTACATGAAATATAAATATTTAATGATTTTCATAGAAAAAGATAAGATCATAGAAAAAATAAGCATATGCAAATGAAATTTATATATAATATGATTTGTATTCTGTAACCAACATAATACATAAGAATCACAAAATAATTTCAAGTTTTTCAATCAAACCATTTCCGTTGTGAGCCTACTGTTATTGATCTGACATTTTGATTATCATTTACATTTAAAAGTCCATTATACCCTAGAAATGTTTTATCTTTATTTATAAAAAAAAATCTTATATATTCCAAAAATGTATAATAAATGGCCAATTACTTTAACAATCGTTTTTTCTGTTGCTTTTTTTTTGGCAATTAGTACCCTTACTGTATAGTGATTTAGTATTTTGTATAGAATTTAAAAATCTACTTTGTTTACATTTTGGTACTTTTTATGAAATCTTTTTCATATTTAAGATAACAAACATTTAACATGTTCTTGAACAATTATTTAAATGTCATAAAATTCACATTTGCCCGATTATAAAGAAGTCAAATTTATTTATTTAATGTTTCACCCATGCAAACCCTTGAACAACATATGTTATAATATTATCGACCAGTCATTGTGATTATTGATGATTATTAGTTACCCAACGGTAAAGAGCGGCAAATATCAAACACTGTCTGATTAAGTCACGTCCATCCTTTCATTTCCCATAAATATCACTAACTACGTACGTTTTAGCTGTTGATTATATATTATTTTCACTGCACGCAGGTGTTTTAACCAATGTTTTCATTTATTTAATTGCAGATTGTTTTTGTTCCCTTTTTAGGGAATGTCTTTATTCTTGAAAAACAATATGAAATAATTTAATCCCTGAACGCTTTTGGAAGAAATCTATATATGGCATTTTGACTATTATTAGGTATACGCATAATTAGGTATACGCATATATACGACAGAAATCGTAAATGACAGAAAACGTCGATCGCATACAATAGTGGTTTCCCATACATTTATAATTATGTGTGTTCTTTATTTAATTGTTGGTTTATAAAAAAAGCTAATAACTTCAAAATATATGGAGGTTTTCGACATTTCATTTCAACAGTTTTTTTAACACATCATATTTTGTTATTTAATGGTAACCTTTAAAACAAAATATTACATCTTGAATATCACAAAATGCTTAATAGCATGTCCATTGTTCTTGTTTTCACCAATCGAATCTGTTCGGCTTTTTTCGTCATACTTCAGCAAATAAAAAAATACCGAACACAATAGTTGGATATTGTTTATCGGTTTCACTTTAATAACAATAATTTAAACTGAAAACATGCATATTTATTTGTTTGATATTGTTTACACATTTTGTAAATGCCAACAATAAGATTCAAATATAAACCTTCTTCATTTGTTAGTTATTATGATTTTAACCGCCGATAGTAAGAATGGAATAGCTAATGATGGATTTTACACATTCTTAGAAGAATAATTTTATAAGACACGTTGTCTTTCATTCGAATCCTGTTTTTTAAGTTTATTTGAATTTCTTTCTGTATATTGTTAATTGTAACATGTATATATATTCTGAGAAATAAAATATATCTAAACTAATGATGGTATTTAAGATTATTTTAGATTGATATTCTAGAGAACTGGTATTTCGAATTCTTTCTAAATGTCGCACAACGTTTCAATAAAAACACTTTATAACGAAATACATTTAGTTTTTGTCCATATGTGTACATGTAACTAATAACCTCTAGCTATCTAGTTCCAACAAGGTAACGAGGTGGTTATATGTAAATAGCGAGATATTACGAATGATGTTAATACTGTTTTTATATTTCTGATGTTTTCATATTTTGTCATAAAATACTAAGTACTAGTATGTTGATCAGTTAATGCGCATTGCTCGTCCCACAGCAATTTTCTACATGAATAATGTCTATGGCGGTTAGGCCATAAAATTATTGCATAATATCAAATGGTTCGACATTTTCACATCACATATGTTTACTCATAGTTATGTAAGAAGATGGCACATTTAACATTGAAACTATATACGGCAGTGTTGCCGGTTGTTAATATGAAAAGAAATCTTACGAATATATTAAGCAGCATATTGTGACGCGTTATGACCAAACTACAATATCTGACGTTTCATGAATCAACACCTATACATGTATAAGTATATGGGTTAGCTCCTTCTGGTTAAACAGTTATACCCCCTAAACATTATATTACTGGAATAATTGGTTTTCGCATAACATGGATTACATCCACTGGTAAAATCTCTAACAATTCTGTTAACTTCGGGTAAGATGTAAAACAAGGTCTAGGTATTCCTATAATGACAGTTAAACTATTCTTAACCAATTGTATATATGCGTTTTATAACTTCACTTATTTTTTTGCATCAATTCTATATTGAGCATAATTTAGCGGTCTATTTGTGTGTCTGAAACATAAATCAAATAAACAATTCTGAGGAAACTGACAGCTGAAGTCATAGATAATTACATAAGCACGAGGAGAGAAAACAGTTATAATATTGCCAATAAATTGTGATTTATACATCAATTCTTGTCTTTTAGTTGAAATATTTCAATGTTCAAATGGCGTGTCTATTTTCAAAAGGAAGTAACTTTTATACTACATTTCTTTGCTAAAATCCGCCCAAACAGCGTCATATACCCAGTTAATTTCCAGAAGCTCTATTTATCTTTTAAACGGTGTATCACATGAAGTTTCTCTATGGAAAATATTCATCATTTTTGTATTGCTGATTACGTAATAATTTCATGGTATCGAAAGTAAAAAGCAAAACAAATTATGATATTGAAATGGTTATGAAATATTCAAAGCTGTTGTAAACCCTACGGAAATGGAATCACTTATCTAATTATAGAAACAGCAATACACACCATAATTTTACATGGCTATGAACTTTGTATGCATTTTACTTGAAATAGGTCACCTATCTCTGCACGGAGAACTTTCTACGTTTATTCATAATTCAATTCTTTTACATCATGAATACAGTCGATTCCTGTTACAACATACATAATTCATGTACTGCCAATGCAATTGAAAGTAATTGAAAAAGTAAAGTCTAAATAGATATTCATGTGAAATTAACACATTTGTTTTGCAAAATTCTTGGATTTCAAATATTATTAGAAACAGTTTCTGTGACACAATGATTATAAAATTGATACTTCAGTAATTAAACTAAAAATACTTTCATCTTATGACAGTGTTTATCTAATATGATCTTCTGACTGTCTTGTTATTTAATCATATTCCATTTTTTTTGCAGAGCGGCCTTTATATATAGCAAGTTCTTTCAACACCAGTATGAATTCCTTCAAATGTTGGTATTCTATTGAATATTGCTTAAGACCATGCTAGAGAGGGAGTGAAAGACGCTCTTTTTAGTGCACACCACTCAGAAACAATTAAGATGTTTATAACAATGTTGCATTGTCTGAGACATTTCAAATGTTTAATTAAATATAATTATGTATTTAACAATGCATCTTTTTTATTATATCACGAAAACCTATAAAATGTTTAATAACTTTATTTCGAAAACGTTTTGAGCAGTTAACCGCACTGCCTTATACCAAATGAAATAGATGTATATGAAAGCTACATACGCGAAGACAATATGAGAAGGCATATAACGCAATATCACAGATACTGTCTTTTGAAAGTAACTTTTTGATTAAAAAGTAAACTATGATATGCCCTACAAGCATGACTGTACTTTTACCTAAGTATAAAATCGTGTTGTTGAAACATTTGGATGGTGTGAACATATAATCATCAGCGAAATGGAAAAAGATTTTATCGCACTTATGTATATATAGATGTCTAATTTTTGCCTCTTTTTTAGCTCTACGCTTTCATTGTAATCAATAATGAATTATATACCGCTGATAAAATCATTAATTAATAATAAATTGCTGATGGCACTGATGGTTTTATTATTTGCATGTTTATTTCATCATTGATCTTAATGTTAAAGGTACTCCACTGAGTTGTTTTTTTAATTACATGAACGCATTTGTAAATATTTAAATTCGCTAAAATCCTACGGAAATTTAAACAGAAAAAATGTGTGTCATTTGTCTGTAATGTTAAAATAAATTGTTTGACTTTTCTTTTTAAAAGGAATAATTCTAAAATTGCGTGTAAAAAGAAATATATCGAACAATTCCTAACGAATGACGTTTACCATGATATACGCAATGTTTAAATAAATAAATGAATTAACGAGATTGAAGACATTTAAATATGCAAAATATACTGTCAGAAATGTTCATATTTTAACGCCTCTTTGGACGACAAAGTAGGTAAAAGTCTAAAGCCGGTAACATTTTAGAACATTTTAGAGGTCACAGAAATAATGATAAAAATTCCCTTATCATATAAATGTATATGTACAATGTTTGAATTGAATTTTTATCGTTCATTGGCTGCTTATTTATTTAGTTTGTAAATTAAGGTGAATAATAATGCTGATCCATTTGATTTGTTTCTACATTGGTGTGCTAACAGTTTCCGGATTTTTATACGATAATCCATGCGACGTATTTCCAAAGTATTCTGGCGGGTAAGTTCTGATAATTAATAAGTAAAAACATTATCTACATACTTTGCAAAAAGGTAGCTTTGTGTTAATACCGACCAGTTTTAAAAATGATTGTGAGAATATATTTTTGCTTAAAACGGTGCAGAAGCATAATCTTATTAGTTTACTTCCAATTATACTTAATTGTCTGCACATTTTCGCCTAATTTATTTTGTTTCAGTTGACAAATGTGCTCTTTCAATATAAATTCTTAGAGTATTATTAATATTATTGTTTTAAAGCATCTCCAACTCAGACGATTTTACAACAACTGTAAACGTTCCAGCTAAATGCAAGAATGGGACATTCCGCTGGGACTATCCTAAAGGACATGCCATGCTCCATTTTCAAAATATGCAGGAGGTAACACTTTTTTCTAAATATAGTGAATCAAAGTAATACTTTTTTATAGGTATACGTAGCCAAAATAAAATTTTTGTACCATTATTTAGTTACATACACTTTTTTAAAAATCTTTTTTGTATCAAAAGACCTTATAGTACTCAAATAAAAATTTGTCTATCGTACAATAAACAAAAAACAATTGAAAATTGAGAAGGAAAAAAACAGAAATATCTGAAGTCTGGCATTCTCCTTTAGAAATAATATGAATTATTATGAAATTTCATATTACTTTCCTTTCTTTTCTTTTTATTTAAAAATCATGCTATTCATATTATATTTATATCTAGATGGAAATTAAAATCTGTATAAAGGACAGAGTAGGTGGAACAGTTTTCAATGTGACTTAAAAAGCTACCAAACAACGTCTCGGAACTTTTGATTACGGTAAAATTCATAAATTGTCTTACGAAGGGTGTGACATTGTCATTTCTTATTATGATTTTGTATGTATCACTTTCGATTGTTCCTTTGAATAAGACAATAATCGTGTTATTACAAATAAATGACAATTACTATGCACCAACTGGTACCCATGAATATAGATGGTTCTATTTATTGTTGTGACTCTTACAACTGTTGCTACCATGAATATATGTATCTTAATTGTGATGACTACGAATGTAGATCTGTAAACTATGATAACTATAAATACACTGTACAGTAGAACCCCTTCTTAAGACCACCCCGGAATTAAGACCATCCCACTATTTAGACCATTTTTCAAAAGTACGAATTTTTTTCTGTTCTTTATGTCAATGGTTACATGATATAAGAATTAAGACCCCCTCGCTTATCCACTTTTAAGACCGCCAGATTCAGTCCCAATTCTTTGTTTTGTTCTTTATTTGATCCCACTATTGAGACCACTGATGTAAAGTCAACACCTACCAAGATATTAACTTTGTTGTTATGTTGTTATTATCTGCTTGAATGCTCTTAGGCATGACACTTAATTTCACAAGGTGTCAAAAACACCTTATATCATAGGAATATTTATGAAAATAGGTGAGAAAGTAAATTTTAGAGTGGTTTAATGTTGCTTTAAGCAAATTGATTATGCGAAGACATTATTTCCTTTTTGATTGCTGAATTACGTACATCATATTATAATTAATATTGAAATCAGGCCAAATATAATTTGATATTTAATTTCTTTCGGCCCATCAGATGTTAAATTATAACATACTTTTATGTTGTATTTGCAGGTAAAGATATATATTGTTTTTTCATACAAAATGACTAAAATAGAAAATGGTCAAAAAAGTGTAAAAGCATCGATAAGAATATTCACAGTTAAGACCACCCCACAATTAACAGTCCCGATAGTGGTCTTAACTGTAGTTATTTTAATATGTGACCATAAATATATGTGTCTAAATGTATGATTATTCAGGGCTATGAATGTCATTTTTTTCAGAAACCTCAGCCTGTTTCCAACCAACATCAGAACGAGATATTGTTCTTCAGGTGGACGCTCCGTTAAGTCTTCGTTACATGGGAGAGTTCGAATACAGACTTTTCAATTGAAATTAATTTAGATTATCGAAATAAAATTGAAACTTGAAGCTGTGTTTTTTCTTGTTTGAATATAAAGCTGGGATAACTATAAATAGGCTATCACCTGCATAGTATCTTTCAAAAGGATGTGTCTTTTTTGTCAGAGATGAACGGAGTAGCTGTACGGAGACGATCTCCGTGATATTATTTGTTTATAACAATGGTCTCTTTAGGGAGAGTCCTGTATAGAATATGTGTGTGCGTTGTTGCAGTCCTCAGTTTAATTATATAGAAAATATTTCCCCATTCCTTTACTTTAAAATTTAAAATACTAAATCACTATAACCTTAAGTATTGCCAAAGAACAGAAAGAAAAGGCTTTATGAACTATGAGTTATCATTTTTAGAAACCATACTAGGACACAAAAAAACTTTTGAGAAATAAAATAACAGCATGTTTTGGAAGCCTAATGAGCTTTTAAGTTTTTGTTATAATTGTGGTTTTGTGCAGAATTAATGCACGAGATAGTCTTCTCCAAGGTACATTGTACTACAACTGGACGTACCATTAAAGTATAACTGCTATTGAAATTAAGTTCCGTTTTGAAGTATTGCTTTTAATTGTTTCTAAAGAAAATTTGTTACTTCATAAAAAAACATTTTTGATTGTCTTTGATTATTTCAACATCACTTTAGATATTCCTAGATTATAATACATCAATGCATTTGAAAATGTTAATTTTGGCAGTTTTCAAACTCAATACTAGTAATTTATATATGTTTGTGTTATTAAGGAGAATAAATCAAACATACCCGTATATAGCAAAATAAATGTTTCATTGCAAAATATAGTTAGTGCAGTTTCGTCTTAGAAAACACTTGAAGCAATACAGTTAAAATGATGCCGTTAGTGATTAGACAGATTGGAATTTGATCAGGGCCATTCTGCTTCAATTGGTGTCTTTAAGGTATACGAATTAGCAAAAAAATGTGCACATCTTTAAGTGTTAGATGTTGCATAGAACGTTTTAGTTATGTAATTTCTCAAAACGAGTTTGATTTTCTTTTTTAAAATTTTTATTCCCTTATTTAACTTTGCATGGCACAGTTGTTTGATTAGGTTCGTCTCACGTGCTTTTATATTATCCGTACATAAAAAGATGTAAAACAAGCTGAATATTAGAGGCAACACTCCTCTGTTTTCAGTTATAAAGTTTTATGGACACTTTTTACTTAGAATATCAAATTTGTGATTAAGAAATGTAAATATATAGTATGCACATTTGCGTGCAAGAAATGAAAACAACGGATGACATTTAAAAATTTATTTTGAAAATAAACAACAACATCATTTGTAAATTCTGTATTCAAACATTTCCAGGTAGCGTCTTGATGGATTGGCAGTCACCTGAAGAACGATGTCTCGTCCAGATGTTGTATTAAAACAGGCCAAGTTTTCTGAAAAATAAATGTCACCATCATGATATGGCCCACAAATAGTAATTAATGTGTGTATTTATAGAAGTGGATATTATATTTCGCTTTGTAATATTTATGAAATTATTTAAACAAAATAATATTTAAACGAATATGAATAAATGAGCATTAACTATTCATTTTGACACAAAATCTAGTTAAAATGTATTTTGAACTTTGAAATATGATAAATATGATATTTACCTTTGTCAAAGGTTCCTAGTCGCTGATTTGTAGCTGTGAACGTTATATTGTAGTCTGTATATGGACTAATATTTTTAATACAGATTCTTTTCATCTAAAAGGAAATAATTGTGGAACTTTTTAAGAAATGTTAGCAAACTTGCAAAGATATACTTTTTATAATTGTTGTTTTAAGTTATAATTCATGTTGATAAGGTTATATTTTTAGATAAGGAATTAGATTTATTTGTGTAAAACTGTGTAAAACTGAACGTAAATCAAATATAGGTCTATTTAAGTTATAAATATCCTACCTCTGTCACATTTTGAAAATGCATCATGGTGTGACCTGCAGGAGAATGCCAGCGGAATGTTCCATTCATGCATTCTTCTGGAACATTTACGGTTGTCGTAAAATTGTCAGATATGGGAATTCTTCTTTAAAAATAAGAAGGTAATTTTGTAACAAAATGACAATATATATATATGTTTTAAAAGAACAAATTGTCTACTTCATGTAATTTATCGCCAGTTGTTTATAAATTCATTTGTAAATAGTATTTTGTAAATGAAACTAAGTGCTGCAGCATCATGATGATTTTTACAAAATAATATTGTAATCATTGCCAGCATAGTGACAAATTGTGGTGCCAAACCAATAAGTATTTGGTGGAGAATCTATAAAAAATCATAACGTTTGCTATCTATTCAGATGAATCAGGTCTGCTGAAAGTTTTTTATCAAGACGTCTGAAAACTGATAATAAAAACATTTAAACATTGCGTAATATAAATAAAAAGAAACATTTAAGGGAAAGTCACCAGTCTCGTCCTTTCTTTTAATTTGAATTTGTTGCTTATTCTAAGGACAGATAATTCACATTGAAGGTGAACAATACATAATGTCGTTTGCTAATTATAGTCGCTGACTTCCTTTGTAGTCATTGTAAAAATGAAAGGAAACGATGCCCACGATTTCTGTACATTCTGTCTATGCAGGTAACTGTAACAAATTTTATTAAACATGAATATTTAACAACAAAATATCTTAAATAAAAGATGCAGTCCAGTTATCAAAATTAAATAGACGCTCTTAAAGTGTATAACTTACCCGCCGGGATACTCCGGACATACTTCACATGGCTTTTCACAGAAAAGTCCGAAAACGGAAAACACGCACATCAAGAAATAAATAAAATTGATCAACATTATTTCCTATGTGTTATTTAAAAACAATATTTATGCTAAAATGTGTTAAATACTGGGTAAGTACAATTTTTATTAATTGATATTTAAAACGATAACTGTAGCTAAACTATATTTTATAAATAATAAATCACTAAAATTGCTTCATAAGTCTATACGCATTCAACACATTAAACATGAAAACAAATCCATTCATTTACAGCTCGTCTTTAAATGAATGCAGTTATCTGGTCCCCATTAAAGGGAGAGAACTCGTCCGGTCTTGTTGCTTCAACCACGTGTTGTACGTGACGTCATAATTAAGTCTGATGTCATCGAGACCTTGCGCGTTTTCAATCCTTTTCCTCGAGGAATTCAAGCAGGAAGGTCGACATTTTGCTTTTTCTTACAAATTAATTTGAAATTGATTTAAGATTTATTTATTGAATAAGATTTCTTTCTACTTTTAATGGTAGATTAATATTGAATATCTACTAATTTCATAAATTATATGTTGATCTTGTTGTGTAGTGTAAATAACGATAATTATTGATACTTGATCAGCAGGAATGCTAGATATAAAACTACATGTTACAGTAGGTTTAGTCTGGAGGCTCTCTATCTATTAACGGAGATAAGATATATTCGACATTGCATTTTCTTTTAGCCGCTAGATCTATATTGACTGATAGTTAATAATTTACTTATTAGATCTAATTTTTTATTTCTTGAGAAAATGCCTCGGCCTAAGAGGAACTGTAAATCTACATGGAAGACGCGAGGGCAGACTAGGTCAGCCACAAGATCTAGAGGGAGACGGTCCCATCAGATTGAAGTCTCCATGCAACCCATTGTAGAGCAGCCGGCTGTAGTTCAGTCTAATGCAACAACAACAAATTATGCAGCAGTAACTCAGGACCAAGGTCAAATCAATCAGTTCTATCACACTAATCAGAACGATTATGTGAATACGTCATCTGTACAGAACCAATGTCATTACTCGTCACATACCCATGTCCCAGGGGTGTTGGGACAACAGTCGCTCTATCATTCAAATTCAGTGAATACGTCATCTGTACAGAATCAAGGTCATTACTCGCAGCTGGCTAATTGTGTAGTACCAGCCTCAGTTGTACCAGTAACACATACCAATGTCCCAGGGATGTTGGGACAACAGTCGCTTTATCCTTCAAATTCAATGCAAGTGCCATATACACAGCATTGTCAGGGAGCTGTTCCTTCAACGGCCTCGGTATCGGAAGGATTTGCTTCAACTTCACAAGGCTTGCAGATGTCTCCTGCTGGAGGAATGTTCGAGTCACCTGTGGTTGGGCAGCCCCCGATGGTACATGAAACATCAGGTAATGAAAATGTTTTCAATTCGGTAGTAACTGATATGGCTTTGCATGTAAACGCTAGTACAAAAGAAAGAATATTGAGTGGAGAATTTGTTGATTTAACATGCTTATTAGAAAAAGATTCCTCCGCTCAAAGTAAAATCTTTAAAGTTGTAAATGGCGTACTAGTCTTGTCTGATAGTTCTAGATCTATTAAACATACTGTTTTGTCAATTGAACAATGGACTGATGCCTTTTTAATATATATGAGTATTTTGATTGCAAAACACCCCGAATTAGCCATAGAATTGTTGCATTATTTAAACACAATACGATCTGCGTCAAAACTAAATCCGATTGGCTGGATAAAATATGACAAATTTTTCAGGTATAAAATGTCACAATATCCAAATACAAAATGGTCAAATATTGATGCTGAGATATGGTTGGTAACTATGACGAATGTAAGCTCAAATCAATCAAACAAACAAAATCACTGCTATGAGTTCAACGGTAAAGGGTTTTGTTCAAAACCGGGTTGTCAGTACTTGCATAAATGTAAAAAATGTACCGGGCCGCATTCTGCTTTGCTTTGCAGATCACCTACACCAGGATTTGTAAATGCTTATAGATCTAATAATAATCTCAGCCAAAATCATTTCAGACATCCCAGGTTTGAGCACTTCCCACAATTTGAAACTCCTAGAGCACCTTTGGGACCTAGGCAACACCCCAATAGATACTTTGCGTCTAGAAATGTGGCTCAAAGGTTATAATAAGGAGAATGCAAATTTTATATTACATGGATTCAGGGAGGGGTTTAGGCTGCAATACAGTGGTCCCCACTGCGAATTTACGGCAAAAAAAATCTGCAGTCTGCGATTAGATACCCGGAAATTTTAGCAAAAAAGCTTGAAAAGGAAGTACAATTAGGACGCTTTTTAGGTGCCTTTACAATTAAACCATTTGCAAACTTACGCATCAATCCAATTGGGCTAGTTCCCAAAAGTACAGGTGGAATGCGCCTAATAACTCATCTGTCATATCCTTATAATGGAACTAGTGTTAACGATTTTATTGATCGTGAAATAACTATGGTTCAATATTCCCGTTTTGACAATGTTATAAAAATAATACAGTGTTTAGGCCCTGGTGCACTTATGGGGAAAAGAGATGTTAAATCGGCCTTCAATCTCTGCCCTGTACACCCTGACGATTTCGATTTATTAGGTGTCAAATTTGATGGCAAGTATTGGATTCAAAAAATGCTTCCGCAAGGGTGTTCAGTCAGCCCCGCCTATTTTGAAAAATTTTCAACATTCCTTCACTGGGCGGTTTCTCAATATGCAAACTCGTCAAACTTAGATCATTATTTAGATGATTTTTTCTTTGCCGGAAAAGCCGGCACAGAGGATTGCACAAACCTCATGTTGGATTTTGAGTACATCTGTAAAGATATGAATATTCCTATAAATGAAGATAAATCAGAAGGCCCTAATACAATCATCACTTATTTAGGCATAGAGATTGATTCTTTAAAGATGGAAATAAGAGTTCCCTTTGACAAAATAAATAAAGCAAAATCATTGCTATTAGATGCCTTGGTCAAACTTAAAATTAGATTAAGAGAACTGCAATCAATTCTTGGCATTTCAAATTTTTTCACGAAAGCAATACCAGCAGGTCGTACTTTTAACTGTAGATTATACGCTGCACAGTGTCAGGCAAAGAGATCTTACCATATATTCGCTTGAATAAAGATCACAAGGAAGATATTAGAACTTGGCTGCAATTTCTTGATCATTTTAATGGTGTGTCTATATTCAGTGATCAATACTGGTCGTCAAATCATGACCTTGACCTTTATTCAGATGCTGCTGGTAACAGGCATTTAGGCTGTGGTGCTTACATGGACGGGGAATGGATAATTTTTGAATGGCCGATGTTTTGGAGTAATGATGTATTTAAAGACATTACTCTTCTTGAACTAGTCCCTATTCTATTGGCCTTTTACACATGGGGATCAAAGCTTAAAGGAAAAAAGATTATCATCAATTGTGACAACATGAGTCTTGTGCAGATTCTTAACAAAAAAATCATCGCGAAATCTGAAAGTCATGATTCTGCTCCGAAAACTTGTTTTATTATTGCTTTATAACAATATACAAATAAAAGCAATTCACATCGTGTCGAAGAAAAATGATATATGTGACGCAATAAGTAGATTACAATTCCCTAGACTGCAGAATTGCTTGCCTGTAAATGCTAGCAGAACCCCTCTTTCTATCCCATTTGATTTTCAGCAATTTATCAACACGAAATCATTCGACTGGTAAACATGTCTTTAAGTGAGAATACAAGCAAATGTTACAAGTCGGGATTAGAATCATTTAGAAAATTTAGAATTTTAATGCTCTGTCCGAGCGTTTGGCCACCCAGTCTAAATGAAATCGTAGAATATATAGCGTTCATGTCACATGGCGGATATGCATATAAAACGGTAAACTGTCACATCGCTGCCATTAGCTATGTAAACAAAATGAATAATTTTCAAGACAATACTAAATTTTTCATAGTAAGAAAAATGTTAGAAGGAATGAACAGATTACAAAGTCGATCAGACTCTCGCAGGCCAATCACTTTGCACCTTCTTAAGCAAATTATACATAGCTTGGTGTTTATATGCATGTCCGATTATGAAGCATTACTTTTCAAAACAGCTTTTTTACTCGCATTTTTTTGGGTTAATGCGCGTGAGCGAAACTGCATTTCTCTGCAACGAAATTCAGTCAAATGATTCATTTGTTCAAATACACATAAAATCATCTAAAACAGATCAGATGGGTAAAGGTCAAACTATACGGGTAAATTTCGAGAGTGAAGACGCCGTGTTGCTCAAACATACCGGTACTTTAGAAAATTATAAAAGACAAAGACCTGCCGTTCAAGGTCAATATCTATGTCATGCAAATGGAAAGCCATTAACCCAATACCAGTTTAAGCATGTTTTACGCAAATGTCTAGAATATTTGGGACAACCTCTAAACATTTTTAAATCACAATCATTTAGAATGGGTGGAGCCACATACATGTTCAATAAAGGTATGTCTGAATCAGCAATTAAGCAGGCTGGACGCTGGAAGTCAAATGTATATCAGTCTTACATAAGAGTATAAACCAATCAACTTCATTGTTAATTTTAGGTCCTCCCGAGGTATGGGTTATAGGGTCTTCGATTATCCGAGATGCCTACTATTATTCCATCGAAAACAAGGGTCACAACCTTGGATTGGATCTCAAAATAGTTTGGGATTTTAGGTCAGGTATGAAGGTTCAACATCTGGCAAACACCATACAGCACTTAGCACTGAAATATATGAAATACCCTGATATGCTTATCATTCACTGTGGTGGGAATGATATTGGACAGACACCCTTAAATGAGGCCGAGCTTTTAGCAATACGCACATTGAATGATGTACACCAGTTAGGTATTCAAAATGGGTTTTATATAAAGATTGTCTGGTCGCAAATTCTTCCACGTATGTTTTACCGTGGTGAACGTAGCCACTTTAAGTTGAACAAGGCACGAAGGCGCTTTAATACAACACTTCAATCATTTTGTAAAACAATTGGCGGTGCCTATATTCGACATCAAGACATAGTGGAAGCCCAGCCTCTTTTTCGGGATTTGGTTCATTTGTCAGAATTTGGTAATGAAATATTCACCAATGATTTAAAAGAGGGTATTGTCGCTATTTTGCGACATAACAGAGATTGCTACCCTTAAGAATAAAAATAATTGATATCATGAATTATTAACAAGTCTGTAAACTCTGGTAGGAGATTAGTGGTGACCGAATTCCGGCATCATTTATTAATAATAATTCTTTGTTTATGTTGTGATAGACGCCGCTATGATAATAATGGTCGAGATGATGCAAATATGAATAATAAAAATAATAATAAATGAATTCATATGACAGAAAACTAGAATATAATCTATTTAACATGCAGACGACCTTCTTGCTTGGAATCTTTAATGTAACTCAAAAATAGACAGATACAAATTTAAAGAATAAGCAATTGTCATTTATGAAGCTCGAATTAAGAACTTGATACTAGTAGATAGAATATGCGTACTATCGGTGGCAAAAAACCTGACATTAGCTCTTCGTCTCATACGTAGACTCCGCATGATACTTTCAACATAGTATATTAAGTATATAGCATATAGTTTTGCATTAACTTATTATCGGCGACCGAGTTCCGGCAATTAATCCACGATATTAATATTTCATTAATATAATTTCAAAACTTTACCGAATTCCGGTAATATCTCCGATGTCCGGAGAAAGATACATATTTGTATATGCAGTATAAATACAATTTTATCAGTTGGCGATTTACGTCGTTAGAAATTCAGGCGTCCGAAGAGACAATTGAATGTCCAAATATTCCGGCGCTGTTGATCGAAGTCCGATCTAGTTACCGATATCCGGAACAAGTTGAAATGAATATATATATCTATACAGATTGTTTATGGGATGTGCCATTGATCGCAATACTGCGGGCCTCCCTACAATTATCGGCGTCCGAATTCCGGGGCCACCTCCGATATCCGGAGTACACACAAGTTTTTCCAAAACAAAAAATTGGGGGGTCCTTACGTATCTGTAGGGGGCCTTTATGTACATTTTTGGCATTTTTGTCGTTGATAAGACGCTACTCCTTGGCAGGGCTTGGTCCTACGACGCAGTCTTGTCCCGGCGCTTTGGCATTCTAGCGCACTTATCAAGTAACATATTCATGTGTTTAAAGAAGCATTCGGCATTGTTCTTGATTGGTATTTATATTACAAACCTTTCTTTTGGCATATTGGAAATCGCAATCAAAGTTATATTGAACATATTTTGTATAATATATATTATTGCATGTGCAATGCGTTTTTGTTACAAGTCAGTCATGGCCAAGTAACTGCCATCCTTTTATAAATAGATAATATTGCTAATTATATAATTATTCATTTAAGGTTATATGTTCTGAATAGAATACCATATATAAATATATATTGTGTTAGTTTTTTCTCACAGGGTGAACAGATAAATCCATTCATTTACAGCTCGTCTTTAAATGAATGCAGTTATCTGGTCCCCATTAAAGGGAGAGAACTCGTCCGGTCTTGTTGCTTCAACCACGTGTTGTACGTGACGTCATAATTAAGTCTGATGTCATCGAGACCTTGCGCGTTTTCAATCCTTTTCCTCGAGGAATTCAAGCAGGAAGGTCGACATTTTGCTTTTTCTTACAAATTAACCCTCCCAAACCCTACCCTTGTAGAAAGATTTATTGATTATATATTTGGAAGAGTTGCTTCGTTTGTTTCTTTGTATATTTTCAGCATAAACTGCTCACTAGATCAATTGATATGCTATCTTAGCCATTGATACACCTTAATGATCTACGTCATGACTGGCTGATGGGAAGAACCTTAACACTGAAAAATCACTGGACAAGACTTGTGTGTGGTATGACAGTATAGTGATGTGACTTAATGTGATTTAACAGGAACCAAGATTCATTAATTCTGTTGAAAGAATAAAGTGTTCATGTTGAAGAAATTATGACATAGATTGATTTAGATCTACATTTGATATTATGATAAAGAACAAAAGAAATGTATTTGTGACTTGTGTGAAAATAAGAAATTGTGAATGTGATTTAAACTAACATTTATGAAAAGATAACAAGGTTCTTTCCATAATTAATAATTGATTATATTGCATTTTATTATGATACGGCATTCTAGCGCACTTATCAAGTAACATATTCATGTGTTTAAAGAAGCATTCGGCATTGTTCTTGATTGGTATTTATATTACAAACCTTTCTTTTGGCATATTGGAAATCGCAATCAAAGTTATATTGAACATATTTTGTATAATATATATTATTGCATGTGCAATGCGTTTTTGTTACAAGTCAGTCATGGCCAAGTAACTGCCATCCTTTTATAAATAGATAATATTGCTAATTATATAATTATTCATTTAAGGTTATATGTTCTGAATAGAATACCATATATAAATATATATTGTGTTAGTTTTTTCTCACAGGGTGAACAGATAACTAATGTTAAAGAATTCGCTGAAAATGTGTCTTATATATAATTTCGACCTTATAATCGACCTTGTATTTAATTACTTCGTAAAAACAACCGAAAACAACAACTTAATTTAACAAATGACATCCTGTATCATATCCGCCTTGAACATAATGTTAAATCAACAGGACATTGACGTGAAAGAAAAATAATAAGTAAATTATGCGAAAAGAATAACTTAATTTTTGCAAAATCTACAATTAGGAAATTGACGTGAGATATAAATACATGTGGATTCTTTTTACTTTATTTGTATGTGTGTTGTTTTTTTTGCTTGTTTGTGGTTTTTAAGTTTATTTTTTACATTTAATTACTTTTTCTTTCAGAGAAAAATAACGAAATAAAGCTGTCGAGTTTTTATCTCATAAATGATATATGCAAAAATACATTTACCGTTACTTGACCTATGTTGAGTATGTAATAAACACGTAAATTCATAAAGTAACGTTGATCAAACTCATTTGTTTTTCATTTGATGTGGTAACATTTTCCGGTTTGTGTACAATAACCAATACGACGTATTTCCAAAGTATTCTGGCGGATAAGTTCTGACATTTAATAGGTTAAGCTTGAAACTAACAATTGTGATAATTTATTCACATGTACAAATTTATTTTATGATCCCATAGGTTTCAAGAAAGCTTCAGACATTCTTTTTATCTTTTATAGATAGTAGTAAATTGACTTTACTTGCATGTTTATAGTGCATTTTTTGTCCGAATGGTTACGAAGAACGTGACTCCTTATTTCATCTCTTATAAGTTAAATTTGTTCAAGTCAGTGCCGCGAGCATATATCACGATAGCCATACTCAAACGGAGTCTAAAATTTTCACCTTTGTAGTTTAGATAACTAGCCATATTGCATATCTATACAAATGTATCTAATTCAATATGTATTCTGTAATTAGTAATAAATTTATTTTTTAAAAGCAAACCCTTTTCGAAAAGTTGCTGAACATCTGTAAAGTTCCAGTATTGAGCATTCGCTGGAACTATCCTAAAGGTCATGCCCTACTCTAGTTTGAAAGTATAACATAGGAAATATACTACTTTCTATGCAAAAATAATTAAAGTATTTTTTTCGTTTTTTAATATATTTCAATAAAAAATCTCCTCCATTTATGCATGAAAAAAAACCTTTTTACTCACAAATTGATAATGTTTATGATGTAAAAGTCAAAGAAGAATTAACCATATTGTGTCGTTCTACTCTAATGAATGATAAATATTCCATATTTGATATAGAATTAGAAATTCATATAATTAATCAATTTTGTATAAAGAAAAAAAAGAAAATAACGACCGCTAAATCGTCCCACACGTTAATATAGTAATTAGAACCTTCACTTTGCGTGTTCTTAATGAATCACGGTCTCGAGACCTTGTTCATAACAATCTAAAACAGTCATAAATGACATACTTTACTATATCCGCATTGATAGTTTTAATTACGTGAACTATGCATATTTTATATAGAAATAATAATAAGCAAAAAAGTAAACGCAAATGTAATCATGTGTATTTTGTATGTTAAAATAATAAAATGATTTTTGAGATTTTTTATATTAAAGGGAAAGGCAATGTAAAAATGAAAAATTATTATCAGAAAAAGCATACTATAAATAGTAAACATGCAAATTTTCTGCGTTCAAATAATGATAGTAAATGCTTTATAAATAGATTTAAATTGCTTAATCACCGATTTCTACAAAGCAGTAGGCACAACCATGTTTGTGTATTGGTCGCGTAAGACGTTGTTCGCCCGCATATTCACCCGCATATTTAGATTTGCGGTAATTATCGAATCGCCGCGAAAGACAACCTGCAAATCATTTCTGAATTATTAAAATAGTATTTCTAATATTATTGGCTGAATATTTGGATATAGTTTACTTTCTTATTAATCTTTCAAGCCAGCAAATCCCTGAACAGGAAAGGTTAATAATTTGATCGACTACCACTGATGATAATGAGATACACAATCTAAGATATTACTGCAATTCTCTTGATATTGAAAGTGGTAGGAAAAAGTAAACTTTGTTCTCATAACGTGAAATCCGAAAATCACTTCTAGTTATGTTTCCCAATTTATTGTGACCAAGAAACAGATTTGTTGTTTATAATGCTACGAGCAGAAATAAGTGCAAATATTGCCATCCTTTTTATATTTGTAAATCGCGAAATGTATTTTATATGCCAATAAACCTGAAACTGGTAAAAAAAACATCCAACACATTTCTAATAAATACAAGCTTTCAGAAGACAAAAATACATATATTTTAAAAGGACACAGGTGTTTTATTAATGCTTTCATATATTTAATAGATATCGTTATTTTTTTCTACAGCAAATGTGTTCCATTCTAGAAAGTGCTAGGTAATTAGAGCTATATTTATAAACATACGACAGTAAAAGACAATTGCCAAGAAGAAATTATTATTTTAAGATTTCTAATTCTGGACAATTGGCAATTAGAAATGATATACGTATATATAGCAGACAATATCGATTGCCAGTTCAGAGGCTTGCAAGAATATGAGTTCTCTCATGTTAAGTTTTAAGCCTTCAAACTGCTGAAAAGAACATCACCACTTTAAATTTCAAAACAAGTTCACTACTGCTCTTTATTGGTGGCATTTGCATTGGTTCTTTGAAAACCGCATTCATTTAAAAAAAAAAGCTTCCAATAAACAACATGTGTAAGTATCATGTTTTTACCTACCGCAACGCTTTTGCCTTTTTGCCTTTCCTGTCATTCTTCAACACTAGGATACACTGAATAGATAAGGTATTTCGATTTCGCTTTAGCGATGAAAACAAGATATTCCTAATTATTTGACATTGTTCAAACATTCTATTTTTATATATCGTGTTAGGCGTGGACGGTAACTTGCACTTTACCGTCCATGAAGTGGCTCAATGAAACTGAGCATGTAACATTTTCAGTTTTGGTCGTTTCGTGCGTACCTTATCTATTTTATATTTTTCAAAGATATGATATTTATTTGCTTATAATTCGGCTTTTATAAGCCAAAAGTATGAATGACAGTAAACTGTTGTTAACGATATTGTTGTGAAATTTTAACTTCGTGAATTCACGTTTTCAACATACGGAGTTCATAAATTCACGATTTCAACTTCGTGCATCATGATTAAAACTTCACAAATTCATCTTCGTGAAGTCACGATTTCAACTTTACGAATTCAAAATTGCAACTTCTTGAATTCGCGATTTCGACTTCACGAATTCAACTCTACAAATTTATTATTTCAGCTTCTTGAATTCACGATTTGACGATTTCAACTTCATGAATTTTACGATTTTATCTTCACGAATTCAACTGATACATTATATTCTTAAAATTAGGCAAAAGTCTTTCACAGTAATATCAGCTTCATGTAAGCTGATATCAAAGACCCTTTTTGACAAAAAAATAATGATAGCTACGCGACGTGTGTTCTTTGTGTTTACATGCGTTGAAAGATTCTATTTGTTTACTTTTAATTGTTATCATTGTTATGTAAATTATTATTCAAAGTATGCTTTATTACTATGACAATTGGTTAATCACACAGTATTGAAAATAAAATGCGAAAAAAGGATATAAATACCGTACAAATCAAATGAAGAAGGGAATATAAATGTTAGATATACAGCTTCACCGTTATTCGTTATGTATTTATAAGCGCTTCCAATGTTTTTGCCACGACTTTGCCGTAATTTTGTCATTTGGCTGTCTTTTAATTCACACCGACACTACTGGGGCAGGTCATACGGCGACTTGCTAGCTTTAGTTGTGGAGGAAAACCTAATGTTCCCTTCAGTGCAATATTTCAAGCATCTGGCACCTGAGTGAAAACCGTCGACCTTCCGAAAGTTAATGAAAGAACACAAAGACCCTGGTGGAATTCTGACTCACAGTCGTGACAGACAAGATGTTCAGTGACGGAAAAGAGGCTCAAAATAGCGACCTTAACCACCGGGTTGCAGAATGTTTAAAAATCTGCCGGTTAGCAAACTTGCATGTCTTGTCTGTATTTTCAATTATAGTTTTAATCGTAACTCAGAAACTATATGAAATTTTAGACATAAGAGAACATTCTAATTAAGCTTAGTGGATATTATTATGTTATAAAATGACGTTTTCCCTATCATTGCTGTAAATGTATGAGAATGTCAAATGTCTTATTAGAGTCTGATATTTAACGATCTATGCTATAATTTATATCGGCAATTATGAATACTTTAAATATTTGAAACCTGCCGGCGAATGATATTTTTTTTCAAAAACCATTAAACACACAGTCCCACATTAAAGTAAGACTGTTAAAATGCAACTATAGTATATAAAGGCATTCATGATGTTTTGATATAAATACCCTTAGGAATCAAACCACAATGTGATTGGATCGAGTTGTTGATTAATGGTTTATGTCGGTGTTAATTCTCTTACAAAACAATACATTACAAAATTTTATTCGTCATTAAACATACACACATGTTTACAGCAAATACAAACAAAGCTGTTTAGTGACAAACATGTCAAAAGAAATGAAATTGTAAACGAATTTTTTTCCGAAGAGAGTATATAGTTCTTAGAAAATCATTAGTAACTATTAGTAAGTATATCCTGAAAGTCCTAATTTAAATCAAAATATTTAGAATGTGATTAAAACAAGTAAGTATTTAAAGGTCACAGTTTTTATGATAAAAATTGCCTTATCTGTATACATATATAATGTTTACATCGTATCTAACCATTCTTTGTCTTAAACTGAGTTTGAAAATAATCCGTGGACAGTGATGATTAAATTTGTTTGTTTTTACCTTTGTGTATTCACCGTTTCCGGGTTTTTGTACGATAATCCGTGCGACGTATTTCCAAAGTATTCTGGCGGGTAAGTTTTTGTAAGTTTTGCTTGAAGGTAATTATAACATTCTTTTGTCAAAAAAAAAACAGCTAATGTTCCAATGGAATATATTTAGCTTTATTTAATTATACCCATGAAATATGGTGCTATATCAGTCAAATATATTTCATATTTTTGAAAAAATAAAATATGAAATATAAATATGAAAGTGGGCGGAGTCAAAACTCATATTTTTTAAGGGACTTCTTTCGCAATTTTGTTTAAAAAATCTGATAAATAAAAAACAACTTTGTGTTATATTTTGGTTTGAAAACTATCTAGAATGATAGAAAATGGTCTAAGAAAATAAATCTGAAAACCAATATCTTTAATTAAGTCATTAACGCTGTACAGACGTTTAAAAAGTTGTTTACGTGAGTCACAATGTAGCCCGATCATCGCGTGCAAAACAAGACGCATCTATTAATAATAAATTTATTACTGCGCGCTGTACAATTGCAGCTGCGTGGCAAGCAAAGCGATTTGTAATTAAATTAAATAAAAAGGTTATTTTTTCGTTTTTAGTGAAATATGGTGTACATTTTCAATATGATAAAATGCCACACATTTTGGCTGAATTTGTTGTTTTAAGCATATAGTGCAAACCCTAATAGAAACAAACGTGGTTTTTCAATTTATTGCCAGATATTTAACATCAGTGATGATATGTATAAGTGTTCTTAATGATAACCTATGCCAAAATATTCAGTACTGACACTCGGATATTGTTTAACATGATTCGTAAACCATTATTTCTCATTTTCACCTACTTAATTTTTTCATTGCAGCCGTGGGATCTCCAATTTTACGTAGTTTTTAGAATATTTACTGAATTAAGTTAACATGTTGACATCCTATATCTAAAACCTATACTTTTAACATTTATATCTTTTTCTAAATTTTTGATCTCATATTAGTTTCTATTTTGTAGCATTCCCAGCTACAACAATTTCACAACAACTGTAAACGTTCCAGCTAAATGCAAGAATGGGACATTCCGCTGGGACTATCCTAAAGGTCACGCCATGCTGCATTTCCAAAATATGCACGGGGTAAATATAGTCAATTCTAAGTTTTATAGTCAATGTGAAGAACTTTCAATATTCATACCAAAGATATACATCAAGAAAAAGGTCCACAGTTTACAGTACGACCTTTTAGCATACATTGATAAAATGACTTGAGAAGATAACATTTGGAAAAAGAAACATATTTATTCTGGTCCTTATTTTCGTGTAAATAATTTGAAATTTTATCTTTTTTCACTTGTAAAAGAATAAAACATTTTTATATTTTCACATTTTATTTCGTTTTTGTATTTAGATGGAAATGAAAATATGCATAAAGGACAGCTTAGGTGGAACATTCTTCAATGTTACAGATAAAGCTACTAACGAACGTCTAGGACCTTTTGATTACGGTAAATCTACTTTTCAATAATTTGTTTTATCAGGGAAAATCAGTCTAGATCAAATTCAGGAAAAATCTTATATATCAAGTGTAATTGTTTCACTTAGCATAATCGTGTTTTTGTTATATATTTTATTTGTGATTAAAGGTCATCTGATATTGCAGTGACAATGCATGTAAAAATCTGGAAAAGGGGGTGGTCCTTCCGAAGCACTGAAAACAACAAAATTACATTAAAAATGTATAGTCACTAGATTACGTGCGGCTATTAATTAAAGCCCTCGTAATTATGTGGCTGTCAATAAAAAACACCTTATTATCGGTCAAGCAAATTATATCACTTATTGCTGTGACTATAAATGTGGGTAATTAAATTTCGTGACTATTACTATTTGTCCTACTTATAGATTTTATTGTATATACTAGTACATGGCCATTGTTTATGTTATACAATATTGTAAATTAGAACATAAGTTACCCTACCTTATGTTGTGTTTTACTAATAATGGTTACTTGTCGTTTTACTACAAATATTTGTTGAGTTTAAAGTCACAACGGCCTAGATAAGTATAACGAATTTTCTAGAAAGATCTTACTTGTCTATGCTTATTTTCTTTTTACTTTTGTGACACAAGCAGGTACAAACTATTGACCCTCTATAAATTTGCTGGATAGCTTCCTAAAATGACCAATTCAAAGTCCCTCGGGATTTTTTATATAAAGCTGAGTGATTTAAAGTTGAGTTGACAGATATATGAATGAAGTTATAGTGTTTCTTCGAATATGTGTTATGTAATCTTGTTTCTATGGGTACATGGATGTATGTCATTTTGATTTTTACAAATATATGTTATAAAATGTTGTGTCTATGAATGTGTGTTTTATATAGTGGTAATTCTATGACTGTGTGTAAAAGAATGTTGTTTAAATATTTTATATAATGTCACATAAAGAAATCTTGTTTTACGAATGCATGTGAAGACTATTTCAAATTATATTTTGTACACTTGTACATTTTTACAGTTTTGCCTCTACGAATATATTTTATATATAAAGTGTTTTTTTTCTATGAATTTATGTTAAATATTATTGTTTCTACAAATATAGATTATATCATGTTTCTACGAAGATATGATTCATTATGTTGTTTCTAACAATAAAGAATATAAATTGATATCTTTCACACAAGAACAGTCACAAACAGACCACACTTGTTTTAACCCTTTTAAGCATGTCTTTCAGAAACCTATGCGTGTCTGCAACCAACATCTGAACGAGAAGTTGTTCTCCAAGTGGATGCTCCGCTGGACCTTCGTTACATGGGAGAGTTTGAATACAGAATTTATAAATGATTTTATTTCTAGGAATAAATTTTTAATATGAACATGGACTTTTTCTTGATTAAACATGAAACATCAAACGTCCGTTTCTTGGCTTTTGCATTATCTGAATAGTGTTCAATCAACAGAAGGGGTTTTTAGTCAGGGAATCGTAGTTTCTGTTTTGTGTTTCAGAAATATGAACTAGTTCATACTATTTAACTGTTACCGACGGTTTTGTTAATCATATTTTTGGTGCGTTATTGCTCTCAATAAAGTCATCACAATAATGCCATAATGAGTTAACACCTATAAAATTATATAAAGGGTTAACCCGTTTCTGCACTAAGGTAACGAAATGTGCTTGACATATTTTTCTTCCATTTTTGCTTCTACTTTTTACAAACAGCAGGATTATGTTCCCAATTTTCTTTATTTCACTTTTTAAAGAGCGTCGGTATTGGCAGATTATTTTTCAAACATGAAAAACGTGATTTGTTTTAATCTTTTATAGAATATTGGTCATGCACGGAACAGTCTTCTGCAGAGGACATATTGATACAGATGGACGCACCAATAATGCACAATCTATGTTGCTGCTATTGAATACAAAGTTCTTTCTTGATATATTTGCGATGTTTGATTTGAATTGTTCCAACATTAAAATGCAATTTTCAAATTAACAGTTTAACCATTATTTCAAATCTCCGATCTAGCTTTCTGTTCCAGCAAAAATTCACAAATTTAAAAGGACACACAATTTATATTGTTTTCTATGACGACAAACCTGTTGTCTTGTTATTGTCTACACTGTTTGTTATTTAGTCAATACGTATTTGGAAAATTGTCCAATAGTTGATGAATGGTATTGTCCAAATAAAAAGAAGGATAAAATAGAGTAAAATAAAATCCAAGGACTTCCAAAAACTGTAAAGTTGAAAATGTTGCAGGCTCGATTTGACTGAGCCAGTTAAGTGTAAACAACCATCACCTCCACCCCCGACTTTAAGCAGAATTTAACAATTAACATTTTTTTCAAGATTTCGAAATAAATTTCACGTCAACTTTCTGTCATTTCTGAAATGTTATTTAATTTCAATAAAACTTATTACTGTTTATGTTTATATGTATATCATTTTTGCATTTTTTTTTAAAACCGATTAACCAATTACAATTTTCAAAGCCAAATTTAATTTTTCCAATTTTTCATTCCACTGTCCTTCAATTATATGCGACTGTTTTTCAAAAATTAAAAAGTCTCTACATGGAAACGGGTGTTTTAAGATTACATTTTTTGCAAAGTCTGATTTATCAACACGAAAAGAAATAAAATTCCAGGTTAGTTTATTTTTCAGATTACTTTAACATATATAAAATGATAAAATCAGGATTTACATGAATAATGCATTATTCTGATTACCTTAACCTATAGAAAAATAATACAAATCAGGAATTTCATATTTCTAAAAGATTACTATTAATATGTTATCAGGTAAAAGAAATAACACCGCTAAATCACTCTGGTACCCGAGGGATTTATACCAACGTTGTGAATATTTCAATGCATTAACACATGTCTGTGAAAGCCAAACGTGAAATTTAATCAAGAGGCTAATGGATCGATTAATCAAATCAATCATTTTATGGATATTATAATAGCAATACAAAATATTTGTGTTTTGCTTGACAATTAAAACATGGAAGGTAAAATGAGTGTGACTTGATCTGCTGCTGGTAATGTCTTTCTAAGGTAACACGTTAAAGTGTTTATATGGGAACACGTGAATAAGGTGTAAATTACAATACATTTACTTTCAGTTAATTAAAACGGACCCACTTTGCTTAGAAAGTTTCATTCCGATATATGTATAACCACGCGTATCAAAAAATTGCCAAAAACATTACCAGAGGACAATAATCCCACCTGAGAAGAAAATAAAATAAATTATATACACGTGTCCGTTTACATATTACGATAGGATGCTTAAATAAATAGTAAGTTTCCAGCTCATACAAGTACTGTTACGTTTTGATAGGATGATCAAGTATTTAGTAAAAGTAAATAAAATAGAAAAAAATTGATAGCGATCAGAAAACCTAGTGATCATGGACAACCATATGATTTCAGTTGTATAGTTCTATTACAATTAGCCTGTTTCCATGGAAATTATCAAATTTATGGTTGGGAAATATTTATATATTTTGAAATGTTTCCGTTTGAAAAGCTATGTATTGTCCACAGTTTATATATGTATACATACATGTATATAATAAGATAACTTATAGGTCCGATGGGCAGGGTGTTTTTGTATGTATTCTTATCAAGTATATATATTTGATATAAACTATGCTACTATAATAAACAATTTACTTACTTATTTATACATAATATATGTTCATATGTGTAAATTATACATGTCTAAATACACATAGCGTACGCACAGAAATGGTTTTGTAGAAAAACTAAAACACAAAACATAATATGTTAACATAAGAAGTGCATAAAGATTTTAGTAGCTTTGCTTAATTATTCTTTACGATAAATATATTTCTCAGTATCACGTAAGTTTTGTTGACTTTCTTTCTTTCTAAATATTGGAAATAAAAAAGGTTTACAAGTTATTTATGTGTTAAAATGAACACATGTTTAATATTCAATTATTTGTGAAAAATGTAGCCACTATCTTGAAGCGTACAATTACATAAAAGCACGTTTTCATTGCAAAACATTTGCATGGTCAAAATGCCATTTGTTTACTAAAATGTCAAAACTTTGGTTAATTTGAGATATATTATTGGAAGTATAATAGAGTTTGAGTACCCTATCCAAGAAACAAGCAACCACATGTAGGTTGGTACCCTGTAAGATGTTAGAGGATCTGTAAAAGTAATAATGTAGAAAGGGAGCCAGCAGAAAATATACGAATATGATAAACAAAAGTATTATGCGCGCCAATTTTGTCCCAAAATGCCTCCTGTTAAAACTACGTCTTTTCGTGTTGATTTGTACAAGTTTATGAAACATTTGTTCCCGTTTTTTAACAGATGACTTTGTACATGCATTGCAAATCAAAATGAACGCTGTCGGTACAATATAACATATACCTGTTGTTGCAAAGGCGTATGGCTTATTTAAAATAAATTGGCACATTTTTGTTCGTTGAAATAAACATTCCATTTGTTGTTCAATCCCTTTGAGATGAAACTTCGGAAGAATAAAACAAAAAGACAAAATAACTGGAATTATCCAACATCCGATGAATAGAATCGTATTGAACTTCCGGTTTAACCAGTAACATCGTCTAAAAGGTCGACATATTGAAAGATATGCTTCGAAAACCAACATGGAAATGTGAAATATAGAGCTTGTGCGGGTCATGACATCAAAACTGTTGCCGACATCACATAGTAAGAGCTTTAATTGGTCACGAACGTGTATCTTAACAGAAATTAATCCAAATAACTTGACCGGAAGTACGAAAACTCCGGTGAATGTGTTACAGATCATCAACGAACATAGAAACAACCGGGTGTTAGCTTTTAATTTCGGTGCACGTACAGTGTACGCTAATGTTATAATATTTATAGATATATCAACTACAGGAACGAATGCTAAACAATATCCAATCACTTGCCCTGCTAAATAACTGTAACCCCAAGTTGGCGTCGTACATTCTACCTGGTTTGAGGAGACATTCCCACTGAGTAATGAAAAGTTCATCACCATATAGAAATACTGTCAACAATTTACACTATAAAACGGTAGCTGTATTTCAAATGAAACTAAATTTATCACTTTACACATGATACTTCCTTTCTCCTCCCCACCTCTTTGTTGCAAAAATACATGACTGTTTATATCTGTACAATAATTTTCAGAAATTATCTTGTCAACGTATATAACACCCTGGCTCTAAAGTCAATGGCTCTATGTATTCATCGGGAAACAACTGCTGAGATCACATGATCCAATATAAGATATACCCAGCCAGTCCGCACAATGTAATTTTATACAGCATTAATTACCACTGGTTTAATGGCATTCTATTCAATTAAATATTTAAGCAAACTATTTTAAGTCTTGTATGTAGTCTACCTTGATTTTTGAATATTTTTATGACCGATCGAATATAGCATTTATCAATGCATTATATTTGAAACCAGAGAAATTAAATTCGCATTGAAAATAAGCTATTGGCAATTTTGCTCGGACACAGGTTGCGTATTGCAGCATTTATAACAAGATTAATATCAATCATTTATGGATTTAAAACCGGTATACTAACTTTGTAATAATAGTGTTGAACATTTGCCGACATGCTTTCATTGGAATTTGACAAATCGTAAAAGTTACCTAGCTAAACGGTTACTATAGGGTTTTTTTTCATATTTCCCCCAACCCAAAAAAAGGGCCCGCGATATGACAAAAACAGGTGAATTTTCCCATTTATGGCACAAAAAAATTTATCTCAAATGCAATTTAAGCTTTTTTTTCCCACCCTTTTCTTTTAAGACCGTTCAAAAACAGATTCTAGTTGTTTTGAACAAATTTCAACAGAAAAAAGTAAAATTTTGTTTAAAATTTAAAAATGTTAAAAAACCCTCTTCATATTTATTAATGAAATTCCTATTTTTTATTTTAAGGTTAACTACGATAAATTCTGAAAAAAGGTCTTAATTTAAAGGGGTTTTAAGTCTTGGGGTTTAAAACACGCAGCAAAGGGGAGAAGAAAGAAAAAAAACGCCATCCAAAAAATGGAATTTTTTGTCAGCAGTTGGGGTTCAAAGGACAGGGAAAACAAAAAAAACCCGATGATTTTAGACTGGTTGTCTAGCGGCACTAACGAAAGGAGAAATATGACATTAGATCGTCTGAATATGCAATAGGTTGTTAAAAGTCAGCTGGTGTTTTGACCTTTTTTCGCCTTGCAAAAAAGCAAGGTAAGACATGACGTTTTACCGCTGTTTCAGTGTCGTTTTTGTATTTTCTGATCGTAAGATCAGTAAATACATAGCTAACATCCACGGTCTAACACAAAATATCCTAACAGTCCTAACAACGCAAAGTAGTTCTCACTCAAAACTGCTTAAAAACCAGCAATTTAAAAGAAAGAATAATTTTTAATGTAGGCATTTAACGAATTACAGTGCATTAAAAGTTTAGAAAGGCCTATAGAAATATGAGGTTACAATCACAAATTTCGCGGATGAAATATCTTTTTTTATCCAATGAAAAATGTTCGGCTATTTCCGTAAAGCTTCGGATTATCATGAATATCATTTTAATCAATGAAAATGCTATTTTTAGCTATGTCGATTAATGAATACTCCAGAGCGTAGTACACAAATAAATCTGACTGCCGAGTATATATTAAGCGGAATATATACATGTCGGACTGTTTTGGCGAGAATATTTTCGCTAAATTATTTTCATCAGTGTTAAACAACAGGTTTATCGTGAACAAAATACCTCGAAATTAATAAGGATTGCAAACACGAAATGGAAATTCTCAATTTAGAATTACATAATGTATTCGTTTTTTATTCAAGGTACATATGTATTACTTCGCCGTGGTGCAGAGATAAGCGGTCTCGTTGAGAGTGTGAGAGGCCTATGGTTCAAATCCTAGTCGGGGCAATTCTATTTTTTTTCATGCAAAATTCCATATGTATCAATCTCAAACTGTTATAGAAGAAAAATCAAAAAACGCTGTCGCTGCGTAAGATGAATTATATAGTATATATAAAATAAAACTTATATAGGAAAGTACATACAGATAGTCAGTATGATTTAGATTACAAAAGATCAGAAAATACCATAGAGCTGAAGCCCTTTGATTCGTATTAGCATTTCGGTCTTGTTGCCTTCTTGAATTTGAACAAGTCACGCGATAAAACACAAAAAAGTCAATTTGGTCCTCGTGACAAAAGTGATATAAATAAGCCACGATAGTTTTTACAACGTTATATTTTCCGCAGATTGCAGATATGGGACTTGAATATTACACAATATTTTTATACACACCAGATTTTCTAAAATTTAAGGCTCTGTGTTTGGCATACAAAGTTTAAAAAATGTGGAAATGATTTACTAAATGACGCGTTCGGCCAGTAAGCCTTTAGTTGTCGTGGTAAAAAAACCCTCCCATGTGTTTATTTTTCTATGATTGAGAAATGCTAAATATACTGCATGTGTATGTGTAAAGGGACTAGAGCTGCTGAAATCCGTTTATTTTGTAGTTTCCAAGATTTTATTTTATCGACCGCACTATTCAATGTATCTCTTGCATGCTCGAGTGATATTATTATAAAATTTTGTAGTTAAAGATATACATATGTACCTGAATTGGGAAAAGGGGTAAAAATGGCAAAAAAGACACATTTTTTTTCAATTTTTTTAAAATTTTACGGTTATAAATATGAAACATTAAATTAAATTTTATATAAAAATATATAAACTTTTCATATACATTTTAAAATTCTAAAAAAATATTTCTTTATTTTAAATCAAAGGAAAGGGGGTAGCGGCTTCTGTTTTTTGCTGAGTGGTGACAATACAACAGAGAACCCTGAAAAAAGGGTTTTTTTTTAATTTAAAACCCCTTTAATTTTGAAAAAAACAAAACACTTTTGTAAAGCATCATTCTTCATTTTTTTTTAAATTCTTTTTAAGCAAACAAACCCAAATTTAAAAAATTTACCAATCTCTGGCCCCAAAACCCCTTGCGACAAAAAGCCCTGCCCTTAGGGGGAAAAATTAAAAATTTAGTAGTGAATCCTATTTAAAAAAGATGACCTATCCCAAATATGTCATAATGCATTTTCTTGTGTATTATAATGGTTTATTATTATATTCATGCTACACGTTTTATATTCAATCATATAGGGGCAATATAATTAGAAATATTGACTTAAAATATACTTAAAATATCGATTTCAATTTTTCTTTTGTCTATAACAATAGTCAATCAAGCACCGAAAACATATATACAAGTAGGTAATTGAATATATCGTAGGCTTGTTAAATGTAAAGGATATTTCAAAACTACATGTATTAATGACGCTTTGAACATTTATTAATATGTAAGTATAAACGTGCAAAAATGGCAACAATTAGCCGGAAAGGACCTAAACGAACGGAATTTGAAATAATGGATACAACATTCAGTCCAACTGGAAAAGAAACACTTGAACCAAAAGAGAGTCAGTTCAATATTACGAGTAATAATCACAATATGAATAACGCAGACAAAGCTAAATCAGGGGATATTTCAATGTTGAACACTAGAAATCCAACACCATCTAGCGAAACAATAACTCCTGAGCGGATCCGCCCAGTCGACTGTGATGCTTGTCATTTAACTAAGGATGTAGACACGGTAATGTTTTGCAAGAAATGCAAACAGAAGCTATGTGATTCTTGTCTGGAAATTCATAATCGCATTGGAGGGACCAGGACTCACTGTAAATCAATTGAAAAATGTGTAAGTAGATTGATTTCAACAACAATAAATAGAATGCACGTAGCAGCTAAATGAAATATTTAAAACAAATTGTTGCAACAAAAATCGTATTTTTCAAAAGCACAATATATTTGTAAAACAGAACTCAGCTTTAAAATATATATTTTTAAGAAACATTGCTTAAACCATCGGGGAACCCAGATTTTCTTTCAGCGTAAAAATATAAAACTGGTTTTATGTAACACATCTATTTGAAGGAAAAACCCTGTAAATTTGCAAATGGCTATAGAGAGAAGAGGAATGCTAATGGTTCAACTATGGTATGCTTTATTTGAAAAAGTTTCATTTTATTTTTATTTATTTATTTATTCAGTGGCCAGAGGGAGAAATTCTTAACAAGTCGGTTATAAATAGACTCATGCAAGAGCGAGAAGTAGATATAGAACAATTATCTACAGACCTATCCAACGAGCTTGGTTTGCAAGTGAGTCTCTTATATGATACAGATAATCTTGAAATACGGGCACCGTCTGGTGACGTTCTTGAACTGGCTATTGACACAGTAATCGCGGGTACAAAACCAGTCACGAAAAGAGTCAGTTATGGTTTGATAGAGTGGACGCTTCAAGGTTTTCATGCCATATGCTATAACAAAACTACTTAAAAGGCAACTTGAAACTTTGATTGACACATATGACTTGAGCGTCTTGAAAAAACATAATTCTGAAACAGCAGTGCAGCCAGTTACATCTCTCGAGAAGAAGTGACAAGTCTAATTTTGATAAAAAATACAGCTTCCGAAGTAGAACCGCATTTTGGTTTCAACGCAAACATAGAATTAACTATAGCATCAAGTTTTGACAACTATTATGCCGTTAATTGTGAAATCGAGGGATTTAAAGACGAGGTGGAAACCCTTAGAAAAGCTGAAGTATTTCGACCGAAACATGATGAATTCCGAATGAAGCTGTATGTACTAATGAAAGAAAATAATGATGACGTATTATGTCACATGGAAAAGACAGACAGCGTTTTGAAGCTTGTAATACAAGGGACTGACGACAAAACTGTGAACAACGTGAAACAGGAATTCCTCAGTTTGTTCTGTAAAGGTAAACTTTATAATTATAACAATATTACAACTTTGTTTTAAAGAAATATGACGAATTTCCGGATATTTACAACATAGCAGAAAATAAAAAACAGTAATGTCCGAACAATCGATTGGTAAAAGTCTTAAACTGTGAGCAAAAGCCGCTTTACAGATAAAAATTTGATTACCAATTTGATTTTATTCTTGAATATATTCTATCCTCTTGTGGCTCAAGGGTTGCCTTTACAGATTTAGGCATCAGAATAGCAGCCACCGTTCATACATGCGTCATCGTCAGGAGAGACTAAATGGGTTCGAATATTGGAGTCTATGTACCTCTTATCTCCAGCAGGTGAGGTGTTTTTGATCTCTGGTGTTGCTTTGTAACACCCGAGATTAGCTGAAATCATCAAATTCCTATTTCGGCGCCATATGACCTAAACTGTGTTGGTGCGCCGTAACAACAAACAAAAGTAAGTGATTAAGTAAGTATATTCTCCTGTATGAGGAAGCTGTTGAAATATTAACACAAATATGTTTGTACTAAACACCATGTTGCCAACCTAACAGTAACATTTTTTTTCCTGGTCAGTGCAACAAATTACGTTCATTATCATATCAACTAAGCCGCAATGAAATTGAACGATATTTCTGTACATTATATCATTTGGGAAAGTCAGCTGCATCCAATATATCGATTAAACTAATACTAATGATTGTTGATTAAGTGACAATTTCATACTACCATATAATATCGCATTTATTATTCATTACTCAATAACCAGATGTAGCGCAAAACATTTTAGCTTAATAATGCAAATTCAATCGATGATTACCAAGCAATCTAATATCATGCAATTATTAACATCATTTTAACGCTTCATTTAGAATGTTCATCGTGTAAAAGAGATTCAACACGACCAATCTTTCTAGAATGTAAGCATGTACTATGTCAACATTGCGTAACAAAATCAGCTTCACGAAATGACGGATTACGATGCCCAATATGTTCAGACACAACCAGGGAGAAAACGCCGGTAACTTCGTTAAAACTACGGTGTATGCAAGTTATAGATAGTCATCTGATGGAAAATACACAAACCAGCACAAGTAGACCATTCGGTATTGTCAGAAAACAGGTATTTTTAGTAATCTTTGGTAAAATAATGAATAATGTAAGTTTGATCTGCCTACTATTTTAACAAATCATACATTCCTTAATGACTTGACGATTTTAAGTTCAGCGTCTAAAGTTCTACCAGTTACCCGATTATTGTCATTTAGTAACACATTAATACACTTGAATCGTTTGTAAAACGGTGAAATGCAAATACCAGGCTTTATTCAATCGTTTGGCCACCATTTTCTGTATAAATAAGTTTCTATCTTTAACTGAACTGCCTCCTGGAAAGCTGTTTAAAGAACTTCATCTTAATCCTGTTATATTTTTCCAGCACCTTTTGTTGTTTTCTATGGACAGGCCGGTCAAATCAAACTGTGTTTGCCATAATCACCTGTGTATTTCTGTTTTCATTCAAAACGAAAAATATCATTTCCCATAATGTTTGTTAATAATAGGTTTAAATTGTGCAATCAACCAGCATTAGAAAAGGAAATTTAATTATTACATGCATGCAAAGTTTCGCACTATTCCATATGTAGTTGCAATTGATAAGATTTGCGATATTTAGGAAAAATCGGATTTGAATATGATGTTTGACCATCCGTTCTATCACTGGTTTGTTAACAGTATCATTTTCCATACTTTGTTATTTTGATCACAAATTTTGCAATATCAAGTACATATTAAATAGCAATATAAATATACAACAGATACCGTACATTATTTTATTCAGAGCTCTCTCAGAATACCTCATGTATCGGTGAAGATTCCAAAGTACCTGCTACAGAAATGGAAGAAACTGACCGGAGGGAAATCTCGCCTGAAGAGCGTGATCGAAAACACATATGGATTAAAAGTAGCTGGCGTTGATGATAACATGAAGATATACGGTCAACAACAAGAAATTCTCGATTTGGCTGTACAAAGCCTTGAGAAACTGAACGAGAAGACGCCCGACATTGGAATTACACAAAGACTCGTTGAGAAAAATGTGGAATGGAGACTTAGAGGAGAACATGCAAGAATTGCTTACTTTTTATTCAACAAGGAGTTGTATGATTTAAGGAGGAAGTTTAAAACAGTAACAATACGTGCGTTCACCGAGTCAGAACCGATGATCGTCGACGTCAGGTGTGGATATGAGGAATTTCTAAAAGTCAAGTATGAAATGGAAGAGCTGGAAAATGATATAAAGAACCTTCACACTGACGAATATGTACAACCAAAGAATTTTTACCATAATGTTAAGATAAAAGAGTACTTGCACAGTAAACGTAGAGATGAACAGGTTCATTGCAATCTAGTTGACAAGAATAACGTGAATGCAGTCGTATTCCGTGGGCGGAAAAAAGAATTTATCGTAGCTGCAAAGGAGCAGCTAATGAAGTGGTGACAACCCCGTACAAATGAAGAGAGAGAAAAACATACAAAAATGCATCTGTAAACCTCAAATAAGTCATAATTGGGCTATTTTTACATTTCCTGATAAACATCGAATACATAGGTATTAATCATTTACCGTTCTTTGTCTGAGTTTGCCCTAAAATGTATGCAGTTCTTGACAAATGTTAGTGTGAAAATGTTTTCATCTATATATCATAACATGGTAAGAAAAAACACCTTCGTGTGATAATCACCAACTTTATTGAAATTATAACCATTCCCAATGGCAAACTCAAATAATTTTTGTGGCAATGGTTCCGATATTTTCAATAGCAACTTCGACAACATCCCCAATCTGGAAATAAAATATGAAAAAGTGAATGATTCCAAAACGTGTACATTGCTATAATATACATATATTAGCTTAAAGACCACTTAGCAGTGAGTCGATAGACTGTAACTTAAATTAGAATTTGTGAATTTTTTTTCAACACAGTTAAAATGGTAAATCGGTGATTCTGATGGTGTTCTGCAATAACCAACACCTGGTGGGAAGTCAGTTAAAAACAAATCTCCCGGTTTCAGCGTTATAAACCTTAAAGATAACCACATTCTTTGTATCAATATAAATCAATTTTATTCAAAAATACTTTTAATTGACCGCTTTGGATCGCTTATCTTTGCTTCATTGTTAGAAATGGTCATTATTCATCAAAGCAGAGTCATTTTTGTCAATAAAACTTTATCAATAAAAAATTAATGAAGGTATGACAGGGAATGCAACATGCCAATTTTCAAAGCATTTTGTATTGTATTATCTAAATATCAGATGTTTACTCATTTCCCCTGTACTAGAATGTAAGTGATCTAGAGGCAAGTTTTATTTTATCATATTTTGTAGAGGTCTACTTGGCGATATCACATATCGAATATGTATACTCTTGAAATTGTAGTTCCACAGCAGAAGACCTAAATCTGTTATCTGTAATAAGCCTATTGTCAAAGTAACCACTTACTATAAGATGGGACCTGTTTTGTTCAAGTGTATGATTTATTGGCGTCCGCGCCGAAGCGCGACGCCCCTTATGAAATGAAATAAGATTTTGTGAAAGGGCAATTGCAACTTCTCGGGCCTTTTCGTCTGTCATAAAAGCCGATCATTCCGATTTGTATTATGGTGTTTGATTATCAAAAATGAAATGTCGCGATATGTACAATGAATAGCGAACTGGAGAAGTTCGCAATGCAAACATATTCAAATGAAATTATCTTATCCGTCAAAACATCGCGCTCCTCGTTCTTTTTTTTTTCATTAATCATGTAGGATATTATGTATGTTACTGCTGTACCTATAAATAGAATGATGACCTTAACATTGTGAAAGTCCGAAAATCTATTTATAGAAGTAGTTTTAGTTAAACGAAATGGTCAATCGTGTCGCGTTATGATAATAAATAACGAACTGGAGAATTTTGCAGCAAATGAAATGCTATATTCAAACAATTAATTGCACTCTGAAAAACTTTAAGTAGGTCATTTTTATTAATTGTTATATATGAAATTCTATCAAATAACCAATAATAATGATACAAAATACCCCCTATATAATATAAATAAACTTATAATATGTAGGGGGTATATCTTGGATATATAGACCTGTATATTTTTTTGATATTATCGTTAATATTGATAGAATTTTAATTTCCTGTGGGAAAAAAATGATATTGTAATCCCTAGCAATGCCTACCAAAGTTCATGATGAACAATGTCTTTCGTCTGCCCATTCATAAATGATATACAATTCAAAACCCAATCTACCACTAAAAGTATGGTCATCAGATGTCTACTAGCTCATCTTCACTTGCTGCATTTCTTGCTTGGACGCCCTTTGATGCTTTGCATCAATGCTTTTCTTGTATAACATTTGTAAAGAAATATATAAAATATGATAAACAAGATCAACAAGGAAAGGCGGTGTTCAATAAACGCAACCCCCATACGACCCAGCGACAAGAACCAGTGGCAGGAAGCCCAGGCGGACCCCAAACAAAAACAGGACAGGGCACAAGACAGAGCACGGACAGGTTAATCACTAAATGATAAATAATTTGTAACTGATAGGGAATTGAAAGAAAACAAATACATGATTGAATAATAGGCCCACAAAGTCAAAGGGCACTTATACGTGCCAAATATTATATATGCTTTAGACATTATAGTTTTAGAGTAGAAGATTTTCAGACGTATCTACTGTATAAGTTTTTTGCGTTCTGTGAACGTCATATCTTGCCTTGTTGATCTTTGTGTTGTTGTTTTTTATATAAACAAGGTGGCCCCCATGAAAGGGCCCCTTTCGACCTAAGGAATATGAATTATGTTACATTTTGCAGAGGTCTACTGGGGGTTGCTATATGTCAAATTATTATTAAGCTCTGGACAGTGTAGTTTCACAGAAAAAGACTTAAAAGCGTTTTCTCTATATAAGTCGATATAAATTAAGTGACCTCCAAAGCGTGGTTAATTTTGACCCCAGTGGCATAATTTATTTCACTTTTGTAGAGGACCTGAAGTTTATATTGTAGTTTCGGAGAAAAGGTTTTCTAGGATTATTTTACTACACATATGCATGTATGATCCTATATAAGTATAATATATGACTTCCAGGACAGGGCCTTTATTACACAAAGGCATTATTGACATAACATTTATAAAGGTCAACTAGGCAATGCAACATACATGTACATATGCACCAAATATCTAAGATCTGTGTAATGTAGTAGTTTCACAAACAATGACTTTAATCATTCCCCTATAGTAGTCCATTTTAACTATGTGAGTGCCAGAGCGGGCCGATTTTTATCTATCATTGAGACATGATTTATGTAACTTTTGTATGGCACCACAGGTGATGTTAAATGCTAAACACATAAACTAAGAGCATCGTAGTTAATTTGAGGTATTTGTTTTAATGTTTATTCTTAGCTCCTTTACTTTCTAGTCTATCAGACTCAAACCAATTGTATAACTGTTGTAGAGGATGACTCAGTTTAGTGTTATTTAGTCAAAATCAACCAAACTGTTTAGGAAAAGATATTGTTAAAGAATTTGTGGATGACGACAAACAAAAATGCAATCAGAATAGCTTCCCTTTGCCTTTGAGCATTTAGTTGAAAAATGAAGCTTTGTTCGCCTTATAAAGATCATGTAAAGTTTCCTTTTCATAATTTAAAAACAGAATATTTTTGTAAGAACGTGGCGTTCATTTGACGCCGTTGACGTTGTCAAAGTGCTCCGTGACAATGTATATATGCTGTATGAAAATACTGTTAAAAACATAAAACGTTAATCACAGTTATTGCGGATATTATAGTTACATATTAAATGTTTTCCTAAATAAGTCAGGAAAAACAGTAACACCTGGGGTTGGCTAATTTTACCCTCAGGGGAATGACGTATAAAGCCTTAGCAGAGGACAACATAGTGATACTACATGCCAAATATTCATGCCTTTGCATAATAATTTACCAAAAAACATTTTTAAGATATATTTACTATGCAAGTCTATATAAACTGACCTGTGAAGGCGGGCCATTTTTCATCCCAGGGGCTTGATGGCTAACTTTGATAACGTTCTCTTAGCAATGCTACGTGCAAAATAACTGATATTTTGGCATTTCTAGTACTTGTCCAAAAGAAAATGGAAAGGAGTTTCCATATATTATTCTAGAGGACAAGGTGATATTACATGCAAAACATCTAAGCTATGGGAATTTTAATAGAGGATTTAAATGTAGTTTCCAAGTCTATAAAAAACTAAGTGACCCTAGCAGCAGAACCAATCCTGGCCCCATAGGCACGACTTACAATTATAACTTTTGTAGAGGACTACAATGTGATGCTTCAGGCTAAATATCTAAGGTCTTGACTTTGTAATTTACGATGACAAATTTTCAAAACCATTTTTTCTATGCAAGTCTATGTAAGCTAAATGAGCCCTAGGACGGGGCCTTTTTACTGAAAGGGCATGACTTATATAACACTATGTGGCACCAACACTATAAAGGTCATACTGCAACTTTCCAGCTTAACTGGTGGAGAAGACCTATGACCTTGCCTGAAATAATGCAAAACAAGTAAACCCACCAACATTCCATAAGCTAGCTGGATAGCTTCCTCAAATGAGTCTAAAGTACCTCCTGAAATTCGAACACACAGCCGTGAGGGTAAGTAGTTTGAGGTCCAGTACCTTAACCACTCAGCCATATACTGTGTTCTACACACAAACAATTGCATACTTACCATCTAGCGAAATAAATAAAAATAAAAAACGTCAATTTCAAAGTTTTGTTTTGTTGTTTTTATGTATTTATATCTCATAACGATTTTTTAACATTTCTACTTTGCTTTATAATTTAAAATTACACATATATAAAAAATTGAATTTAACAATTTCATTCATGTCACATATTGTTAAAATGGGGTTAAGAAACGCTGAATACTTTGACACAAGTTTACACATGTTTACACTTCTGAACTGGCATAACCTTACACTTTGATATATCAACACAAATCTGTATGAAACAGTTCATCATAATCATAAAGTCAAATGTTTTGTGTGTACTCTTTGAAAACTTAACCATTTTAATTGTAATTAAAACCATTTTTAAAACAAAATGACCTTCGCCTATCCTCAAGGTCATGATTTGATACAGTATGATAGAGATCCATAGGCATCACCCACCCAAGAGTAGATGGTGGTTGTTCAGGTAAAATTCAAAGTATCTACATTTTGTCATGCTTGTTTTCAGTTCCATAATAAATGTCTCCGGAATAGTTAATTACCTCCATGATCTACATTTATAAAAGAGTTGGGCAGTCTTTTATATTTAAGAAAATTTTGTATTTTATCCTAAACAATTAGTTTAGTTTAAACGAACTTATTTTAGTTTGATTGTAAAGGAAGCTATAAGCTTATTGAAACACTCTCCAATCTATTTATGGAACTAACCGGTACTTAGCAATGAGTGTTAAGTTTCTTGCTCAAGGAAACAACAGCTTGCCTCTGACAGGATTTGAAGTTTTGAACCCACACAGTCATAACATGAGCATAATGTCACTTTAATGAATTAACAAATTTTCATTGTAACAACAAGTTTATATAATTAGTCAAATGAAGAATATTTTAAAGAAATATCTGTTGAAAAATTAAAATGAAAAAGTTTGTTGCTTCCTGAGAAAAGAATTGACCAAAGAAAATGTATACTGTTTATCCTGTGCCGAAAACAATGGTGCCTTTAAAGCAACAATTTTTGCGCTTTCATCTTGTATAAACATTTAAATAAGGCACAAATAGAACTAATTCTAATTTTTGCGAATCCATTAATGAACTTGTCATGGTGTGAAATTGCCATTGCCACTTTATTTTGTGCATGTGCTGGGGTGTGGAAGGATATTTAAAATCAGAAACCTTATTCTTAGAAACAATCAGTATAGGCTGGTCACAAACTGAACTAATGTGTAAGCTAGCTTAGCGCTATCCTGGTGAAAGTGTACTGATGTGCAACCTAGCTACAGACTTTGATAAACCTTTATCACTGTTGGCATTCATGGATTTAACTTTACCCCTGTTCGATCAATGTCTTTTTTTCATAAATCAGAATTTTAACTTTTTTTTTTTTTTTGCTACAAAAATACTTCAATTTAGCCCTTGCAATATTTTGATTTAAATACAAGTATACAATATTTTAATGTTTTTATATTTAGATTCTTAAGCCAATCGCATGAATGGAAAGATGTATTACTTTAAAGTTTTAGTTTTTGTTATTTCATTAAACCCTAGATGTACAAAATTTTAAAAACACACTTCTACATCACAAACATCAGTTGACACATTAACAAGTTCTCTCCGAAATCATATTAAAACAAATGTTCGCTTCTTGGCCCAGTTTCCATATGGCACATTTTGATACCATGCTATTTTTCCCACTGATTTATGCCACAGTTTTCAAGAATTCATAAACAAACTGTCGACAGCCATCTCGGCTGAACTGCTATAGTCTAACATAGTTGACATAAACTGCCGGAATTCCCGTAACACGTCACGTTCCTGTCGACTGGATTGACTCTGGTATTTCGTAGAATATACAAGTTTATCAGCCAGATAATGTAACCATAAGACGTTGGAATGTGGATTAAACTTCTCCCAGTTACCTCTGTAAAATATAATTATAACAACTCTTGATTAATTTCATTTTTATGTAACATTTTTTGTAACAATCATTACTAAAAGTCTTCAATCTTGTAATTATTTTTATTAGCTAAAACTAATAACATAATGATGCCTTTGTTTGAAATGACATGTTCAATGAAATATATAAGGTTATTTAACATAAATTGTTAAATGCTTAGATGTACTTGTATGAGCAAAAAGCTTGGCAAAACATGTATTGGTCGATTTACCACCCAAATTTCATATCTTTTTATCTACAGATCAAAACTGTTTCTCACATTGTGCGGATTACTACTTATTAGCCATTTTTCTTGCATAAAACTGCTTGCAAGAATATATTAATGTAGAAGAAAACATGCATTAACAGGTAAAAGTCACCAAGGCACGCACTATTGTTGCATGTATTTTATTATGGATGACTCAAGGCAACTATTTACTGCAATAATAGGCTTGGTAGTTTGATTATCAAAACATAACTGTCAAATGACATCACACTAGCAAATAAAAAGCATGATAAAACAAAAAACAAGCAACAACACACAGAATTACGAAATCAGATGTATACTTTTATGCAAGAATTGGGATACATTTTTTATCATTACTACTAGCACTTGAAATCTTAAAATAAACTAAACAAATAGCTGCCAACGTTTGTTTGTTTGGTTTAAAGGCACACCAACACATTTTAGGTCATATTGCGCCAGAAAAGATGATTTTGGCTTACTAGTACCCGGGGTGTTACAAGCTATCTAGTACCCTGGGAGTTACAAGCTATCGCAAAACTATGGGTCAAAACCACTTCACCTGCTGGAACTAAGAGATGCATAGACGCTAGTTATTCAAACCTCATATGATCAAGCAGGGATTAGAGGTGGTTGCAACCCTGATGCCTCAACCCTTAAAAATATCCCCTGCAGCCATAAGGGGGCAAGGTGCATGTTACAGATCTCCAATCAAATAAACCTTTGAAAGTCTAGTAATATTCTTTATTTTAGAATTAAATAAAAACTACATCGGTACATACTTATTCTCTTTCTTAGTCTCTCTGTAAATATCAAATTGATAATCTCCCTTCCCATCAAATAGCGTGTCATCATCTGGTATTGTTGTATAAACTGTACATCCATCTGAAATATTTCAAAAATCTTCCCATAATGCTATTGTAACCCTTATCTTACTATTTTTCTTCAATTCTAGCTGCCAATTTTGGAACCTTCCAACATTTGTTTTGTTTTGGGGGATGCTTAAAGATATATTATGCTCAAATTTGATATTTGAAAGTACTGACAATTACTATACCTTCTCATTTTTAAATGTAAAATAAACATGTTTTGGGTACATGCAGAAGATGTTACATTTTAAACTCTACACGCTATAGGTATATATAGGAGTATTTGTTCGAGAATATGAATATTGATGAAGTAATGACTAAATCACTCTGTGGGTTTCATTACTTGAAAATAAATACACATGTATGTTTTATACATCTTGAGTTGACATCTATTGATATAAGAATTATTTTCAAGATACTTTATACCGGGAGGTACTTTGTACCAGGAAAATCCAAATTTTACAAGAACTTTAGTTTGAAAAAATTACTAACAGTATTTTCATGACAAACTTTTTATGAGCCAATAAATGCAAGATTTCTATATTCTAGTTTAATACTTCATTCAAGCAGCCAATACTGAACATTTATTATCTTCCATTTTTATAAATCAATTACCTTTGGTCAGTCGTGACATAGTAAAGTCTATCACACAGGCTTCCACGCCTTGTGTCGGTACAACAACCGGTTTACCCATCAATCTGAATGTAATATCTTCCTTGTCTGTTGGGCGGACAAGTACGTTACCCCAGTGAAGATCTCGGTGCTCGAACTGCAGTGCCTCCTCTGCCACTGCCAGCGCATACCCCACTTGTGTCAGAACACTTTTAGCTTGTTGGATTGTTGTGAACTAAACAATCAATGATAAAATGGCATTAATTATGTGAATCAAAATTTTCAAAAAATTGTCTGTCATGTGTACGAGTTAAAGTTTCCAAATTTCACTGAATAACAGCTTTGCCTATGCATCTTTATCCAAGTATTTATAGTTATTGTCCCTGATTATCAATTTTTAACTAGAGTAAGGTCATCAAATCTGCATAATTTCTACTTAAAGGGACACCACAGAGTATTTTTTATAAACATGCCGCGACTGGAAAAACTTTCTTCAAGATTAGCATAGTAATGGATGTAACTTGTGTATAATCTGTTTTTCCAGAATACTACTAATTTATAATGTAATGACCCAAAAATAAAAGTGTCTAAATTTTTTTCGTTGAAATTGGACTGATTATCACACAAAAAATGGATTTCCAATTATATTCTGAATTTATTTAATATTCTTTGCATATCTTTTGTAGTAATTGATCTACGAAAGAATTTCAAAATTAATATAATTGGACTTCAGTAGATTTCCTTTAAGCTTATTCATGTATCAATATAAAACTTTATATAAACTTTTCCATAAATTGTCATTTATCTACAGTTATGAACAGAAGTTGCACACAAGACTTTCACCATTGTATCATTCTGATTGCAGACACACAGATGAATAGGTGAGTCCCATCCAAATAAATTTGACATATATTTAAAAATGATATCATTCAGAATTTATTCAAAGGAGCAATTAAAATTAAACATTACCTGATATGATTCCAAATCAGTTCCACAATCAGCAAACTCAAACACAATGTACAGTTGCTTTTCTGGGAACACATCTGAAATGTAATACAGTAATACTTGGTCATAAGAAAATAAGCATGTAAAATAATCTAAATATAGCTATTAAATCAAAAAGGATACACAAATAAACAGGAAACAAAGCAATTGATGTTAAAGGGACTCAAAGCTGAACAAATCTTCATTGCATAACTGGATATGTAGACAATCATCAATGACATAATAGAATGAGACTTTTTACTTAATTAGGTGTATAGTTACATAAACTCTGAAGTGGTCATATGATGACAGCTCTAAAGCTTTAAAGGGACTCCACTGAAGCTTTTTGACATGACAGGATAGGAAATACTTTTTCAACATTTTTATAACCATGTGATACATGTCTATACCAATAACTATTATGCAAAATTTCAGAACATTCACTCACTTTTTTTTCCTGTAATAATCAATTATATTGTGCAAAATGAACTATTATGATATGCTTTTAACTCAAATCAGACTAATTATCACACTCAATTATGAATTTCAATTTAATTCTGAGAATATTTCTTTATTTCCTTTCCTCATATTTTCTTCCATTTTAAGTGTGCCTTTCAATCTATGCAAGAACTTATGATTATAAACTTTTAGGCCTAAGTGGAGCTTCTTTAATGGTAGCTGATTACCTATGGTACACCTCAACACCTCATCTCAGACATAAGTGGGAGGCTGAGAAAACTTCCGTAACTTTCTGTAACAAGCTGGATAGCTTCATCACATGAAAGAATCTTAAGCCCCTCACAGAATTTAAACCCACAATAATGTAATTTTTTCACAAATAATGTTAAAAGTAAAACTACTAACCAGGTCTGTCATTCTCTGAGCCTTTATTTTTATGGAACAAGTCCCACTGTTTCAGTAACTCGGCTGGATATTTTCCTTTAACACATGATACATTGTTAACTTCACAGAAGTTTGATGTCATAGAGGATTTACTGTTACGTAAGTTGCTTAATTCCCTGTGAACAAAAAAATAAATGTAAAATTTCTTATTATATCTTATATTTTGTATAGTACTGAATTATCCTATTTGCACTTGTATGTGGGTTCCGACAATGTTTATTATCATATTATGTTCACTTCCATATGGTGACTTTCAATTTGTCAGTGGCACAGAAACAACACTTCAGATAAACTTATTTTAGGAATGACGTTACTTTGCTTAATCTTAGAACATGTTAACAGAACTATTTCAAGTGAAACAAATTTGGGGGTCACTGATCTTTTTTTGTCTGCTTAATTACGCAGGTTTCATTCAGCTTATTTGTCTATATGAAAACTGTAGCTAATGTCTTCAAGTTCGCAAGACATCATTTTTGAAGCCAGCGATATTCATAACAGTCACATAATAGATCTATAAATAAATATATCAACTAAATTTTTTAAATAAAAAAAGAGCATAATCATTTTTAGATGGCACCTACTTCGCTATGACAACTTCAGGTAGAATTTCTGCAAACTTTTTCTGCTTTTCATCATTCACTTCAAAATCACCTTCTATAGGTATGATCTGAAAAACAAAATTTTATAACTTTTATATATCTAATTTTTACTTTGTTTACATGTATACGTGTATATTTTTTTTTTTAAATTTTCTTTTTCTTTCTATTAACTAAAATTAGCTCACTATTTTGGGAACATGACCAGATCCAAGATTTGGGAATTTTTGCATCATTTTAGTCAAAACTGGAAAACATATACTTTATTATTTCATCAAATTAAACAAAGAAATCAAATATTTGGTTTATCTAAATCTTTCAATTTTATACTTCTCTCTTTCCAATTAAAATATTTTTCTCCATTTTTTATTTTTACCTGTCTAAAGCAGGAGACCCTTAACAATATGTTATTGAAATTTGCTTTTTGCATAAAAAGTTAATAATAAAACTAAGTAATTTTGTTGACAGGCAAAACTCCCCTTTTTAAAATGACATAAAATTCCCCTACCTGAGGGTCCCTGGCCCAAGTCCCCTTAATGAAAATTATCATAAGTATACTAAATATCTCAAACCTTAATGGCAACAGAATCTCCATTACTGTTGATAGCTCTAAAAACCTCACCATACACTCCTTCTCCTATCTTCTTACACTTTGAGATCATTCTGAAAACAGTCGATATCATAATGTCACTTAAAGCAGCACGCCTCCAAATTCATGCAAATTTTCATGAAAGTTTTAAAAATGTATTTGAATGTGTAATATTGTGAAGTAACCAAAAGGAAGCAATTTACACATTTTCAATGGCACTTACAAACCAAGTAAATTACCAAAAAGTGGTCAAAATATACCTATATAACCTTTACTGCGTTAGTAACGCAGTAGAAATATAGTTGCAAATACTGCAAAATCAGTCATTAATCGCCAGAATAAGTAAAATGTTAATTAAATCTTGAAACTTTTTACTTTTCCTTACATCTTAGTACATTTTTCTCAAGTTTGATTTTATTGAAATATTTTGACTCATCTGTAAGCATGTAGATTTAAACAGTTCCTTTTAACCAATTCTTATTCACAACTGAGTTTAGGTATAACTTTGTTTGCAAATTTTGGGCAAATTGGCTGACCTGCTGACCAAATGCTACTTTGGGACAATACATAGACACTGGTGGACCTGGTTTAAACAAATGAACACATGGATTTGTTTGTGATACTGTTTGTGTTTATTTAGCAATGAATTGAAAAAGGCGGGGCTAAATTTTTAACTGCTTAAAAACTGGAAAGGACTATTAGTCTGAATATCTCAATCCCTTTAAACACAAGACTTGTAATCTTGACACTGTGGGTTTGATTCCCGGGCTGGCAAACTAAAATTACTAATAAGTCTTTTGAATGAAATTTTAAATGGAGGTCCCTTGTATGGGTACTTAACAATTTGGTTGCTGATGAACCAGGAGAAGCTTCTGGAATTGGTGCATCTTTCTGTACCTTGCACTATCCTCCAAAATCTAAAATGACTAATACTCTTCTGGAGGACTAATCTATAGGACAACCAGTGGCAAGTATAAATAACCTCAAATATATACACTAGTCCTTTTTATAAAAAGAGAGTTTAATGGTAAAACTTACTTCTTTGTAAGAGCTGTTGTAAAGGTTATTGGTTCTGTCTGATCACAGAGAACGAGAATTCTAGCCTGAGCTGACAGTGGTATCATACTACTCTTTCTCTTTTTTGGTGTCAAAAGTTCCTTAAATAATAACATAAATACAAACAGTATGTCAGATTAAAGTCGGTTAAAGACTCCTCCTCACTACAAAGATTTGATGCCAAAATTATAGCTGCACAGCTCCTAGACACACAATATACAAATTCATGCAAAAACTAGTCAAAAGTAAAACAAATGGTTTAAAAAACTTACTTCCAAGCTTGCATTTAAGATCTTAATATTGTGATGAAATAATCATAAATAGCTCAAGACAAAGGATTCTTCATTCCTTTTCATGACTTTAAAAAAGAACTTTAAAATTATTGTTCAAAATTATTTTGAAATTGTAATATATCAAATTTCCAAAAGTTTTACGTCATATTTCACATGCTCTTACCGAGAATGAATTCTGCAGCTCTTGGAATTTACCACGCAAACTGTACTTTATTCTTGGGGGAGTAGAAGGGTCTTCTTCCACCTGAAAAAATACAAGAAACTGTCAAAGTGAAGGACATTTTTCTTATAATCTAACGCCACTTTAACCTGTATTGTGTTAAACAATTACACTGTACATAAATTGCAGCATTTAAACAAATTGTATAGGTAATTTTTCATGGACTTTACTCTTGGTTAAATCATGTTAAAGTAATTAATAAGCTAAACCATGTGACTATATAAACATGGTATGCTTTAAGAAATTTGAAACTATAAATGCCTGTTTTACAAACATTTTTTATTGTCAATGATGCTTTGATAGGAGTAACATCTATTTATACTTAGATATTAATCATCAGTCGTAATACATTACAGCCATCATCATCGTTTTTGGCTAAGGAAAGGCTATTTTGTAGCCTGATAAAATGGATTAATTCTTATCTAATAAAATTGTAAGTCAAGGATATGACTACATTACCTCTTCTTCACTATCATCGTCCTCACCACTACCATCAGTGTCATTATCAGCGTCTGCATCATCCTCTTCTGCAGAATGATAATCGCTATGTCTTGATGACTGAGCAGTGTGGTATACTGACCGTGACTCATTCCCCGTCTCTCCCCGGCTTTCATCAGTGACTAATTCAGAATTTTCCTCTTCATGGGTGGACAGACCACTCTGTTGTGACTCGACACTATTGTCATCATTAATAAGATACAAAGTTGCATTCGATTCACTAGAATCAATGTGAGACTCATCTAACAGCTCTGCTAAGTCATCAATATCTTCATCACATTGTATTACCTTTGTCGCTCTGGTAGTTCTTCTTCGATTTACATGATTCATTAATAAACTTTCAGATAACCTTTCTAGATTGGATTTTGAATTTTTCTCCTGATTTCTAGTTATTCTCCTACCACATTCACTTTCCTCTTCATCACTCTCAGATTCAGCTGTGTCACTATTTTCAATGTCTGATTCAGAACCTGAATCAACCTCTGAAACTTCCTCGTCTTCGTGTATTGCACTTAAATCTCCATCCTTTGTATAATTGTTAGTTTCGTTCTCTTCACCTTCACTATCCCCTGAATCACCTTCAGTCTCACTATCTTCCTCATTTTCTTCAGTATCATCTTCGATTTCAATTTCCTCTTCATCCATCTCCTCATCACTGTCAACTTTGTTTTCTGTAACATTACTCGCGTCTTCAGTCACTGAATCATTATACAACTGTCTACACCGCACCTTTTTAAAATTTTCAGTTAAAAGTGATAGATTCTTTTCCAGATTCCTGTCAACTGGACTGAACAAACTTTCTGAGTTATTAAAGCGACTATTTGCCTTTGTTGAATGCACATGGCTTCCATCTAAGTTTGACTTCACACCACCTGATAATGCCTTTGAAATAAAACTTTCTCTCAGTTTGCTAAGCTTAACTGAAGCACAAGACAGTTTAAGAGCACCATTTACAGAATCACCTGTCTTTTTCGACCAATTTGACAATTCTTCCGAACAATTTGATGACAAAACTGATGGAGTATTAAACAGGCTATGTGAATGTGCACTCTCAGGTGAACAGACTTCCGAGACACTAGCATCATTCTCCGGGCTAGATACCATTTCTATATGTGATATATCAGTTACTTGCATATTGTTATCAGCAGCATCTTTTTGCCTGGTTCTCTTTGCTACAGGGGTACTGGTCTCCACTGACAATAAATTGCTATCTATATTCCTAATATCTACTGGTGGTGAGTCTGACACCACTAGGCTATAGTTATCAAAGTCACTGAAATTAACTGACATTTCATTACATTCTTTTCTGTTATTAATTTGCTTCACAGCTCTTTTCCGTTTTGCAGTGGCGCCACGTAGCTGTTTGTTCAGGTTTGCCGAATCATTATAGTCAATTTTCTGGTTCCTATCTCTGAGGGCTCTTGTCTTGGAAATTCTTTCTGAACCAAGTGATTTATCTGTACTCGAAGAAACTGAGAGGATCTGTTTCTGAAATGATTTTTTATAGATAAATAAAAATTAATATACGGATATTTTTGTATCATATAAGGTCATTTGGTTTTTATCACCCTATGCAGAGTGGGTCTGGATTTAAGCCAATTAGGAAATGACTGAGTGGTAAAATTACATTAATTTGGAAAAATTAAGAGGGCCATGATGGCCCTGTATTGCTCATCAGATTTTATATGAAGTTATCAAGCTTTCTACATGCATATACAATATAAAGACAAAACACTATGATCGCCAACTAAGTCTCATTTCTTGCAAATCAATTTATTTGAAAATCTTTGTAGTCAGGAATCATTTCTATTCAATCACATCAAAATCTGACCAACTGATTTTAAAAAGGTGACCTCCATCAAATAACTGCATGTAACAATGATGTTTTGTGACTACGTAATAAAAATTATTTTGTAGATGGTTACTTAAGGATCATTTCTGTGAAATACTATTAAAAAAGAACAAACAAGCTTTTTTTGAATATTTCTTTAACCTTTTACTGCATGAGCATATTGTGAAAATAGCCGTCTTCATTTAAAAGCATCCTGTTACAAAGTTCAAACTGCTATGAAACTATGAAAAATGCTTCAATACTGATGAAACTTGGCACAAATATTGACTGGACCATACCCTCTGTAACAGCATGCTTAATCTTAAATTTTCTGTTACCATGGCAACGGAAGGACGTCTCAACCTCGGAAAAATCACTATTTTGCATTGTTTCTTTCCATCAAAACTGATTTTAAAGTGCTGCAACTTCTCAATGGATTGAGATAGAGTAAAGGCCTTTTCAGCGCTGGTTACACATTACCTTAAGATCGACCTGAGGCCAATTTTAGCCTGTCACATGTCCAAAATTTTCTTTGCGATAAGGGGGGAGGGCTACAGTAAAGGGATCACTTTTTTAACAACATTTCTCAAACGAAAAAAATAGGGCATTTTTTTCACTGTTTGAGGCCACAAAGGGGGAGGGGGGTGATGGGGGGGGGGCAAAAAGCTGTCAAAACACGTCTATACGAGGTAAAAGGTTAATACCTCTTCTATATTTTCTATATGTAGTACATATTTGGAAAAAACTACCCCCCCCCCCTCACCCACTAGCTGACCAATGGTAGCCAAATTTTTTTAAGAGACTAATCACATTTTCTAAAAGGATTATTTCTGTTAAATAAAATCAAAATTAAAAAAAGTTTTCCCTTTGTATGTTTATATACATACATACATGTATATCCCACGCCCTCTATTGCCCATGATTTTTATTCAATTAACTTAATTTACACATATCACATGCTCGAATTTAAGAAGTATAATATCTTGATTTTCATCCGTGTCTTGAGCTGTTCTTATGAAAATATAATCAAATACAAAAAACAGAAAAACCATATCTGTTGTTTTTTAGTGCAATACAAATAGTTACAGTAACTGTCTTTACCTTAGTTTTTGGAGCCTTTCTGTTACTTTTGCAGTTTTCTGATTTTTTATGTTGATGTGTTCCATATACATTTTCCTTATTTTGTATCTGCTTAGTCTTTCGTGTGCTTCTGTGTAGAATGAAGAAAGCATTTATAACATAGACGTTGTTGAATACTGAATTTATTTAAGGAAATTTTATTATGTGATCTTTTGGCGAGCTAGATATTATGTTATTCAACTCTTTCAATAAATTTCAAGGTTGAGTGAAACAGACACACCATATCAATTCATGATGTTCTCTTTCATTATTTGAGTACTTATATTGGTCAAAAGATAATACTATTGATTAAATATTATTATTGCGGGTGTCTGTTTGACGCTTGAAACGACTCTTTGTAGTTTGACCCTTCAAATTTTCAAAAGGCCTGATTTGACCCTCAGGATTTTAACTGGAGGGTCAAATTTTGTTAAAATCATGGGGATTTGACCATGTAGTCGGTAGAACTTAGTAAAAAAAAAATGACCCTCAGGATTTCATGGCTAGTGAACGCCCTAATAAAATTTATATCAGATCAAAACTTACCCAAGTACACCTTCTTCAAATTTTCGTTAAAATCATAATAATGAATATTATTATTAAATGATTTTTATTGTTTTGATTCTTTTTAATCTTATATATAATATAGACTAGTATTATATTATTTATTAAGGTAACAGTTATTTAAACTTTTGAACTGATACTATGCTATGAATATTTCTAAAATGGATGAATTTTTCACATATCAAGCAAAATTTTCACATATTAAGCAAAACAAATCATCTTTTCAAGAACTTAGAGGTTTTAAGGTATTTCAAGCAAAATAATAGCTAGTTCATTACATAGTATACATAGTATAAATAATAAAAACAGGTACCTTGTTTGAACACCTGAGGGTTTTGTACCGAATATTGAATGGTCACTGTTTCCTGTAGAATTCAAGTACAATGCCCCATTTTCGCTACTGCTGCTTGACTGAAAGATGCTATTCTGACGCGATGAATCTGATGATGTACTGAACACTCCTCCTTGTTTCTTCTCATTGTCAGAGAACCATACATCAGAGATAATCACTCTGTTTTTATGTCTGCCATATGTCCTTAAATTTTTATCCTTCCTCATTTTGTCAGATCACTCTTGTCCTTCCTGTAAAAATTGATATGATTATTATCATTTTTATGAAAATGTAAAAGATCTTTATAACAAAATACAAATGTACAGGTTTACAAATATGCCATCTTAGTTTCAATAAATAATAATATTATTGATTAACGACAGTTTATTGATTAATGACAGGTGGTAAATTTAACAGTAAATTTATGTACTGTTGGTTGTCAAAGGATATTTTGAAATATATATTGATACAAATCTAAGATTACATGCTTTTCATCAAATTGGCAATTTGGTGTAAGAGTTTTGAAAATCAACCAAATGCTCTTTTTTCTCGCCATCTGGAGATGACAAAGATTGATATTCCTACTTTCTTTACTGAAGCTAACATGGTAATAAATTAATCTCTAAAAAGTAAACATAAGAATACAATTGCTGTTTCTTGGTTAAAATCCTCGCTTAAAGCCTTGAAATAACATATGCAGGGACTACCTTGGACTGAAAATTTAGGGAGAAGTGTCTTCTCTCTTCAGGAAAAATAGGGAGAAGTTTTGAAATTTAGGGAGAAGTGATGATCAAATTGAGTTACATGTATATCATTGAATTTTTTTTCTAATTTTATTTCACAAAATACACATGTACACCTTTATATGTACATGCACATGCATATAAAATATACATGTAAATGGCATGGAAAATAAACAAATAGTAAGAAGAAAAGTTCTTTAATTCATAATAATTATCCAAAAAATACTATCAATTTACATCAGTTTTAATGATGAATATTACTATCATAAATGTAATAGTGATTAACAAGAATGGACCGGCAAACGTATATGGGATATTGTAAATCAAACAAAACATATAGAGGAAATTGTAAATCAAACAGGACATATAGGGGAATTGTAAATCAAACAAAACGTTAAGGGAATATTGTAAATCAAACAAAACGTACAGGGGATATTGTGAATAAGACAAAAATATACGTTTGAGGTAACTTAATTATCAATTAGCTAGCTTTTTATCATCTGCTAAATTCATATCAGGGTCTTTCACAGCTTTAATTTACTGTATAATCAAAGCGCTATTTTAGCGATGTGGATTTCCAAGTGTGAATTCCAAATGCCGCTATGGCCACGCTTCAGCGCGTGTGCTAATTACGTCAGATTGTTATGTTACATATGCATTTTCAACTACCATATAATTTTGAAAAATGCTGTATGGCTAGCCAATACAGTGTGTCCTGGCTAGCCGTACGTGACTCACGTACGGCTAGAACTTTTGGCTATGTATTTTTTTTCGTATTCAATATTTTGACAACAAAAAATGAATAAATATATATACATGTAGATACATAGCTGATAATTCTTTCAGAACTCATATAAAATATCATATTAATAATTATTCTCTCAGGGAAATTTCACTATATTTATGACCAAAAAGTCTTCTTTATAACATGAATGTAATTGCTTGAAAGTATGTGTTATATAATATTATAGCATAAAATCGGCTATTTTTCCCTCTTTTGCCCATGTTATAACATAGTCACAAGCCCTTGTTATAGCCCAGTTTTACCTATGCGCAATACATACAGGTTACATGAAGTAACTATGCCGGAAATACCCCCCCCCCAAAAAAAGAAAATAGTTAAGTCAGAAACCATACAGTCATTAATTGATCTATATCATAGTATCAAGATTTAAGGACATTTGCCTATATATAATTATTTAGCTGATGATATATCACCCATTTTCGCGATGATAGAAGGAATGTTCAAAAAGAATTACAGCAAAAGGTGCAATGTGTTTTAAATTGTAAACATTCAATCAAATTTGCTAACCTCAATATTGATTAAACATATTAAGCAAGTTATGTACAGAAATTTGAGAAAACAAATTTCTTGTTTACAAATCTCGCGCTGTGGTTGAAATCGATAGCACGCCCTTTTTGATTGGCTCCTTTTGTAACGAAGAATTTCATTGGCCGAAAGACATTTCCGCTTTCAATTTCATTAATCGCTAATGTTCGGTCCTTTCCGTCAATCTTCGATATATGATCCATAATCGTAGAGGTGTTCCGATTTACACAAATTCGCAATTTGTTATTTATGAAAGGTAAATTAACGGCTAAGGATAGTTTAATAGATCCAAGGGTCTATAATAGATTATGCGTTTGTTAATATATATGTTAACTGCTTTTAAACGGCAGAAATCCAGCTCAGATTTATGATACATGTGTCTCGTCGTTCGTACCAGAGATTTCGAGACGTTTCGGCCCCAAGACGTATCGGCCCCAAACTACCCAAGACGTTTCGGCCCCGGACGTTTCGGCCCTTTACCAAATCGGCCCCAGAATAAGTACTGTATTTTAAACCGATATATTAATAGCATTTCAATAAAAAAATGAATCAATGAATATATATATATTTAATCATTTTGTATAAAAACTAGATTATAATAGTAGTAGGGTTCCAAAAGTAATCAATACAAACAGAACAGAACATTAACTTTATTTGAAAAAATATAATACACAAACAAAACAATTATTTACAACATATTTAGATAATATTTTATTTGAAAGAATTAAGAAGCAAGACACAAAACAATACACGAGACAGACATTAAATTATTATCAACAACTATTTAACAGTGACGAGTTTTGATGGAAACGAAAACATAACAAATGAACTATCGGTGCAATATATCCATTTTTGGGAAATCCTTTCTAAATTAATATATTCAAAACTGACCTACCTGTATCGCATACCTATATCGGACATTTCATAATATTTACACTTAAAAAATCCGATTGTAAGTATTAAATCACAGTTAATATCCAGCAAATAATTTCTCTAATTTAATTTTATATATAATGCAATTATTTCTAACAATTAAAACGCACAAACACTTTATTTTCAAATGTTTTATAACTTATCTATAGCAGCGTACATAGCATTTTAATATAATTCGGTTTCAGTTTTTTCAATCAGTTTTATTACATCTAGCATCTATCATTAAATCTAATAACAATAATAATTAAAAAATATTATCATGAGATGATAGCAAACCGTTTTTTTTAACATATCAAGCAATATACTTTAAAGTGGGGGCCGAAAAAGTCTCGCGGAAAAAGGGCCGAAACGTCCCAGGGGCCGATTTTTTCGACAGGGGCCGATTTGGTTTGGGGCCGGAAACGTCCTGTTTCCGTACCAGAGTCGATTCGTACCATTTTTTATTTTATACACATGAATTACTGTCAAATTGGCCTCAATCACCCCCCAAAAAAGAAATTAGTTAAGTCAGATCGGCCACGTTTTCTCATGTATATAGATAATTCATTTTACATTAAGAATTATCAGTGAATTGGACAGGCAGATGAACTGCCATCAGAGTCCATATGTCTGGAAACATCTCCTGGAACCAACACGTTGACAAGATTGTTAAGAAGGGCAACAGCACACTCTGCTTCCTTCGACACAACCTGCGCATCAGCAACGAACAGGTCAAGAGCACAGCCTACATGTCACTCGTGCTACCAGGCCTTGAATATTGCTCCACTATCTGGACCAAAGCCCAGCTGACCATGATATTCAAGATCACCAATGACCTTGTGGACATACCAGTCAGCGATTACCTCACCCCTGCCCCGAGCCGCACTAGAAGTGACCAATCCAAGAAGTTCCATCAACTATCCACATCTACATCGTACTAGTACTACTACAAGAACTCCTTTTTCCCTTGTACTGCCACAGCCTGGAACAGCCTACCTGCCCCCGTTGCAGAGGCCCCTGACTTGGTATCCTTCAAGCAGGGTTTTTATCATCCCTCACATTCTAATCCGCCATTAGGGGCCCCAGATAAACATCAATTAAAATCAGTACAGACATACAGAAAATGTTAAGTACGTTGATAATATGGGTCCCATGCTATACTCCACCCTTTCAGGCACTGAGACTACAGACATAGGAAATGTCACTATTCATGTCCTAAAAGTTATAAATTGTCAAAAAGTAACCTGGCGAGGATTATATTGCAAACAACCCTTAATATAAGCCTTATAATAAGGCCATATAACTTGTAAAGAATCTTTATAATGCAAATTTATGATAAATTGTAGAATAAAAATGAAATTGCTTCATGAATTGACAGCAGTCATAATGTATAGTTTATATAAACATTGTGGGTATCCAACTAGTACTTTAATTCCTTGTAAAAGTTTATTGTCATTTTACTTTTACAGCTGCATGTTGATGTAACAAGATCAGCATCATGGAAACATACCTCACTTTGCTCTATGTTACACTGGAGCAAGAACTGGCTCTGAAAGAATACTTCCTATCCAAAGGCTGGACTTATTCTAAACCAGGTACATGTATACCTTAAACTTCTATTTATGAACTTTCCACTATCAGTTTTGGGAATAATCAAAATGAAAATTAAAGTTAGTTTAAAGGATAGCCCCTGGTCAGACTGTACACAAAGACTTATCACTTATGTTATCCTCAGAGTAAGAGTTAAGATATTTAATAATATTATTACCAGAGTTCTTCTCATTCAATTGGGAAGAGGATTTTGCCTCTTGATTTTGGGAAAAATCATTGCTAAAATTGCTAATTTGGAAAGTAGAAAACCAGAATCTGATGTTACTTCAGGTTTTTGTGAAAACTGCATGAATTTACTGAAAACTGCAATTGGGAAGTGTTAAGGTCCTTTATTTCATAGTATGGTGTCATTGATACATAGTAGTAATAGTACATCAGTTCTCCTTGTTGTCAAGGGCTGTTTCTCTTGGTTTTTTTGTGGAACAGTACCAGTACAGGCAGTACCACAAGGGGGATATTTTCGTTATAGAGGGAATTATCACATTTTTCGTGGTAGGGGAAATTTTCACATTTTTTTCTTGTAGGGGGAACTTTCACATTATTTCCTTGTAGAGTGAATTTGCATGTTTATCCTTTTAGGGGGAATTTTTTGTTGCACTGACTCACACTCATGCCATAGTTTTATTAAAAAATGTACATAATTATATTTCCTGTTTATTAGGCTTATTAAATGCAGGTGAAACTGCAATGACATTTAAAAGAATACAAACAGTTCAATTAACTACCCTTTTATGTTTTTGATTGAAGGGGAACATGCTTGCAAATGGGGTAAAAAACATACTTTTTAGCTGAGGGAATGGTGCCCAATATTGGCAGTAAAAAGGAGATCGATAGTCTTTTTGTCATACTATATTGTATGCTTTCATTTATATGATCAGTTTTGTTTTGTACTTGAGGAAACCAAGGAGTTTGCCTTCATCTGCAGTTTTCATCTGAGTGTTATTGTTTTTATGAACAGGACCCTCATTTCACGATTTTTTTCTCTCAAAAATCAGGTCCATTTCTCTCCCCAATTAATATATATTTTTCCCTTACTTTTTTTACTTTTTTTCTCGCTAAAATATGCCCCCCCCCCCCCTAAAAAACAACAAAAAACCCAACACAGGTATTGTTGTTAACAGACAAAATTCCCCTTTTTCTTTAAAATGACACAAATTTCCCCTATATGAGGGGCCTAGCAGGGTCCCCTATATCATATTAGGGCCCTGACAAATGCTCAAGGTTGCTGTTCGTGAAATTAAAGCCATTATGATAAATATAAGTTTTATTGAACATTTTAGCCTAGAAGTACAGAATATGAGGTTATTTGAAGTCATTGATTTTCATGTTGGTGCCCTAATATGATACATATTTTGGCTTTTTCAGATCTAAATGTCATGACAGATAAAGTTGGTCCATTCAATAATCCACAAGCTGTAAGAACAAAATCTGGTAAAATTATTACGTACAATGATGTGTCTGTAAATGATGCCAATGACAGACCAACAAAAGCCTGTAGCAAAATTATGACAGAGAATAGAAAAGGTAGAAAATGTGCTGTACCGGCAGCTGTTTCAGACACGATTAAAGTGGAAGTTTCTTCTGAACGACGTGAGTTTCCTGGTCAACTAGATGGTTATGAAGGTGATGAAGCTGAAGAATCACTGGAGAATGATGACGGTGACAATGATGATGACTATGCAGATGATCTAAATAATAAGATAAGAGAAGGGGAGGAAAATATATCTGGCGATAATTTGTCACCAAAGAGACACGGAAGGCCCGTAAGACAATCTCAGAAAGTAAAAGGTTCGAATCTTGGTTCTCCAGCAGACACTGACCCAGCTGAACAGGAAATGACTCCAACTGGTAGGAAAAGAAGGAGAGTTGCAGCTAAGGCAGTAGAGACTATTCAAAATGTGATGTCAGAGGAAAAAGAAAAGGTATATTTATGGCATCACTAATACAATAATTATTTTGACAATTTTGGATTTGAAGCTCAGTCAAACCTGATACTAAAACTTTATAATGATAACAAACTAAAATTTACTAATGATAACATTAAGAGAAGTAATATGATCTGATTTCACTTTTTAAAGAACTACTGCCAAAATTCCCTGAATGATTAAATGCTATAATCTAACCATTTCATCCACCAAAATGCACTTTAAGACAGCTAATTATTTCCTCAAACTGATTTATACACAATTATGAATGTAAAAATTGCCAAAAAAAAAATATTTCTCTACTTCTCAATGTGATCAAGATTTCAGTCAGACGTCTAGAGGTACACTTTTTCCTTGTTTCAAATTTCCCTCTATTTTCCCCTCCACAACACCATTTTTAGCTCACCTGTCACAAAGTGACAGGGTGAGCTTTTGTGATCGCTTTTCGTCCGGCGTCCGTCCGGCGTCCGTCCGTCCGTAAACTTTTAGTTTAAATGACATCTCCTCATAAACCACTAAGCCAATTTCATCCAAACTTCACATGAATGTTCCTTTGGTGGTCACCTTTGAAAATTGTTCAAAGAATTTAATTCCATGCAGAACTCTGGTTGCCATGGCAACCAAAAGAAAAAACTTTAAATATCTTCTTCTAAAAAATCCAAAGAGCTAGAGCTTAGATATTTGGCATGAAGCATCTTCTAGTGAGTGTCTACCAAGTTTGTTCAAATAAAAGCCCTTGGGTCAAAATTGGCCCTGCCCCAGGGGGTCATTGATTTTCCCAATATGCATATAGTAAAACCTTTAAAAATCTTCTTTAAAAGAACCCAAAGACCTATAGCTAAGATATTTAGCATGAAACATCCTCTAATGGGTGTCTACCAAGTTTGTTCAAATAAAAGCCCTGGGGTCAAAATTGGCCCTGCCCCTTGGGCAGTGTTTCTGCCAGCTCTGATTTTCTGAGGGTCTTTTATGACCCCCTGTATGATATTTTAGGGGTCATTTCAAATTCATAAGGGTCATGCCCAGGGCTCTCGATTGACACGGGGATCCGGGTTTTGACTCGTGAAAATCGGGAAATGCACATATTTGACACGTGATAAAATCTGCTCAAGAGTCAATTTTCCACATGGGATTTTCAGCTATGCAATAATAATTACCTTAAATCCACCCCTAATTATCTATCAAATCCTACATGTGTTCAAATCACACTCATAAAAAATGTCAACAGGCAGTATAAGATGTGTATAAAATGCTTTACACACAGCAATTGTTTATACCCTGTGCACTGAAGCGCGACAATTCAGTGGCTGCAATTTGACAGCGCTAAAAATAGCTCTACACAACTGATAAGAATTAACCATACTTGAGGTGTCAATTATTGATTGCTTCTGAAGGTTTATAATACTCTTTCATTTACTTGGAGTACCTGTGCATTTCTTATAAATATTCCTGGTACATTTTGGTATTTAAAATTAATATGATATAGCATACCAGTAAAGATATTCTTTTATATTTTATACATTTAATCAGAAAAGCTGCTGCTTATTTTATTCTTTCACAGCAATTCATGTTTTTGTTTTATTTGTTTTTTGTTTTGTTTTTTAGGTGGTGGGGGTATAGACATTTATAATTAGGCATTTTTTTCTGTCAATTTAGACTTTGGAATCTCCAAAAATGACCTCCAATACAGTTATTTTTGTAACATAAAAATGATACATGTAGTCAAATGACACTAGAAAAAAATTATTTGACTCATGAAAATTTTAGCCAAAGAGTCTTTGACTCGTGAAATTCTGACCCTGCTGAGAGCCCTGGTCATGCCAATCAATTTAACAAAAATTAAAAAAAACAACAGGTAACACTTTATAAGTTTCATTTTCTAGGGCACTTTACTTCTTGCCAGAGAACATTTATGTACCATCATGTAGTTCAACTATCTGTGAATAAAAATATTGTTAAATACTTGTTTTTGTGTTATATTTTTAATAGTTATTTTAATTTTTTTTTTGGCAATTTATCGAAATTATTCATCAACAAAATTGCACCATTTATAATGGATTGTTTTTCTTTCGGGGAATTAGGGTCATCGTCAACATTTTTTATACGATACTTCTTTTTGGTCATGGACAACAATATTTTGTGTATTTTTCGTTAAGAAATTGGTCAATCTCCGCTATTTTGGAGCAGACGGCATTTTCCACAGACAGTTAATTCGTTCGCGGAATATGACGACAACAAAATAAATAATTTTGTCTAGGCGCTTTCAATATATGCAGTATCGTATAAATGCAAGCGTTTATTAACTAGTTGAAATTGGCTAAATGCCAGACCACGGACCCGGTAAATTTCATTTCTCATTAAAATTATAGTGAAGTCCACGGTGAACATTCCGTACATTTTTATACTGAATTGACGGTTTATAGTCTGTATATCTGACTCGTGTTGAAATCAGCGACGGTGAAATTCTTGCGTCACAAAATACGCACTAACTAAATTTCATTGCGTCATGGCCGAAAATAATGCGCCAAAAACGCAAAAACGCGCTCTGGCAGAAACACTGCTGGGGGTCATTGATTTTCCCTATATGCATATAGTAAAAACTTAAAAAATCTTCTTTTAAAGAACCCAAAGAGCTAGAGCTTAGATATTTAGCATGAAACATGTTCTAATGGATGTCTACCAAGTTTGTTCAAATAAGAGCCCTGGGGTCAAAATTGGCCCCGCCCCAGGGGGTCATTGATTTTCCCTATATGCATATAGTAAAAACTTAAAAAATCTTCTTGTAAAGAACCCAAAGACCTAGAGCTCAGATATTTAGCATGAAACATCCACTAATGGGTTTCTACCAAGTTTGTACAAAAAAAAGCCCTGGGGTCAAAATTGGCCCTGCCCCAAAAGGTCTTTGATTTTCCCTATATGCATATAGTAAAAACTTTAAAAAATCTTCTTTTAAAGAACCCAAAGAGCTAGAGATAAGATATTTAGCATGAAACATGTTCTAATGGATGTCTACCAAGTTTGTTCAAATAAGAGCCCTGGGGTCAAAATTGGCCCTGCCCCGGGGGTCATTGATTTTTCTTTTATGTGTATAGCAAAAACTTAAAAAATCTTCTCTGAAAAAAACAAATAGCTAGAGTTTAGACATTAAGTTTGAAACATCTTCTAGTGAGTGTCTACCAAGTTTGTTGTAATAAAAGCCCTGGGGTCAAAATTGGCCCTGCCCCAGGGGGTCTTTGATTTTCCCTATATGCATATAGTAAAAACTTTAAAAAATCTTCTTTTAAAGAACCCAAAGAGCTAGAGATAAGATATTTAGCATGAAACATGTTCTAATGGATGTCTACCAAGTTTGTTCAAATAAGAGCCCTGGGGTCAAAATTGGCCCTGCCCCGGGGGTCATTGATTTTTCTTTTATGTGTATAGCAAAAACTTAAAAAATCTTCTCTGAAAAAAACAAATAGCTAGAGTTTAGATATTAAGTTTGAAACATCTTCTAGTGAGTGTCTACCAAGTTTGTTGTAATAAAAGCCCTGGGGTCAAAATTGGCCCCGCTCCGGGGGGTCATTCATTTTCCTTATATGTGTATAACAAAAACTTAAAAAATCTTCTTTGAAAAAAACTCAAATAGCTAGAGTTTAGATATTAAGCACAAAGCATTTTCCAATGAGTGTCTACAAAGTTTGTTCAAATAAAAGCCTTGGGTCAAATTTGGACCCGCCCCGGTGACATTGATTTTCCTCATATGTGTATAGCAAAAACTTAAAAATCTTCTTTGGAAAAACCCGAATAGCTAGAGTTTAGATATTAAGCATGAAACATTTTCTAGTAAGTGTCTACAAAGATTGTTCAAATAAAAGCCCTTGGGTCAAAACTGGCCCTGCCCTAGGTGTGTCATTGTTTTTAACTATATGTGTAAAGAAAAACTTTACCAGCTAGACCTTAGATGTTTAGCATGAAACATCTTCTAATGGGTGTCTACCAAGTTTTTTCAAATAAAAGCCCTGGGGTTTAAACTGGCCCCGCTCTGGGGGCCTATATACAGGTGAGCGACTTCAGGGCCATCATGGCCCTCTTGTTTTTCTCTTTATGGGCCATGCCACCATGTATTCTGAGAAAGAAACTTTACATATAAATAATTTTACTATTAAATTGCTCATATTTTGTATTTATATAAGTTGCTGCATATATCTGATAATTCTTGATAATTCTTACAACTTAGGCACACTTTGCTCACTTTTTATATGCCCGAAAGGGCATATTATGTTATACCCCCTGGCGTCCGTCTGTCTGTCCGTCCGTCCGTCCGTTAGCAATTTGGTTTCCGGAGCATAACTTAAGTTCCATTTGGCCCACAATGTTCAAACTTCATAGGATGATTGTCCATATTGGGTAGAAGACCCCTATTGATTTTGGGGTCAAAGGTCAAGGTCACTATGACCTTAAAACTGAAAATAGTTTCCGGAGCATAACTTAAGTTCCATTCGACCAACAATGATCAAACTTCATAGGATGATTGTCCATATAAGGTAGAAGACCCCTATTGATTTTGGGGTCACAAGGTCAAAGGTCAAGGTCGCTATTACCTTGATACTGAAAACAGTTTCCGGAGCATAACTTAAGTTCCAAATGACCCACAATGTTCAAACTTCATAGGATGATTGTCCATAGTGGGTAAAAGACCCCTTGTCCATAGTGGGTAAAAGACCCCTATTGATTTTGGGGTCAAAAGGTCAAAGGTCAAGGTCACTATGACCTTAAAACTGAAAACAGTTTCTGGAGCATAACTTAAGTTCCATTTGACCCACAAAGTTCAAACTTCATAGGATGATTGTCCATATTGGGCAAAAGACCCCTATTGATTTTGGGGTCACAAGGTCAAAGGTCAAGGTCACTATTACCTTGATACTGAAAACAGTTTCCGGAGCATAACTTAAGTTCCAATTGACCCACAGTGTTCAAACTTCATAGGATGATTTTCCATATTTGGAAGAAGACCCCTATTGATTTTGGGGTCACAAGGTCAAAGGTCAAGGTCACTTTTACATTGATACTGGAAACAGTTTCCGGAGCATAACTTAAGTTCCATTTGGCCCACAGTGTTCAAACTTAATAGGATGATTGTCCATATTAGGTAGAAGACCCCTATTGATTTTGGGGTCAAAAGTTCAAGGGTCAAGGTCACTATATCCTATAAACTGAAAACAGTTTCTGGAGCATAACTTAAGTTCCATTTGGCCCACAATATTCAAACTTCATAGGATGATTGTCCATATTGGGCAGAAGACCCCTATTGATTTTGGGGTCACTAGGTCAAAGGTCAAGGTCACAATTACCTTAAAACCAAAAACAGTTTCCGGGGCATAACATAACTTCCATTTGGCCCACAATATTCAAACTTCGTAGGATGATTGTCCATATTGGGTAGAAGACCCCTATTGATTTTGGGGTCACAAGGTCAAAGGTCAATGTCACTTTTACCTTAATACTGAAAACAGTTTCTAGAGCATAATTAAAGTTCCAATTGGCCAACAATATTCAAACATTTTAGGATGATTGTCCATATAAGGTAGAAGACCCCTATTGATTTTGGGGTCAAAAGGTCAAAGGTTAAGGTCATTATTAATAACTTAAGTATTAATCAACCTACAGCTGTAAAATTTTATAGGATGAACAGCTAATTCCCATGTCTTATAAATGCTTCATCCTTATTAAAAAAAAAAACACTTTCGGGCATATAATGCTCCGCCTAGCGGTGCTCTTGTAGCTCTTCTGTTTTGAAGAAAAAGTGGAGCTGTAATGATTGCTATGGTGTTACCGTTGTTGTCATTCAAAAACTTTAACGTAGGCCATTATTGAAACAAGGGGCTTAATTCTGAAAGCAATATTTTAGGAGTTATGCCCTTGTTTAACTTAAAATTTTTAACTGACGGTCGTTAACACCACATGTGGTGCCATTGTTTTTATTAAACCATGATTTTAATAACAGCCATGATAAAACTGGGAAGGTTGGCATTATCTTGTGTCTTTTTTTTGCGGTGCAGGTATACTGCCTGTAAATTGTTTTGCCTGTATATATCATATCTATTAACATAATGACAATGTACCAGCAACGAAATAAGGATGACGACGCCAAGTTTGATGTTTGCTGTACAAAGAATTAAACACGGAAATGTTTGCATTGTAGACTGATGTGAAACCAACACTGAATGTAAACACAAGACCATGTAGGGTGCCAGAGAAGAAACCACCGCCTGGAGTTAAACGTAAATGTTCGTTGTGTCCAAAAGAGTTCATATATCAGTATACACTAAACAACCATTACAAACTTTGTCACGATCCGCATAATCCGCCGAAACCTAAACCGAGGAAGAAACATCTGGCACAGCAGTGCGACATCTGTGGTAAAGTTTTCAGCCGTTCAGACACTCTACTTGATCATAAGAAGCAAATACACATGGGTTTAACAAAGAAAAGAACTGTTCAAATAAGTACATGTGACCAATGTGGAGCTTCGTACAAAAGAGCAGCTCATCTGAAGGAACATATTTTAGTCAAGCACTCGGACTCACAGTTACCACATCCGTGCAAATTATGTGACAAAAGTTTCATCAGATCTAGATTTCTCCATAATCATATGAATAGGGATCACTTGAAAATTAAACCTTACAAATGTGATTTCTGTAGCAAAATGTTCTTCAGCCAATTTTCAGCGGAAAAACACATGAAGTCGAAGATTTGTCAGTCGGACAGAATCAAAAGATTCAAATGTTTACAGTGTGACTTGAGATATCAAACTGCCAGTAATTTAGAAATGCACATGACTGCAAAACATTTTGGTGGGGCTTACAGTTGTGTATGCGGGGAAGTTGTTCAGTGGTCAGGTAGCGTGGCCAAACACAAGAGGCATTGCAAAGCCTATCAGGCATATGTAGAATCAACAGGAGACGTTGTGGATAAAGTGTGTAATATAATTGAAGTGAAGTTTGAAGATGTATTGATAGGAAATGACGATGGACATGGTACTGTATCATCTAATGATTCATCAAAGGATAAATCTGAAACATGAGATGCATTGCTAGAAAAGTGACATTTTTAATTTATAATAATGCATATTTGTTCACTTTTGAGTTGAATTAGTTAAATATTTCAGAAGATTGACCGTTAAAATGGTAATTGACAAAAAGTTGATAGATAAAATATAAAAAGTACCTGAATTATAAAAAGACTGCCCTACTCTTTTTTGTATTTTACGGATTCATTTCAAATGATATTTATAGAAATTTCCATGGGTCACATGGATTATAAATTACTTTTCCTTGGTAAAATATAAAATTGAACACAATCTTACCTTTGCACTAAACATTGAGCCTTGGGTGGGCATAATTTCACTTTAATTAAGTAGGAAATAAATAAAGAAGCATCAGTCATCTGGCAGCTGAGGTTTAGTTTTGTCAACTACATGTAAGGACTGGTTATGTCTAGTAATGCTGGTTATGTCTAGTAATGCAAACAACAGACTGCCAATGTTAAGCTTTGTTAACTAAGAAGCAGCTTTGTCTAAATTGTAAAAAAAAGAATTGTTGATGTTGAGTTTTGTTAATTATAGACCAGCTACATGCATTTGTAGTAACTGGATAAAGAACTTAAGTTTTGTCAACTAAGAACATACCATGTCCACAAATACAAACAAAGAACTGTTGATGTTTAGTTTTGTTAACTATATAGATCCGCTATTTGTAGTAACCAGAAAAAGAACTGTGTCAACTAAGGTCTAGCCACATGTAGTTAAAGCAAACAAAAAAAAGCTGTTGATAATTAAGTTTTGTTTACTATTGAACAACTGTATACGTAGATATGTTGATGATAATTAAGTTTTGTTAACAATGGACAGATTATGTCTAGTAACACAAACTAAGAACTGTTAAAGTGTTAATGTTTTGTTGAACAGGCTATTTGTAGTAATGCAAATTAAGAATTGTATTGTCTGTTCTACATTATTTACATTATGGTACAAGTAATTTGAACTCATTTCTTTTTAATTAAGACAAGCTTAAAGGAACACCACTGAGGTTTTTTGACATGACAGGAGTGGAAATAATTTTTCAAGATTAATGTTTCATTTGATGTAGATTTAGACCATAAGCTTGTAAGCTAAATTTCAGAATATTCGCTCTCGCAGTTTTTCCAGAATAATTATTCTAATAGTGAAAATGATGTGAACGCTTTTCACTGAAATCCGGTTTAGAATAGCACAAAAATATGATTTTTAGCTCGACTATTCGCAGAATAATCGAGCTAATGCAGTCACCCATTTGTCAGCGTCGGCGTCCCTGTGGTTAAGTTTTTGAATGTAAGCTAGTATCTCCATAACTACTGAAGGGAATGGATTGAAACTTCACACACTTGTTCTCTGTGATTATCTAAGATAATTGGCACAAGTCCCATAACTCTGATTTGCTTTTTTACATAATTATGCCCCTTTTTTGACTTAGAAATTCTTGGTTAAGTTTTTGCATGTAAGCTGGTATCTCCATAACTACTGAAGGTAATGGATTGAAACTTCACACACTTGTTCTCTCTGATTATCTTAGATGATTGGCACAAGTCCCATAACTCGGATTTGCTTTTTAACATAATTATGCCCCTTTTTCGACTTAGAAATTTTTGGTTAAGTTTTTGCGTGTAAGCTGATATCTCCATAACTACTGAAGGGAATGGATTGAAACTTCACACACTTGGTCTCTGTGATTATCTAAGGTGATTGGTACAAGTCTCATAACTCTGAATTGTTTTATTTCATAATTATGCCCCTTTTTCGACTTAGAAAATCTTGGTTAAATTTTTGTATGTAAGCTTGTATCTCCATAACTACTGAAGGGAATGTATTGAAACTTGAAGAGTTTGTACCTTTTCGGACAATTTTATGTATTCATATAGGTAAGCATTATTATACTCAATGAAACACCCTTGTGACAAATTTTCGAATAGTCGAGCGTTACTGTCCTCTGACAGTTCTTGTTGTACATCTACTTATTTCTGAGTTTATGTTAAGAATAATGTTTGCATATCTCTGTTATAAGTGCAATATATATGTGATGTATGTTGGAAATTCAAATTTTATATTTGTAAGTTTTTGTAGTGAGTGGAGTTACTTTAAATATTTAAATATTTTTTGGGGGGCTTTTTAAATCACCTCTGTGGGTTTCAATCTACCAGAGACTTTATTTCTTTATGTGAGAAAGTTATACAGCTAGCTTACAGAACGTTGACGGTTTTACCCATGTGCCCACTCGTTCCTGAAATAATGCATCAAGGTGCACCTGAGGTCTTCCTCCACAAATAAAGCTGGAAAGTCACCGTACGACCATTATATATACAACTTTACAACTTACATGACTATATAATCCAACAAAAAAAGATATGCTCAAATAAACAAAAGAAATTAAGGAGTAATTTTGTTTCTTTCTCTTTTATATTTTTGAATTTCTGTTTTTCTTAGTAATCAGTAAACTGTATGACTATTACTTTTTATCTATATTTTTATGTACATGTATTTCATAATTATATAAATTCAATTAATTAAAAGAAAATCATGTTTCAGCATTTTCAAACTTTAATAATTACAGTATATTCAATGTATAATTTCAACTTGACTATTGAAAATTGAATGGAAATCAACAAGACACATCATAATTGTACGAACAAAACATTTATTTTACTGTAATAAATAAAACAGGTAAGGAAGTGAATTACAGACAAACTAATTGTTGTTATATTGGGTGTATTGTCAATATTTGTCCTCCGATATTGATATATTGTTGATAAGCCTGTACTGAATCAATGACACAAGGCCAGGTTCCCTAGGTTAGATACTTGGTACCATAATAATACCTGTCTTATTCATGTCCATCAATTTGTAATTCAACCACCATGTTTTTAGCTCACCTGTCACAAAGTGACAGGGTGAGCTTTTGTGATCGCTTTTCATCCGGCGTCCGTCCGGCGTCCGTACACTTTTACTTTAAATGACATCTCCTCATAAACCACTAGGCCAATTTCATCCAAACTTCACAGGAATGTTCCTTTGGTGGTCACCTTTAAAAATTGTTCAAAGAATTTAATTCCATGCAGAACTCTGGTTGCCATGGCAACCGAAAGAAAAAACTTTAAATATCTTCTTTTAAAAAACCCTAAGAGCTAGAGCTTAGATATTTGGCATGAAACATCTTCTAGTGAGTGTCTACCAAGTTTGTTCAAATAAAAGCCCTGGGGTCAAAATTGGCCCCGCCCCAGGGGGTCATTGATTATATAGTAAAAACTTAAAAAATCTTCTTTTAAAGAACCCAAAGAGCTAGAGCTAAGATATTTAGCACTAAACATGTTCTAATGAGTGCCTACTAAGTTTGTTCAAATAAAAGCCCTGGGGTCAAAATTGGCCCCGCCCAAGGTGGTCATTGATTTTCCCTATATGCATATAGTAAAAACTTAAAAAATCTTCTTTTAAAGAACTCAAAGAGCTAGAGCTAAGATATTTAGCATCAAACATGTTCTAATAGGTGTCTACCAAGTTTGTTCAAATAAAAGCCCTGGGGTCTTAATTGGCCCTGCCCCGGGGGTCATTGATTTTCCTTATAATTATGTGTATAGCAAAAACTTAAAATCTTCTTTGAAAAAACCCAAATAGCTAGAGTTTAGATATTAAGCATGAAACATCTTCTAGTAAGTGTCTACAAAGTTTGTTCAAATAAAAGCCCTGGGGTCAAAATTGGTCCCGCCCCAGGGGTGTCATTGTTTTTAACTATATGTGTATAGTAAAAACTTAAAAAAATCTTCTTTTAAAAAGCCCAATGAGCTGGAGCTTAGATGTTTAGCATGAAACATCTTCTTATGGATGTCGACCAAGTTTGTTCAAATAAAAGCCCTGGGGTCAAAATTGGCCCCGCCCCAGGGGGTCATTGGTTTTCCCTATATGCATATAGTAAAAACTTAAAAAATCTTCTTTTAAAGAACTCAAAGAGCTAGAGCTAAGATATTTAGCATCAAACATGTTCTAATAGGTGTCTACCAAGTTTGTCCAAATAAAAGCCCTGGGGTCAAAATTGGCCCTGCCCCGGGGTCATTGATTTTCCTTATATGTGTATAGCAAAAACTTAAAAAATCTTCTTTGAAAAACCCAAATAGCTAGAGTTTAGATATTAAGCATGAAACATCTTCTAGTGAGTGTCTACAAAGTTTGTGCAAAAAAAAGCCCTGGGGTCAAAATTGGCCCAGCCCCGGGGGTCATTGATTTTCCTTATATGTGTATAGCAAAAACTTAAAATCTTCTTTTAAAAAAACCCAAATAGCTAGAGTTTAGATCTTAAGCATTAAAAATCTTCTAGTAAGTGTCTACAAAGTTTGTTCAAATAAAAGCCCTGGGGTCAAAACTGGCCCCGCCCCAGGGGTGTCATTGTTTTTAACTATATGTGTATAGTAAAAACTTAAAAAATCTTCTTTTAAAAAGCCCAATGAGCTAGAGCTTAGATGTTTAGCATGAAACATCTTCTTATGGGTGTGTGTGTGTGTGTGGGGGGGGGGGGGGGCTATATACAGGTGAGCGACCTCAGGGCCATCATGGCCCTCTTGTTTACATGTCCTAGTAAGCACATGGCATTTCATAATAGATTAAACAAGGTAAAATGTTAGCTCAAGTAAAGTTTATTCTATAAAATCAAAGCAGATAACTAACTCTAAATATAATGTATTAGCAAAGACCAGTTTTAAATTGATTCAGCATAATTATTCTAAAAAAAGAATGTTGTTACATAACTTTAATGAAATACAACCATATTTAATGGTAGAAGGTAGAAATCTTGTGCATAATGTCTGCAAAATAATTATATGTACAGTTGAGAATTTACAAGATACTTTTTTGTTGCTTATCCTATCAAATACAAAACTCATGATAATTTTTTTAAAGGTTTTTATATACATTTGATGAATAAATTTATCATCATTGATTCCAATAAATTTCGATAGCAGAGTGGCTGTTACTACATGTACTATACATTTACGGCTGTATAGCAGTGACAGAATTAGATAATGTGTTTGTTAATGTACATGTATTCTGTTAAATCATTTCAGACTCAAAGTAAGAACTCCACCTCATTTGTAGACAAACATCATCTTCGACAACTTTTAACAGAAGCATTGAGGTCATCAAAGTCCGGGAAAGAATCCTCGAAGACCGATTTTGCAGAATGTCCTCATTGTCAGAAACGTATACGAAACACTAACCTGAGAAGACACATGTTAATGCATTTAGGTCTGCCTTTCAGGTGTACTCGTTGTTCCAGTTACTACAAGTCGCAGGATGAGCTTGAAAAACATAGATTAGAAAAACATGTTGGTGAATTCATATGCAAATATTGTGGCTTAAAGTATCGTTTTAAGAATTCTTTAACAGAACATATCCAAACGAGGCATGAAGGAACAGCGAAAATGTACGAGTGTTCAGTTTGCGGTGTGAAGATGTGTCGTAAAAGTCACATGGACGATCATATGAATATTCATAATAACGTTAATCCGTACAACTGTCAGAATTGTAGCAAGTCATACAAGAACAAAAGTGCATTTAAAAGACACATGAAAGATTGTGGAAGCGGAATTAAACACGTGTGTAATGCATGTGGTCAGATTTATAAATCATCCGTCGGTTTGCAGGATCATATCAGACGATGTCATGACGAGACAAATAGTTACATGTTCTCATGTGTGTGTAAAGCAAGCTTTAAAACCAGGTCGGCAAGGTGTAGACATAGAATTCATTGTGAAAGTTATAAAAGTGAGAAAAATGGAACTCAGTCGCCTGATGTGGTTCAGCAAAACATAACAATTCTTCGTGTAACTAGTTCTTCTAATGAATTAAATTTCTATGGGGATAGTAATGAGTTATCTAAAACCAACAGACAAATTAGTAATCAAAGTAACACTGAGCAAAATGTTAACTATGAATTTGATGAAATGAGTTCAGGTGAAGCAAACGATACAGATCCACTAGAGCAAGGCCAAACTGTGACTTTTGATGAACCAACAAGCACTTTTGAATGAAGGTTGATAATTGAAATTGTTAAAGCCTTACCTTGCTGATTCTATGTAATGGACTTGTCCTGCTTTGACTTTGGTACTGTCCATTGTTTTTGTGGGGGATTTCAGTGTCAAAATACTGAATTGAGCCCTTAGCAGATGTGCCAGCTCGCCTGGATATACTTGAAAGGTACAGGCAAAGTACAGCTGTCCTAAGGTCAATTATTTTGATCGCATCATACTAAAGTTATAAAGAGACAACCTATTGTGAGACAGCTGGACTTGATTATAATTATGCCATAATTTGTTACAAATGTTAATTTTGTTTTTTTAAAACCGTTAAAGGAAAAATAATTTTTTGAAAATAAAAAATCATATTTATTCACAGTTTGGGTTTTTTTTCAAATTAAATTTATTTCAAAAATTTAAGGGGGCAAATTTTTTTTGTTTCACCTTGTTGAGCTTTTATGATGGCAATGTGTCTGTTGTTGATAGTTACATGTACAAAGAACATCTTCTGCTTAACCACTTGTTAGATTTTGGTTAATCTTCACATAGCTTAGATATTTAGCATGCAGCATCACCTTGTGGTCCTCTAAAAAAGTTATAATCATGCCCCTCTGAGCAAATTTAGCGCTGGCTCAGGGGTCACTTATACATAGACTTATTTTGGCAAAATACATTTAAATGTTCAGGGCCCAACCCACAACCTTACGTTCAGTAAGTTTACATACATTGTGTATTAAACATGTCCTATAATTCCCTTTCCTGAAAGTACAATACTACATATATGATATTTGGCCTGTAGCATCATCACTTTGTGGTCCTCTGAAAATTTCTTTTATAGGAAAATACATTTAAGTTATGTGAAAAACTACAACAGAGCATTTTCTAGTAGACTTTTACAAATATTTTATAACTCATACAGTTGGAAACAAAAATGACACACCCCAATGTTTATCTTTTTTCTGTGTTTGGGAAAAAATTGGGGACTTTTAATTAGGGTTTAATGATAAAGGGCCCCCCTTTATGTTTTGTTGTTTTAAGGCCCCTGCAAGAAAATAAATTTTTTATATTGGGATTTTGATATGTATATTTAAAAGAAAATCAAAAAAAATTAAAGGGTTACTGGGTCTATTTTCTATATCTTTGTATTACATTATGTTTGATATCAAGTCCCAAAAGTATTTGCATTATGTTGAGTAAACATTTTTGAATTTCCACCCCTTTTTTAAAATTTTTTTAAAAAATTTTTGTTTATTTTATTCATTTGGGAAAAAAACCCTTTTAAAAGGCTAAAAGTTTGTTTTTTGCACATGTTTTTTGTTTGAAATTTTAAGTTTTAAAAAAAATCCCTTTATTGGCTTTCCCGGGACAGTCAAGTAAAATTTTAGCTTTAGGGAAACGTATGATTGGGAAATTTAAATCTAGAGACATTTTTCCCTGGTGTTATGTTGCAAATAACGGGTTTATCCTAAACTACATGAATTAGATAGCTTTCTTGTTAATAAAAAGGGAAGTAACTCAAAAAAGTCATGTAGCCATAAATTTGCAGTGTCATCAAATTAAACTAGGACAAACTGTAGTAAACAAGCAAAGTGTAGTATAATTTTGGGTTAGAATAGTCATTTACGACTAGCCATAAATTTGCAATGAGTGTCATCAAATACATGTAGCACTGGTTTCAAACTAGGACTGTGTAATTTGAGGTTAGAACAGAATTGACAGGGTTCACTCCCTTTAAAATTGCAAATGGCAATTGATCAAAGATAAGTTTTGAAAGAATTATTTCCCTTGAAAATAGTATTTGGGGAAAAAACATTTTGACAACCTTTATCTTTTGAAATTAATAATCATTATTTTATCTCTTTATTTTGTATATACATCACAACATTTTAAAATTTAGTAAAATAATATGGCATAAATGATATGTCTAAATATAACTGTCTTCAATTTTAATACTTACAGCTTATAACTCATGAAATAGCTCTGATCACATTTCGCTGAAACAAGTTCTAAAACAAGCTTAAACAGTATTGTGATGTATCTTCTGAAACTAAAAGCTATTACCTAGCCTTTTTCACCATTAATTAAAGAGCCTGTCCAAATGTCAACGACAGTCCTATACTGTTTGTACTATATCGACATGGACATCCCTTAAACAGATAAAAGCTTAATTTACAAAAAATAGCAGTTTACAATCCATGCAAGCTTGTCACTTTATATAAAATATGATAAACAAGAAAAAGATAAACCTAAATTTTAATTAAGAAGCATGTATTTATTTCAAATGGGGGAAAATAATGTAATATACAAAACAGTATTTATCTATTTAATCCCAGATCGACAACAATGACTGTGTGATTTTGACTTTAATAATATTTTTTATACTAGATTAAAAATAATTCGCAAGTATCCATAAATAGATTTACCTATGTCCTAGATTTTCTTTATAAATAGATATTGTAATTTCCAAAGTCTATTTTTAGAAATTGCATTATTAAATGCGTGTCAGAAGGTTCTGGAACATATTTCTGCTGTTTCATATCAATTTACGTATAAATTCAGTTAAACTCTGGAACATTCTAGATAGGAGCTTCAACTACTATATAAACTGGACAAAATCTAGATCACTTCAAAATTAAAACGAAGAGAAATAAGTTAAAGTGGTTTAAATAATAGAATTAAGTTAACATTGCCTTAAACATTGTCAGCTATGGGACGATTTATGCAGCGAGCAGTTATATTGCCTCCTTCAAGCCGGGGATCTAACCACCCTCGGGCGCAATTAGAGGGACTTCTTGCTGGTCTACTTGGTGGTCTATCCGCAAGTGACCTCTTATATGGTAAACAGAAATGTTGTCAGTCATTGCCGATGTTTGAGCCTAGGTTACATTTCACAGCATATAAACAGCCATGGCTCTACGTACTTGATATGGACGGCTTTAGACCAGGTGAAATCAAGTTGAAAGTGGATGGCAATGTCGTTCATGTCCATGCTAGGCATGAAGACGTAGATGGAGAGGATATAGACATCATAGAACGGAAACGGGTTGTGAAAATACCCGAATGTGTAGACGTTCAGAAAATGTCATGCTTTATCGATCGTAGAGGAAAGATGGTTTTCAAGGCACCCTTCCTGTGTGACGAAACAAAGAGCAAGAAAGAGAATAGTTCAGTGGAACAGGAAGGAGACGAAATGCAGGCCGAGTCAAAGGTTGTGGAAAACGTCCAGTCCGAGACAAACGACGAAAATAACTCGTGTGATGTAAACAGTGACTTGATGAATCATTTTGAACAAGCAGATAAAGAAACAATCGTAGATTCTCTGGAAAAGGAAGCAATTCCTAGTAACCAGGGCAACTCTGAGGACGACAGCCAACAATCAAAAGTCGAAGGTGACTTATTTTCTACTACAGATGTAACCAAATTAGAACATGATACAGTCAACGAAGATACAAGTAGGTGTGACAGTCCCGTGCAATTAGAGAAGGAACGAGATATAAGTGCTGATTCTCTCCAAGATAAAGAAGAACCTTCAATCGGTACAATGGACGTTGTTGAAAAGGATGGACAGAAATATCTAAGTGTAAAATTAGATATAGGGAGTTTTCTCGTTGATAGCATACGTGTACGATGTGAGGATAAGGTTCTTTCTGTAGATGCGAAACGAGAGTTGGACGAAGCTGGTAAAACAGAACTGCAGGAATTTCATCGGCAGTATCAGCTCCCAGAAAACGCATGTGATGAGCAGGCAAGAGCGTTCGTTAGCGACAGCGGGTACTTTGCCATCAATATTCCGATTAGAGATGAGAATACCGTCGGAAAATCGCATTAATTGACGTGAACTGCTTTTACAGAAATATTGATTAGTACTGTGACGATATCTGACTTAAGTTTCATACAATAGAAATAGCTATGAACTTTATTATAAATGATATACCTTAATGTTGCAAAAGGGAATTTTCATTTATTTTAATTACATGTACTTTTATACTTGTTTCCATTCTTAAATTTTGTGACTAACAGATCAGTGATGCATTACATAAACGTTTTATAAAACAATTGGTTTTCATTGGCATGTTATTTACAACCATTAACATTAACAGAAATAACTTTAATACAAATGGTATTGCTTATGAAATGGTATTGGTTATGTAATTGTCATTTATTTTACCTACTTTCATTTAATTTTTCATTCAAATTTGTAATGACTCAGTGCAGTATTCATTTTTGTATAATAGATAAAGATTAATTTGTTTGAAATTTCAACTTGCATGTGTAATGAAAGTGCAATCATTCGTGAAAATGCGCTTCTAAGTTTTAGTTACTTGATTTAAAATTTCTAGGTAATTCTTAACATGCTATTGTGATATGTTTATTCTATGTCTTACGAAAAATATATGAATTTATATGAATCGGATGGTTGAGAAATAAATACGAAAAATAAATACCAATATTTTTTTATTTTTGTTGTTGTTGTTGCTTTTTTTTTAATATACACATTGTGAATGTCTGTGTGAAATTAATTAGCTGCTAATAGTCACCCTGAGTGTGTCAGCTAGACTTGCACCTTTGTATGTGTCCAATGATTTTGTAAATAATTCAGTAACAAACTGGGACATCTATATGTTGAATGAACCCTTGCTTTAAAGCTGCACAAAAATATTTCGATAAAATCAAACCTGAGAAAAGTTTCCTAAGATTTTAGGAAAAGTATAAAGGTTCAAAATTTTAGTAATAATTTACATGATATATGTACGATTAATGACCGATTTTTCAGTATTTATAATTATATTTCTACTGCGTTACTAACGCAGTAACGGCTATTTTGCATATTTTGACCTCTTTATGGTAATTTACGTGGCTTGTAAGTGTCATTATTAATGTGTCAATTGCATTATTTTGGTAACTTTTTCCCATCCTACCCAAACTGGCATGGGTCGGGGGGAGGGAACATCAAACTGGCTAATGAACTTTTTATGACTTTATTAACAATCGCCCAGAACTTATCGCTTGAATTCTTTCAAACTATATTGCAGAATGGTTTATCAATAACAACGGACATACGAGTATCTTAGAGGTCCAAAAGCCTAAAAACAAAAAGAATTGAATTTCATACAAAGATCAACTTGGGCTCTTAAAACAAATAAATATGCAAAAAAATATTTAAGAAATATACTCAGAATAGAATGATGCTACTAATTTGAGTAAAAATAGTTGAAACGCTTTTCGATCAATTTTTGATCAGTTATCACAAGTGGAATAATCATTCTGGAAAAAACATGAAAACGGTCTGAAATTTTGCACAAAAATTATTGCTCTAAACCTACATCAAATAGTACATTATATAATCTCGAAAAATTATTTGCAGACCCGTCATGTCCCTTTAATTAGTATTCCCCGGTCAATTCTAGAATAAATTTAAGTCTAACTCAACTTGAATGTTTTTTTTATATTTCTTTTTTTGCGACGAACGCGCCCTCAGGCGCGTTCAGAGCTATGTCATCTACACATGGGATTTCGTTGGCTACAATCGAGCAAGTGTCCTCAACCGAATAACAGCCCAAGAAGTAGTACATGAAATTTGATCCTATGAAACTCCCATACTTTGTCGGGATATCTTAAAAACTTCCATATTTAGCCTTTTCAATTTCAAATTAAGTTATCCAAGTTAAAATATGAACGTATTTGATTAATAAAAACGCTGTAGCCCGTAGTATTATTGCGCAATATGCAAATAACTGCTGAAACGATTTACCGCTGTCGAAAAAGTAGGACAGCAAATTATGCTTTAATTAAGGAGTGAGCTCAATAATTCCTAGCAATTATAAGTAGGAAATAAATATTTCTTCATTAAACAATACATTTTTATTAACAGATCAAAAGTTTTTGGTGACTCAGCAATTCTAGAATATCCTGCACATTAATTACATAATTTTCTAGGTCACGATATCAGTTAACCTTCTATCAGCTAATGTGATTTGTGATAGATTATAATAGATAACACTATTCTAAAAATAGATTTTACCCAATCACCACTACATCACACGTGCTGACTTTCGGACAAGCGATTAGGTAGTACACATTATACATGTAATAAATCAGAGGATACTTACTTTGTTTACATGCAATAGTTTAAGAAGTTTTATACAATTTTAAGAAGCAAACAAGTTGAAAATGGAATTTAGTGTGAAATTGAAAGGGACAACTAAACACTGTAGTGCTTAAGTGACATTTAAATTAAAATTAAAACGATGTGCTCTGGCCTCTACATCTTTACCTTGTAAATGAAAAAAAAATCTAAAAAAAAACATTAATTGCTGATGGTTTTAACCAAAAATATTTTTAATGAGACATATCCAGGAGAAATAAAAATCAAAATACTAATGACTTATGTTTCATTGTCTATATGCCAACTTTGATATAACAAGAAGCAATTCTAAATAACATTCTCACATGCATGTATTATGTATTATGCTTGAAGTTTATTTGCATGGTTTTATTTTAGAACTATTTCGTTGACAGTTTTTTTCCTTTTACAAATAAATCGATAAGGACACTGATTTACAAGTTTGACCAAAGTTTTGAGGCATAAATTTCATTCTGTATTTAAAAATTTGGACGTGTTCTGCTTGAAAGTAGAAAATCTTAATGATTTCAGATTGGGACAACTAAAATAGATTGCTCTACAAATCTCGAACGTGTATGGAACAAATTGCCTCTGTTATATCTTTTGTGTTTTTTTTTTTCTGAAAAAGCCTTGCGTGTTCGTCGCATTCAGTGCATTCAGCACTTTGATTAGGTATACTGGTTTCCTTGCAGTTTCCGTCCCCTAGCAGTTTTCCGGCCGTTTATCATTTTCGTCCAGTACAGTCTATTTTTGCCAGTAAGGCATCCACATAACTTCATCAATCAGAGAAACATTTTTTTCTCTAGGCTCAACAGCATTTAAAATGTACAACGATTTAAATGTTTTTTGAAGTTTTGCCCTGTTATTTTAAAAGTTACATAAGAGGAACTTGCGACTTTCAAAAAAGTAAGAACACCTTGGGAATTCTGTTTGAAATATCCATGCGCAAATAACCATGCAAGACCCCCTTTAGGTAAATCAATACTTCCCCGGATATTTTTGGAGAACGTACCATGGAAAAGGTTGTTAGTTTGTTTTGTCTGATAAACCATGTTAAAATTGCTTTCTGGTATGAATTATTTTAAAATAAAAAGGTCCGGAAATGACTTATATTTTTGAATAAAGTTGAAAAAAAGGTTACATTCAAGCCCTTATTCAATACACGGGCTTGAAAAAACTTTTTAAAAGTTTTATATTGGGCTTATCCTATATAAGAAAAAAAAAAAGAATATCTTTTGACCGGTCACGTAAAATTGATTTTTGATTAAAAAAAAAAAAAACCAAAAAAAACCACCCACTGCGCTGTGCTAATGAAATAATGGCTCGAACTTCCCGGGGGCCAAATTAAAGGTGGGCCTGATAATCGGGAAAAAATGTATTGCTTCTGAAAACAATATTAGATTATTTCATTCTAAATAATTATGTTTATCTAGTTTAACTGAGTTTTGAAAAAAAAAGCTTTCTGAAAAATGAAATGTTATTTTTTCTTTGTTTAAATTAGCCGGTAACGATTGGAAAGTATTCGTTAATATTTTATGATTTCCACGTGACCAATTGAAATCGAGGCTTGTATGTGCGTGCAAACATGGAAGACGGCGATATTTCTGATAGATTTGATGATGAAAGCCATTCTCAGGACAGAGGAGATGATTATGGTGGTGGATACAACGAAAGTTCAGGTTACAATGATTATGATGGAAATAAGCAAGGTCGCTTCCCTGGGCCTCGCGGACCTGGACCAAGAGGTTACAACATGCGCGGTCCACCAAGGTATTTTTTCAATAATAATTTTGTGTTTAATTAATAAAAATATCTTACTTTTTTGTCTTTTATTAACAGGTAAGTATCCTAAACAGCATTTTTTTTCAATATATTTGTTACACAAGACTGACAAGCATTGGAAGTTTTCAAGTTTTTCCTACATCCGGGTCAGGTCGGCATTTAACTCGGCCCGAGTTATGTCGACCCTTAGTCCAATATATTAGACGTTACAGGCTTGTTATAGTTTTTGTCGGTCAAGCCTTACGTCTAATAGTTATTGCTCAAAAACGCATAGCATCATAAAAAATTCAAAAAATGTCTATTGTCTTGCCTTTCAAGCTTTATTCAAAAGCTTATCATATTTTCTTTCAATTTCATGCTCAATCATACACAAAAACTTTCAAACGATGTACTTATCAATTTAAAATAAAATATAAACATCAATCTATTTTTGTCTATCAGCCATACTGGTTAAGCAAGGTGCTTTACAGATTGATTCCAAATTTTTGAACTGAAAAATATATTCGAACATACTGACGGTGCATGGGCAATTATTTCGTTAAGAAAATATTCCGTTAGATTGTTCTAACTCAGTTAAAAGCTTGCATTTGAATTAGCCAATCAGATTTCGCGCACTTTACGACCGCCATTTGTTTATCGGCTGTAAAAGGAATTGAAATACATGACGGGATTTAATCATGATTTTTCGGATGTGACAGTTTAATTATTTTGACAAAAGGTATTTATTTTTTAGTTTTGTTCATAAATAGGTCAAAAATTATGTAAATACACGCTGTCTTCATTGTTTTTCGTTCCGCCCGATTTTCTGGCAGAACATGCTATGGGTTTTTGAGCAATTTCGATATGACGTTGCTTTGCCCAGAAGCAAAAATATCTCAAAGCGACGTCATATTTATAGGACTAGTCGCCCCTATACAAACTGCAGTGTATAAACACCCTGTTCTAGCAGGATCGGTTCAAGATGAGATTCAGAGGCTCTCAAGAAAAGTACAATGATGGGAAGTTACATGTAGATACTTGTCATCGTATGATAAGTTGCACATACTTTGAATGTTATTGGCTTGCAAGACATGGTACAGTGATAATTTATGGGTGGTAGTGGTTTCGTCGAACTTCCGGTTCGGCGAACTGATCTTATATAATAAAACAGGTAGTGGTTTCGGCGAACTTAATTTATATAGTGCGAACAATATCTATTGTATATTATAAACGCCATTATGGGCACGTCAATTATCGTGGGTCTTAAAGTGTGATTTATCACACATTTTCATGCAATTAAAGACAAGATATTGAAAATTTTAAACCAATTATTTATTTATTTTTTAGTATTATAGTAATATTTACATAAAAGCCTAACACAATACAAAATATCTCAGTAAACAAACAAACAAACAACATCATAGAAATATATACGTATAAAAGTACAACCTGTAAAATATTATTTTTATTACCTATGTCAAACTATATACACAAATAGTTAAAGCTGAAAAAAACAATGCTTTTAATCGGAATAAAATCGATATATATATATACACAGAAGAAAATAAAACCTGTAAAAGAAAGAATTAACAATGTATTTTATAATCTAAATATATACTAAAAAAACATAATAAAGCCACGTACGTAAAATGTTGACGATTAAAACACTTTATATATATGAGCTATGTCTACATGTACTTGGCTTCAATTACTATATAACATAAGGTCGACGAAACCACTTTTGCATCTCTTCTTAAATTAAGTTCGCCGAACCGGTAGTTTGACGAAACCACCATAATTCATAATTTATAGTTTGCTTGCCTCATATTCATGCCATTAATGATGATAAGATGCATGTTTTCTATTATCATTAAGCATAAGTAATGTTCTTCATACGTGATATAAATGAAGATTTACATGTGTAAAAAAATTGTGAAAAAAGGTGGGGAAAAAAATGATACTTTGCGAATGTGGCTTGAATTCAGACCAACAAAAAAAAAAACACACTGCAAAATGTTGAGCATCCATCTCATTTTCCATCAAATTATTCAATAATTTCAATGGATGGATATTTTTAAAGAGTGTTCTATCTTGTTTAAAAAATGCCTCATTTGCAAATTAAGAAGGGAGAGGGTGTACTGTTATTTCTGGGATAGCACATTTACAATACAAATATGTGTGAAGTGGATTCTGCATTAATTTTTTTTTGTCAACTTGCTGTCAAATTCAGCACAGGTCAGTTTTAAGGTAATAACTAGTAATTTGGTAGGTTGAAATTGTGAATAAAAATGATTTTAAATTGTCTATAGGTTATAAAAGAGTCCACACTAAAAAGGAAAATCCATTTATATTTTTACAGATAATGTCATTTAGTTTTAACAAATTGTTTGCATTATTTGATGTACATTTGTATGTATTTTTTCAAATGATTTTAGGCCTTTTGGAAGAGGACCCCCACCAAGGTTCAGAGGGCCTCCTGGTATGAGAGGCCCACCGCCACCAGGTATGAGGGGTCCTATGAGAGGTCCGCCAGGTCCAAGAGGCCCTCCACCACCACACTTCGGTGGCAGGCCCCCATTTGATCCAAACTATGGTCCTCCACCTGGTCATCATGGACCACCTATGGGACCTCCAATGGGTCCACCTCCACCAGGGATGGGACCACCACCACCAGGAATGGGGCCTCCAGGAATGGGACCTCCTCCAGGAATGGTATATATGTTTTATTTTATTTCAAATATATGAGTTTGCCAGTAATGGCTCTCCGGTTTGTCTCTTAATAGATGGATTCTGGAATGACTTCAAGAACTGAATAAGTGGCCTGGCTAACAGTGGATAGCAAAAGAAAGTTAAATAAGAAATTTGACCATTCTTATTACATAAATGCTGTTCCTTTACAGTTTCGAATATTATCATTTTGTTGAGATAGTTCAAATGAATCCTAAAAAAATTTGCATGTGCAAAATTTATGGTGTAGTTAATATTAACAGAGCATTAAACAACACTGTAAAAGAATGCTTTTTGTTTTGTACAGAGACCTCCTGGGCCAGGACCAGCAATGCCTCCATCTGTCCCCCCTCCAAACTTCAGTGTACCTCCACCAGGGTTTATGCCACCATCAATGGGAGGACCAGGCCAGAACCAGGCTGATCCAGGACTTCAAGAGCTGTGGGTAGAAACTAAAACTGCAGAGGGCAAGGTAGGTCTTGAAGATTGTATGAACATATTAAGATTTCTTGAAGTATTCTTGAATTATTGCAGATTTTGTAGTGGTAACAGTTTATTTGACATTTAAGGCATAAAAAAGTATTATCATTAGTTTTACTCATATTATTGTGTCATGTATACCTCTATTCACAATGACATTGCAGTTACATTGATTCTTCAAATGATATTTTATTCAATTTTTAACTATTCAGAGACAGTATTCAGCTCTTTTAAATTTTTTTAACTCTTTCAGGTTTACTTCTACAACGCTAAATCAAGAGAATCAGCTTGGACAAAACCAGAAAATGTTAAGATAATCACTCAAGCTGAGGTTGAGCAGATGGCAGCACAAAGTCAGCAATCTGTAACTACAGCAACAGGACCAACAACTGCAGCACAAGCTGCCCAGGCACAAGGTCAGTCTTACAGATTTGTATGTTGAGTTGTATTCGTTTTTTAAAATCTTTGCCGTTTAATACCTACAGTGCTGTATATAAATATCCTTATTTTTATGCTCCCACTTACCAAGCATTGGCAATACGCTGCTACCGTGTTATGATTTTTGTGTTTCATTACTGTAAGTGCAATTACAAATTCATGGCTAGTGCATGTTTTATAATTAGTTATCTTAACTTAATTCATGTATCTCAAGTGTTTTCAATTATTTCAGCACAAGCAACTTCTCAGCCAGAAGTACAGCAACAACCACCAATGGGAGGTATGCCTCAACAAGGAGCCCCTGGGCAGGGTCCACCCCCATTCATGCCACAGGGTAACTATCCTGGAATGCCAGGGGGTTTCACACCAAGTATGGTTCCACCAGGTATGGCTGGTTTCCCTGGTCCAATGCCAGGTGCTCAAGCCCAACAGGCTGCACCGCAAATGCCAGCGCAAACTGGCCCAGATACATCAGTAGTGGCACATAAATTGCCCTCTAGTCAGGTATGTTTGTAAGCGTTTTCAATTTAAATGTCATATATGAATAACTTATGTTTATTTCTGTAAGGCAGTTAAAAGGGCATAGATTTTTTTCTAAGACTTCAAAATTTAATTTAGAAACATAAGCACTATGTTAATACTTTCATAAGTGATCATGCGACCATTAAGCCACAGTGGCAGATAAAATTGCTGGATTCTGTAAAATTTACTACTAGTTGCTTTTGCCAAAAGAGAATTGTTGGCTGATATCTACTAGAATCTGCTGCTTTACATAGAACATTCATAAGTAAAGAATGTAATGAAGAGAAATCATTATAATATGTTTTTAACAGCTTCCACCAAAGCCTGCTGAAGTTGCTGAATGGACTGAACATAAGAACACAGATGGTAGGTCATACTACTATAATTCCAAGACAATGGAATCTACATGGGACAAACCTCAGGAGTTGGTAGACTGGGAAGCCAAAATATCTGCCCTGCAAACACCTGCAGTACAGGAGCCAGAGCCTAGTAAAGTTAATGGTCAGGCTGCCATGGAAACTGGTGGTGATGACCATTCTAGTTCTGGTAGTGACGAAGAGGAAGAAAAACAGGTAGGACTGGTAAAGAGTAAAAAATGAATTTAACTCCCATTTAGAATTCAACAGGAAAGTGTCTTAAAGGCATATGCAGTAGCTTCATATAGAGATCTAGTCTATGAAATTTTGTATTGTGACAGTATAAATTATAAAAAATAAGAAGTCAACTGCAAATTCTTAAAATTCCCTTTAAAATTATTGTATTGTGACATTGTCAGATGAAAAACATGAAACAGGAAGTGTAAAGTTTGTTAAGACTTGTTAATGTTAACTGGCCTTAAAATGATCAATTGCACTAGATCGGCGTCAGTGTCTGCATCAAAGAAGTTTAACTGCGTGCAAGTAAACGTATTTTCAAAACTACTGAAGGGAATGGGTTGAAACTTCACACACTTGACAGCATAGAAGGTCACATTCCAAGACCCTTGAAATCCCACAGAATTGACAGAATTATGGCCCCTTTTGCTGTACAAAAGGCTGCTTTGGTGTGATTTTACTGTATAGCAAACACATCTATAAACTCACCACAGATTTTGTAATTATTTAGGCAAGAACTCCTTCATTTGATAAGAAGAAGCTATTTCATTGTTTAAAGGTATTGTAAATATTTGTGATTTATAGGAAGAAGAGAAAGATGAGAAGACTGAGCAGGAAAAACAGCAGGAGAAATCTCGTCCTGTATCTAGTACACCTGTGTCAGGTACTCCATGGTGTGTCGTATGGACTGGTGACGGCCGTGTCTTCTTTTATAACCCCAGTACAAGAACATCACTCTGGGAGAAGCCAGAGGAGCTTCTTGGTCGGGCCGATGTTGATAAACTAACTGTTGGTCCTCCTGGTGAAAAAAGTAAGATGTGTTCATTTTGTTGTAATGAAATAGCTTATAATATTTAATTGTTCATCAGTGTCAAGTGATAGTTAAAGGGAATAATTTACACATACTCTTAAACTTTGTTGGAACATATATCTGTCACACAGAGAAAGGGGGTGGGTGGGGTGACAGAGTCAATAAAAAAATAAAAATCTGCTCTTATCAGTCCATTATGCTGTTTATCTGTAGACTGAAAAAAAACCCCCAAAAACAGTGAAATGTTGGGGGCATCCTTAACCTTTGGCCACATTTCTAGTTTTTGTTTATATTAGGTACTTAAAAATAAAAAGATCTGGTGTTAAGAAAATTCAACTTTTACTCACTTCCCTAATTTTATTACTGAAAGCATTCATTGTGGTTATAGCCATGTAAAAATTTGATCGTTGAGAGTTGAATTTTTGGATTGTTAAGTTGATAACTATACTGGGAAGTGTATATAAGCTGTCAACAATATACATTTGATTTGTAGCTGCAGCCCCTAAAGAGGAAGAGGCTGAGGAACCTGTTGCTAAAAAGAAGAAGTAAGTATATGTGATTCCTACACAGATAAATAAACATGTAGATATTGCTTCTTATAAAGAAATTTCTGATGTGAAAATAATCAGCAATTGTACCATTGAATGAGATTGTTGTAAATTTTTGTTGAGGATATTGGGGGAAAATTTAATAACTGGAAGAATATTTGGAGAATATAATAAACATGATAATATACCTGTTTTCAGGGATTTACCAGAAGCAAGATCCTGCATCAATCTACCCCTAAAAATCCTAAATGGATACACAATTCTCAGGCTCTAGAATCAAAATGGATGCATAAAAATATAATGCCAGTGTCATAAATCTTCGTTAACATAGTAAAACATTCAAAACCCTTTTAGTACAACTGTATTTCTAAGATATGATAAATTAACAGTTTGGTTTAGTAAGGAGTTTGAGTGCTGAATTTGTTGTTGGACCTCGTACATAATATATTGGACCCCTGAAAATTGATAATGATGTTAATCCAGACCCTGTGTATTAATACTTTCCTCTCTTAGTTGTATATGCTTGAATAGTTATTCTGGTTTTGGGGGAATCTTGTACATATTTTTGAGAAATTTTAAACATTTTGTCAATTTAAGAAATGCCTATATTCCTCCTCTATTACACATGTCAATGATGGTCATGTTAATTTCAGGCCTAATGAAGAGAAGAGTGAGGAAGAAAAGAAGCCTATAGACAATAGTAAAGAGGCTGCAATCGAGGCCGAGGTACAGGCCGCTAGACAGAGGGCTGTTGTCCCACTTGACATACGTATGAAACAGTTCAGAGATATGTTGGCAGAGAAGGATGTAAGTTTTTACTTCTGTATCGCTCTAAGTTGTGCTAGGATAGATCTGATATATGCAATATAGACGGTTTGGTAGCAAACATGAGTATGTACTGTGGATTTTATATAAAAAGCCCTACCAATGCTTGTTTAAATTTGGTTTTTATGTGTAACCGTTAAAGTGTTTTGCAGGTTTCTAATGCAGGAAAGTTAAAATGACAAAAAGTGTACATACTGAATAGTAGCAGAACGATTCATCTTGAAATTTGATGTAAGAAAATACTAATAATTAAAGAAATTGGGGAAAAAATGTGCACATACTCAAGCCATGATGTTCATACTACATCATCAGTATAAGTTTAAAATAATATATTGTTTGTTTGTTTGTTTGTTTCATTTTACGCCTTTTCCCAACAGTATTTCAGTCATATAGGCGGGTAGTTTCCTAACCATCGTTCCTGGAGACTTACACCAGTACTAGACTACCTTCCTCCGCGCTAAACTACCAAAGCATATCCCGGGGATCGAACCCACGTGAGAGAGGTATCTGGATTAGAAGTCACCGACTCTAACCCCTCAACCACGGAGGCGGTATAAAATAATATATTGAAACAATGTTGTCAATAAATCTGAGCCAATAAGTGTTAAAGTAACCATTCCATTAACTAAGGTGATGATAATTATTATTTTTAAAGTTTTAAATGATTTTGTTCCAGGTCTCTGCATTCTCCACTTGGGAGAAAGAGTTACACAAGATTGTGTTTGACCCACGCTATCTTTTACTGACATCGAAGGAAAGGAAACAGGTAAGATACAGTATTTATTTGGTCAAAGGTCTTTCAGGTATGAATATTAACTTTTGCCTTACTGTATTCATTTAAATAGACTTATCTTGGACTTTGTGAAACTTAATTATCAGAATACTTTTTTAATACTAAGCAGTCCATATTTTAGCAGCCAACAATATAATTGGTCAGATTGCAACTTTAATGCGGCTAGCAAAAAGATGGCTAAATGAAGATAATATGATATATATTATCACACATTTTGTGATTATCAAGAAGGTAACTGATTCTCATGAAATATTCATTTTCATTGAAAATCTCTTTGACGTAAAATTTACAAATTGATATTTTGTGATGTAGGTATTTGAGCAGTATGTGAAGGAGAGAGCGGAGGAAGAGAGGAGGGAGAAACATCGCAGACTGAGGGAGAAGAAGGATGCTTTCAGACAGCTGCTGGACGAGGCTAAACTACACGGAAAGTAAGTCGCATCATCTTTCTTAAGTGTTCCGTTTATAGTGATTAAGGCTAGTTTTTGATGGTTTTTAGCTCGACTTTTCTATGAAAAGGGGAGCTATCCTACTCGCCCCGGCGTCGGCGTTGGCGTCACACCTTGGTTAAGTTTTTCGTACCACCCCACTTTATTTCAGAAGTATTACAAGTATGGCTTTGAAACTTACCATACTTGTTCACCATCATAACCTCCATCTACAGACAAGAGTACATAACTCTGTCAAGGTTTTTGACAGAATTATGGCCCTTTTTTGACTTAGAAAATACATTGAATATGGGTAAAATCCACTTATTGCCTTAACCCTTTGAGATATTGCTTTGAAACTTTTAATGCTATTTCACATCATTACCCCCATCTGTACGCAAGAGAAGGTAACTCTGTCAAGGATTTGTTTTAAAAATTAAGGCCTTTTATCGACTTAGAATCTTGGTTAAGTTTTTAGTACCAGTCCACTTTTTGACTGAACTGTTTGAGATATTAATTTGAAAGTTGGAATACTTGTTTACAATCATGATTCCCAAACATGTCCAGGAGAAGGTAATTCTGTCAAAGATTTTATTTGAATTATGGCCCTTAACTGTCAATGTTTTGTATTATAGGCAAGCACTAAAAAACTTAAAAAATCTAAAAAAATTCATTCCTATCCACTTGTTCACTTTACCATAAATTATGTCATATAAACATTGCTGTAATATTCAAGGGTATCAAACAACGAGATGCCCCAATTGGTAAAAATATACTCAATGTCACGATTTCATGAACATTTAGCATGACATTAAATAATGAATTGAACTTCCTTCATGTAATTCAAATATCAGTTTACAACGCATTATCTACATAGTGGACCCACGAAAAGTAACCAGTCACCCACAGCCTGTGTGAAAGAGATCCACTTGTGACCAACTGACAACATCTAAAAAAGCTTGATAAAATTTATCTATTACTTGTATTATAAGGTAACTATAATACTTTCACATACAAAGTCAAATCTATATATTATGCTGATTGTACAAAAATATACTGCTTCCTTGGCATAGATTTCTTGAAAAATTATGTTATTATGTCATTTACCAAGGTGTTCTGAGTGACGTAAAAATACCTTATTCTCTCAAAGTGGGTTTAATACTATTAAATTTATTTAAGGCTCAACTCAGTTTTTTTTTCTTTCTTACCAGCCCTCTTTTGACTTAAACATTTCAAACTTTGCTGCAGTGTTCAAGGGTATCACACAATTCAGTAAAATAATTCTTCACTAAATATCTTAATGCTCATGGCCATTGTTCACTTTAAAAATACAGAGATTCTTGTATTGCCTTTTACTGCAAAAACTTTTTTTATTGGCAAGCAATAAAAAAGTCGAGCGCGCTGTCTTACGGACAGCTCTTGTTTAATTGAGCTTATGCAACTAAGGCTATATATGGATTTATTTTTAGCTCACCTGTCACAAAGTGACAGGGTGAGCTTTTGTGATCGCTTTTCGTCCGGCGTCCGTCCGTCCGTCCGTCCGTCGTCCGTCCGTCCGTAAACTTTTGCTTTAAATGACATCTCCTCATAAACCACTGAGCCAATTTCATCCAAACTTCACAGGAATGTTCCTTTGGTGGTCACCTTTAAAAATTGTTCAAAGAATTTAATTCCATGCAGAACTCTGGTTGCCATGGCAACCGAAAGAAAAATCTTTAGATATCTTCTTTTAAACAACCCTAAGAGCTAGAGCTTAGATATTTGGCATGAAACATCTTCTAATGAGTGTCTACCAAGTTTGTTCAAATAAAAGCCCTGGGGTCAAAATTGGCCCCGCCCCGGGGGTCATTGATTTTCCCTATATGCATATAGTAAAAACTTAAAAAACTTCGTTTAAAGAACCGTAAGCGCTAGAGCTAAGATATTTGGCATGAAACATCTTCTAGTGAGTGTCTACCAAGTTTGTTCAAATTAAAGCCCTGGGGTCAAAATTGGCCCCGCCCCGGGGGGTCATTGATTTTCCCTATATGCATATAGTAAAAACTTAAAAATTCTTCTTTTAAAGAACTGTAAGAGCTAGAGCTTAGATATTTGGCATGAAACATCTTCTAGTGAATGTATACCAAGTTTGTTCAAATAAAAGCCCTGGGGTCAAAATTGGCCCCGCCCCAGGGGGTCATTGATTTTCCCTATATGCATAAAGTAAAAACTTAAAAAATCTTCTTTTAAAGAACCCAAAGAGCTAGAGCTAAGATATTTGGCATGAAACATCTTCTAGTGAATGTCTACCAAGTTTGTTCAAATAAAAGCCCTGGGGTCAAAATTGGCCCCGCCCCGGGGGGGTCATTGAATTTCCCTATATGCATATAGTAAAAACTTAAAAAATCTTCTTTTAAAGAACCGTAAGAGCTAGAGCTTAGATATTTGGCATGAAACATCTTCTAGTGAGTGTCTACCAAGTTTGTTCAAATAAAAGTCCTTGGGTCAAAATTGGCCCCGCCCCGGGGGGTCATTGATTTTCCCTATATGCATATAGTAAAAACTTAAAAAATCTTCTTTTAAAGAACTGTAAGAGCTAGAGCTTAGATATTTGGCATGAAACATCTTCTAGTGAATGTCTACCTAGTTTGTTCAAATAAAAGCCCTGGGGTCAAAATTGGCCCCGCCCCAGGGGGTCATTGATTTTCCCTATATGCATAAAGTAAAAACTTAAAAAATCTTCTTTTAAAGAACCCAAAGAGCTAGAGCTAAGATATTTGGCATGAAACATCTTCTAGTGAATGTCTTCCAAGTTTGTTCAAATAAAAGCCCTGGGGTCAAAATTGGCCCCGCCCCGGGGGGGTCATTGATTTTCCCTATATGCATATAGTCAAAACTTAAAAATCTTCTTTTAAACAACCGTAAGAGCTAGAGCTTAGATATTTGGCATGAAACATCTTCTAGTGAATGTCTACCAAGTTTGTTCAAATAAAAGCCCTGGGGTCAAAATTGGCCCTGCCCCAGGGGGTCATTGATATTCCCTATATGCATATAGTAAAAACTTAAAAAAAACCTTCTTTTAAAGAACCCAAAGAGCTAGAGCTAAGATATTTAGCATGAGACATGTTCTAATGGGTGTCTACCAAGTATGTTCAAATAAAAGCCCTGGGGTCAAAACTGGCCCCGCCCGGTGGTCATTGATTTTCCTTATATGTGTATAGCAAAAACTTAAAAATCTTCTTTGAAAAAACCCAAATAGCTAGAGTTTAGATATTAAGCATGAAACATCTTTAAGTAAATATCTACAAAGATTGTTCAAATAAAAGCCTGGGGGTCAAAACTGGCCCTGCCCGAGGGGTGTCATTGTTTTTAACTATATGTGTATAGTTAAAACTTAAAAAATCTTCTTTTAAAAAACCCAATGAGCTAGAACTTAGATGTTTTGCATGAAACATCTTCTTATGGGTGTCTACCATGTCTGTCTAAATAAACAAATAAAAGCCCTTGGGTAAAGATTGGCCCCGGGTGGGGGGGTGGGGGCTATATACAGGTGAGCGACCTCAGGGCCATCATGGCCCTCTTGTTGTTATTCCAGATAGCTTTGTGCATTTATTGGTGTTGCTGACATTCTTTCTTTTGATTATCCTCACTGATAAATGTTGAGAGATATGTAATGTTGAATGTGTTGTTTTATTCAGGTCATCATTCAGTGATTTTGCGAGCAAGTACGGTAAAGAGGAGCGTTTCAAGGCCATTGAGAAGATGAGAGAGCGCGAGGCGATCTTCAGCGACTTTGTGTCCGATCTGAGGAGGAAGGAAAAGGAGGAGAAATCTCACCAGAAAGAAAAGGTATGTATCATATATGGGAACAGGTTGGTTTTTATATCTTTTCATGACACACAGACCATGCTTTATGTGACTGGAAGATGAGAGCAGAACTTGTAAAAAAATGGGACCTGTTCCGGAAAAATTGCTACAGTTTATCGAGTAAAAATGCTACAAGATATCTTTTCTCTTTTTTTGCCATTTTACATCAACTATCACAGAAGGCATGTGAAGTGCTATTTTTTACAAACAATTTCTCAGTGTAATGCATAATGTTTTTTATTTCAGATATGTATGTTTATATATTTATGCTTGCATCGATTCTGTAATTCTCTGTTCTTTTCAGGCTATGTAATTTTGTTATTATTATTTTGACTATGTACATTACTGATGTTTCTGTTAAATTTGTTTCATTGTAAAATAGTAAAACATTTTACCGGAGACATGCTTTTTATTTAATAATTTAGTTTTCTATAGCCTTACACTGTTTGTAGAAGAAGTAAAAAAATCAGTATTGAATGCATTAGATTTTAATGTATTTTGTTTTAAAGACATTTATTATATTTCACATTGCCATGTTTATTCAGACTTTAAGTAAATGTGATTGTAAACTTTTTATATTTAATAATATACATGTATACTATATATAGAATATAAGTTAACTTAACAATTTTAAACTTAATGCGTATATAAGTAGGCCATGATAACATTGCATAAATTCTGTTTGTAATTGTAATAAATGTAATATGTTGTGATAAAAAAAAGTCATACTTATTTCAGCTTTTAATGACCTATAATTTTCAGGGATTGCATGCCTGTTAAATATACTTGGCTTTTAGACATCTATCTTGAATAGTTCCTATGTTCGAGTAAATTTTTGTAGTCCCCTAGTCTGGTAAAAAAAATAAGGAATCAGGCTTCTGTTAACCTACAAGTACGGAAAGCCTTAACTGTTAGCTTAATGGACTAAAACTAAACCACGGAAAGCCTTGTGGACAAAAACTATGGAAAGCCTTAACTGCAAAGTTAATGTTTAAAGAACTGAGGTTATATTTAGCTATATTGCAAGGCTGATTAACGTCGGTGTTTGATTTGATATAAGGTACTGAATCATATGCCATTTATCTGCCTGTGAAGAAATGATTCATTGTGTCCACTTTGAATAATTTGGTAAAAAGACGAAACAGAATGAAGCCCCCTGGTGTCCATATTTAAGCTGAAGAAAATAAAATGTTTTAAAAGCCATAGTATATTAATGGGCATCATGTAAACAAGTTTGTTGAATATCCAAAGCCCACATGTTGCATTTAATAGTGTTGTCTTTTGAAACATTGATAAAGCAGGAAAATGTGTTAATAATTTTTGTACCATTTACATTTGTATCTAAATAATCATGACATTTTATGATATTATGCATAATTGTAGTTTCAATTTCCTAGCCATAGTAAAGATAAATTGATTTTAATTACTAATTTAAATAGATTTTGATGTGTATATGTATATATCACTTTGCATTTATAATCGAGAAACCATTTCTTTCCAAATACATCAACATAAATTATTTTCTTGAAGCATTTTCACAAACGTATAAATGAACATATTTTTACGAATTTTCGCTTAAATGGATTATCTAGTTTTAATAATACACATGTTTATTTTCTGTACCGTGTTTTAACCACACTGCTTTATCACTTTTGAAAAGATGAAAAGGTGCAGGTCAGTTAGCTACCGAGGTTGAAATGCAGTCAGTCTTCCATCAGTCAATAGACTGGGCAAAAACCATCTCTCAGTATAAAGCGTTGTAGAGCAGAGGCGAAACCTTCCTGGTTTGTGAACACCGGTACTGATTATAACGTTTGAACATTTTCAACTATAATATATACATTACTTTTTTGCTTTTGACGAAGTAGACATAGATCGCATAGAATAATTATTTTTCTTCACTGTATTCCATTGATATGCATTGCGTGGATCAAACTAAAGAAAAATTCAAATGTCATTCTGTTTCTTGTATATTGTGCTCATTGAAATTGCCTTTGCATTGCATTTTATTAAAAGAAAAAGTAAAATAGTACTTATTTGGTTAGTCTAAAGCTTCTGTATTTAAACTTCGAATAAAATTTCGAATGTTAATAAATTTATCATGTGTAAAATTTCTAATTAAGTGTTCCACTCTATCTCTGTGAGTTTGAATCATATTTGGGATGTTGAAATAGCTTGAATATAAAAGATTGATGGTTCTACTTGTGTGCTTCAAACACTAATGTCTGCCTCCACCAGTTTAGCTGAAGAAAAAATTGCCATATGACTTAATAGGTGATGCTCTGTGTTGAAATACTCTCACTACCTACCCAACAAAGTGTTGTTCTTAAAAGGTTAGAAGTAGTTGATTATCTACAGCTAGATTTAAGCCTTAAATTTATTATGTATCAACTCTTCTTTATTATAGTAACATTCAGATATTTCATGAAACAAAATGATGATGTAATTTTAATCAAGTCGAAGAAGTTTTTGAAAAATGAAATTTGTAATAAATTAGTGCAGTAAACATTGTAAAATCAATTGCTATAATTCATGCAGGGTGAGTATTGTCATAATTTTTAAATGCGAACTTTGCTCTGATTTTCTTAAACATATGAAATATGGGATTGTTTATCTATGGAGAACCATGCAATAAATTTTCAGATTTGGGACCTCTCAGAAATTTTAGCATCCGATTGGCTGGTACAAAATACTTTGTTAAAAATTGACCAATGGTAGATGGTAAATATTTTGATAGGTCTAAAATCTATGTGAAATATTCCCTTGACCGAGGTTGTCCGATTTTGATCCACCAATGTCAATTGTGCCTGCTCATTATGAATAATGTGTTTAAAATAATGAAATATAAAGAGAACTAAATTAATTTTATTGATTTAAGGATAAAGTAAGAACACTTAAACATATTGATATGACTGTTTTATACCTTTTGAGTGAAAGAATGATTGATTGGTTTTAAAATAATTATTGACATGTGCACCAATACAGTATCATAGAGAAATGAGTAAACTATTATGACTGGTTTATTTTCAACTTATTTAAATGCTTGGAATTCAGATATTCTAGGAAAGAGTTCCCTCATTATCATAGTAGGTGAGACTACTGGGTCTATAAAGTTATATCCTAGGGGCAGTAAATGTTTCTCCAGTGACCATTTGGGTTTTAGGCATCATGTTGAATTTTATCTTTCAGTGCCATTTCAATTTCTGCGGAGAAATTTAAGTAACTTTGCTGAGATGCCTCGGTATGTTACCCATATTGTGGGGAGAAGTCTTCTTGCTACAGGATAGTTTTGTTGTTGAACAATTATTAGACTGAAAGAAGAAAAAAATATGGTTAAGTGTGAACATGTACAGAACATCTCAATTTGGCAAAAGGAAAATAGGAAGTGTTCCTTGATTGCATAGAAAAAGCAGATTTTACGTTTTAAATTTTTACTAGGACATGGTTTAATTTACAAGGTTATGTACAAGAGTATCTCTTAATTCCAAGGGCTTATATAGGTTGAAAATTTACCCAGTCATTTAATATAAAAACGACTTGTAAGCTAACTTTAAAGAAAAGAAAAAAAGAAAGAAAGAAAAGTGAAAAAAGTTTTGCTATTTTTGGAGGTGTCTTCATTGAAAATGAATGTCTTCATTGAAAATGAAATACCGGGAAGTACATTTTGGCTCAGTTGTTTAAGTTTTTGGAATGGGTGTTTAAGTGATATTTTGGATTTTTATTTGCTGGAACCTATGATGCTGTATGAACTCAACAATTTATCCTTGCCTATATTATGATGCATTGTTTTATTTTTAACATTAAATTTCCAGGTATTTAAAAAGGAAAATACAACACAAAATTGAAATATGAGAAAATTTGCATGCAAAATGAACTTTATTGTTACAAGAGTATTTAAAAATCTGTTGCTTTTTGTCAAACTTCTTTAATGATTCCATTGTTTCTATCAAATAAAGCTTTATTATCATAATTGTTAGATTACATGATGGATTTCTAACTTTTTGTTATCATTCATAATGGTTCAGTAAGGCAGACTATTTTTTTAAAGTTGTATGTTTTCAACCTCTTTCAATTGATGTTACATTTTCAACTACATTATTTCTTTTTTCAGACATGAATACTTTATATTGTAATATTCAGAAGCAGCTTCTTGGCTCTAATTTTGATTAACAAAAAGTGTGTATCAGGTTATAAACCGATTTGGTTATAGACCGATAACTATCTGGTTATAGACCGATACCTATTTATCTGGTTATACACTGATACCTATGTGGTTATGGACCAATTTGGTTATAGACCGATAATTGTATCAGTTTATAGACCGATACCTATCTGGTTATAGACCGATAAATGTATCTGGTTGGTTATAGACCAATACCTATCTGGTTATAGACTGATACCTTTATATCTGGTTATGGACCAATAGATTTATCTGGTTATAGACCGATACCTATTTATCTGGTTATAGACCGATTTGGTTATAGACCGATAACTGTATCTGGTTAAAGATCAATAATTTGGGGATAATTCGGGGATTCTAACTAGTGATTCTTTTTGGAACATGCAAAAATAATTTGTCAATATCAGTTATGAACAGTAACTATTGGAGCATGCGTAGTTAATGTCAGTAATTGAGTTCTATGGTTATGAATTTTGGGTCTGTTGTCTGATTCAACACTAATTCATTAATTAGTTGAATTTGAAAGTGAATTATCAAAATACAAACATCACAGGTGTTTAGTAGGTGATTAATTGTACATTATTTTTCAGGAATTAACTTTACCTTTCGTTTCAGGGGCCTCAACATCTGTGATGTGGGCCAGGAAGCTGCGAAACACGTTCTCATACATTGTCTTTATTATCATTGCTTACTGTTAACGGATGTTTAAATGTATTAAGGGCATTTACTTGTATATTTCACATTTTTATCAGATCAGATTTGTTCTGCATACAAACTGTCATGGTGCCAAATATAAACATGATTATCTGTAGCTTTCGATAATTTTGTGTGCAAATATTGTGAAATATCCAAGTTATCTATGTAAATAATTTTCAGTTTTTCAACGTTTTTTCAATATGAGATATTACATGATTCTTTTCCTGTTTACAGTGAAAGTCGACTTTATAAGCTAACTGAAAGTACCTTACATAGAATCGGGCACTTCGCTGTACGACATTAAACGATTAATTAAATTAGATCCGATCTCGTTTAAAGCTAGTTCGCAGTGGCTCCAGGCGAGAAGACTGGTTTAAAGACTATGTGAAAAATCTCGATGATGTAAGTATCAGTCCCTGTTTTGTTAAATATTTAATGATAAGGATTGATATTTACCTTGGAGTTATTCCTTGGATTTCGATAGAATATGTTATTATTATGAAATCAAATACAATGTTTACGTCTGTATTAGAAAACACATTTTAAATTGAATTATTTATCTTTGCAATTAAATATATTCAAAACTTACTATTGTGATATTTTAGAAATAAAAGAATTTGGAGAAAAACATTAATTTACCCACCTTAATGCATGATTCAAAGTAATTCTTGGTAAATGTAGGAAATGTTCATTGTTAAACTTCATTTGTTTGTCTTGATTTTATTTCAATTTCAATACATATTTTTAGCCATATCTCTGCTGCGTATACTTCTAACTGGCTTTCCTATATTATTAACTTTTTATAACCAAATATCCCAGTGCAGTACAGGAAAAAAGGGTGTAATTTGTTGATAAATTATTACAGAAGGAGTCCGATGATGAGGATCGTAAAACAAGAGAGAAACAGGAACGTATCGAGGCTAGTATACGTAAACGCGAGGAGGAGGTACAACGAACACTGTCATCCTCTCTCAGAGAACGAGAAAAGGAAAGGGAACAACACAAGAAGGATGAGGCCATTCAACTCTTTAATGCTCTGTTGGTTGACTTGGTAAGTTGAAAATTCAGAAAATTTTGGTGGATAAAAGAACGATTCTGCTAGGATTCATCACTTCTGCCTTAAATGATTTCATTTTAGTCCTTCTACAAATGCTGAAAAGATGCCATATTGTCCCAGAAATGCCTTACTTTGAAACCCAAACAGAGATTAAGATGAAATTTAAGAGAACCTCGGAGTTTGGTCAAAACCACACTAGGCATTATTTTATGTTGACATGATTACACCAATATTGGTAATAAGTTCTGACTAAATAAAGGCATGCCACACCAATACTGGTAATAAGTTCTAACTAAATAAAGGCATGCCAGGCTTGTGCCATATTTAGTCTATGTCACCAGTATAGTCGCTAGCCAGCAGTCATTAGCAGGCTCAGTTCTTTTGACTGCTTGATTGATTTTTTGATATCAATGTCTTGCTTGTCACATTTGAAAGGTTTTTAACCAAAGCATGACCGGTCCATTATACAAATTTATGATAGTAAGAGTTTAAACACTATTAAGTTCATGATAGTAAGAGTTTAAACACTATTAAGTTCTTTTCTTATAGAAAACATATCTTTATTCTTATACTGTTGTATAATTCTATTGTATCTGTATGTAGGTACGTAACTCTGAGGCTACATGGAGGGATACAAGGAAACAATTACGCAAGGATCACAGGTGGGATCTGGCCGTTCTAGAACGCGAGGAGAAGGAAAAACTGTTTGAGGAACACATCAGTGCACTGTCGAAGAAGAACAGAGAGATGTTCCATAAACTACTTGATGAAACAACTGACGTAAGTCTTTCAACTCTTTGATATATAAATTAAAGTTAATACTAGAGTTTTAAGAAAATTTTATGATTTGATTTAATGTGGGCATTTACAGAAAATTTACCCAGATGGCAACAACTTATTACAATAGTTTCTTAGACTTGTGTTTTGAGATCAGTATTTTATTTATTGCAATTTATGTTCTTTGATTAATTCATTCGGCATAATTTGTTCATAAAGGATATTGGTTAGAATTCTTAACATTCTATCCACTGGGTAGAATATATGTAATATTTATGTATGTAATTTATGGGCTTAATTTGTTCTTAAAGGTTAATAGAATATTTAATATTCATTTCACTTTGTATGATATTTTATTATTTGAATAGGGGTTTAATTTGTGCATAAAGACCGTGTCAATATAAATCATTTTACATATAATTTACTTTATATAAATCATTAAAATATATAACTTACTATAGAACATCTGTGATGATTTGAGATGGAGTATAATTATGTATATAAAAAAAGTTATAATAATTTTGCAGATAACATTGTCATCTTCATGGAAAGACATCAAGAAAGTGATCAAAGAGGATCCCAGATATTCAAAATTCTCATCTAGTGACAGAGTAAGTAGGGCATTGTTTTGTTAAAGAACAAGTAAAATGTACAGCTTGACTTGGACTTGAACTTAGTATTGTCAGAATGCCATTCCACAGCTGTACTGACTGAGCCACTTGTGCATTTATCCCATGTATATCTCTGTGTTAAACAATCTTGTTTAACCCAAACCCTGCTGAATTTTTATAATAGACTTGCCCTGCTTTAAATCTGAAATGGTCAATTAGAAATTTAAGGAATTTCTGTCATGAAATACTGAAATTTAGTGGCTAACAGTTTGTTCATGTGGCAGGTTTATTAGGATATATTTGTAAAAATCACAATCAGTTATTTGTAAGTGATTTCATTTTGGAAATTTCTGTTATAAAATATTAAAATTAAATAATTAACAGTCTGCATAAATGGCACAGGTTTATTGGGAGTTATGTTGTAAAAGTCACAATCAGTAATCTGTTAGTGATTACATTTTCTGCGCCTATGTAAAAACATGAGTTGGGGAGCTTGTACAGTATGATGTCTCTTGAAATTATGTTGCATTATCCAATAAGCAATTTAATTAAATTATCTGTATTCACGTTTATGTTAATTCTAGATTTGAATGGGAAGAAATTTAATATTTGATTTTGTGTTTGCAGAGACGTGAGAAGGAATTTGATGATTATCTACGCGAGAAGTATGTAAATGCTAAAGCTGAATTCCGAGAGCTTCTAAAAGAAACGAAACTCATCACATACAACTCTAGGGCAAAGTTACACGAGTCAGATGGTCATATGAATGACATTATTAAAATATTAGAGGTAAGTTTTGACCATTGTGAACACACAGTCCATTATTTCAAAAAGAAAACCAAAAATTGTTATTTTGACTGGATAAGTTTCATCTTTTAAAAACAAACTGGATTTCTCATGAGTAGATGATATTTAGTAGAATTTCATAGCATTAATCAAATTGAGATAAAATGAATATTTCCAAGATCGAGACTACATAACTTTATCCATTGATATACAGACTTTATTGACCTACCCTGCTTTGAACGGCTGCATTCATGTTGCATAGACTAGACAGTTATGTAAGGGTGAACTTAACAGCTATGCAAAGTCAGAAACATTTCTTATGAGTATTCATATTATCATACTTTCTTTTAACTCGCTTAGATTGAATTTTTAAGTGTAAGTATTTATACATTTCAGAATGACAAGAGGTATCTTACCTTGGAGCCTGTGGCTGACGAACGTCGTAAGATTCTTGTCAGTTACATCGAGGACCTTGACAAGAAAGGAGTTCCCCCACCACCCACCGCCTCGGAACCTTCCCGGAGAAATGTGAAATGAGAACTGACTTAAAATAAATGCGAGATATATGACATTAATGTCTGTATTATTTATTTGGTGCGAAAGAGTTTGTGAAATCCATACTTGATTCAGTGTCAACATTTAAGGAAGCTGTGAAATAACTTTATATTATAAAAATGGGATTTTAGTTTTAGTAGTTGTTTTTTTTATATAAGTAAAAAGGCATTTGAGGATTTTGTACATTATGATTATATGTTTACGAGGAAATTGTTTTATCGTGGACTAACATGTAAGATTTGTTTCTATTTAGACCATACCATGTACTGTAGTTATCGCAAGAAATTTAGGTATCATAATTATTATCATTACACAGACTCTTCTCATATGATGAAAAGGAATTTGCTACTAAATTATAAATATGCAGGATATGTATTTGTGTCCATTTGTTGTAAATATCAAGTGTTAAATATGGACGTTAAGTTCTACTCTTGTTAGGCAGGAGATGTGGTTTCGTTTAGGCAAAAGAGGGGTGTATGGAGATTGGATGACTTACATATGTTGTACGATTATGTCTTCAGATTTTATGTTTTATTGCTTTGCCATTTATTTTATGATAAATGGGGTATTCAACTACAAATAAATGACCAAATATAAGCTTTCGTGATTTGTTCTTTTGAAACGTCTGTTTTAAAAAACGGGTCTTATTATAGTTTCACCCCTGGCAGGCAGTGTCCAATTTTGTGCCAAGCATATCTCCTACATTCATGGAGGAATTTTAATGAAACTTAATAAAAAATGTTCATCACTACGAAAAGCTGTGTCGCAGGTATGAACCAGGACAAAGGTTAAGGTCACACTTGGACGTCATTGGAAAAACACTTGTCCTGAGCAAAACATCTTCATGCATAAAGGGATTTCAATATTTCTTGGCACAAATGTTCATCATTGTAAGGCGGAGTGTCACATGCAAAATTTAGGTCCCTGTGGCAAAGGTCAAGATCACATAGGGGTCAAAGTTCAGATGAAAATGTGTATTCTAACCATTTAGTCATCGTTTATTGAGGGATTGAAACATAAATGGTCATTTTCATGACACAGGCGTGAAACATGTAATTTAGGTTAATACGAGGGTTGTCCAACAAAAAAACTTGCACTGCAGTTTTTGTTGTGAGAGTTATTGATAGAAAAACAAGAATTATACCAATATAACTTTGCACAAATGTTCACCATTGTGAGGCGGAGTGTTGTGTGCAAAATACAGGTTCCTGCGGTCAAGGTCACACAAGGGAAAAAGTAAAAATAAGAAATTGTGTATTCCAACCATTTAGTCCTCATTTATTGAGGGATTAAAACACAAATGGTCAGAATCATAACTACGGGTGTGAAATCTGTCATGCATGGAGGGATTTTAAGGAAACAACTATGAGAAGCAGTGTCCTGTTCATGAACCAGGTCTCTAGGTCAAAGTCAAACTTGGAGGTCATTGAAAAACGCTTGTCCGGAGCAAGTCTTCTACATGCATTGAGGGATTTTCAATATAGCTCAAATGTTCACCATTGTGTCACATGCAAAATTCAGGTCCCTGCAGCCGAGGTAAAGGTCACACATTGGGTCAAAGTTCAGATAAAAGTGTATTTGGACCATTCAGTTATCATTTTATGACTACGGGTGTAAAACGTGTAATTTAGGTTAATAGCAAGGTCACCAAAGATGACAAAATGTAGAGATTTTATCCAGAGCATATCCCCTACACTTACTGAAGGGTTTTAATGAAACTATAGAAATGTTCACCACTATGAGAAGCAGTGTCATGTGCATGAACCAGGTCAAGGTCACACAGGTGATTGAAAAATGCTCGTTTGGAGAAAAACTACATTCATTAGGGGATTTGCACAAAGGTTCACCATTGTGAGGCTAAGTATTGCGTGCATAATCCAGGTCCCTGCTACCAAAAGTTGAGGTCACATAGAGAGGTCAAAGTTAAGATAAAACAGAAGATGTGTACAGGGACCAATTGGTCATCATTTATACACAAATGATAACTGTCATGACTACAAGTGTGATGTGTAATTTGGATTAATATTTGCAAGGTCACTAGAGATAATTAAATATCCAGATATTGTTCGGATAATGCCCAATGCATATCTCCTACCGGTATATGCATATCTATAATGCCTACATCTATGTCAAAAGCTTTTGTGATGGGCATATTTTGTGACAATGTTGCCCTTGTTTGCCTATATAATCTGTATTGGAAATCTGGTCTCCTACATTTGTTGACCACTAAAGAATTTGAATTGTAAGAGAATAAATTTTGGTGAGTTGCATGTAGATAATAACAACATAACAATAATAAATACACATAACTTTATTCTTGTAAATAATGTATAAACAAATACAAGATAAATGAGCATAAATACACTGCTATAACATAACACATTTTGGAACAGAAATATTATTAAATACACAAAATTATTACATATGAATAACAAAATTAAGTTTGACAAATTTCTGAAGATTTTGTAGATCATGATTTATAAGGATTTTTGGAATATAGGCAAGTTTTGTATATGATTTTGTAGCTAATTATAAATTTGTAGATGAAAACAAAAGATATAAATACATGTAGTAGCAATATATCTAAGAGCAACATTCTAAAAATCAGTCCATCAGCTAGATTTTGAGTCTATGATTAAAAAAGATACCCAAATAAAATATTAAAGAACAAACAAAAAAGTAACTGAATTGGAAAACGGGGAAAAAAATCTATTGAATTACAGGCTGCACTGACTTATTACACAGTTTTGCCAGTGATAATGTACAAGTGAAAACAAACCAGATCAGGAGATGTAGTAATTTGATTGCATGAAACGAAAAAGACATTCCAGGACAAAATTGCTGTTGTTTTTTTCCATCTTACAGCCATAAACATCCTACTACTACTCAAACTTATACCGGTAGTTCAAAGACAAAAGTATTGTAAAAATCTTACAATTTGATATATTAAAACTCATTACAGAGATCCATTAATTTTTTCAATGCTACTGAATCATACTTAAATCACAAAACAAATCTATACAGTACATCTATAAAAAATTGTTTTTTAAATAAAACATCTGCATTCCCCCACCCCCTAAAAAACTGGGAGATTTTACTGGTTTGCTGTATTGCTGATGTCAATAATCATGATTAATGAAGGAATAAAAATTACAGACTAAGCAGCAAAATGTATGAATGCACAAGTTTGTATCTTATACCTGGGAATACAAAGGGTCACAAACAAAGGACTGTGTATCAAAGAAAACAAACTTATATTCTATTCATATTGTACTGACTTCAGTTACTGGTAAACATAATTATCAGAATGAAAAAAAACCCTCATAAGTATTGTACTTTTTTCATTATTTCAATCTTCATACAGGTAATAAGACAAGAGATAAGTTCTTTTTTTGAAAAACAAAAAAAGTAAAATTACACAAAAATGAACAAATAAAGTAAAATAAAATTATTTGTTTTTTCTTTTAAGAATAAAAATTGTCAAAGGTTTATAATATACATGTATTGCACTTCATCCCTGTTTTGTCAACATTGTCAATTCTTATATGGCAGAATGTATTTGTTAAAAAAAATGTAAAAACTAAATATTTATTTCAATTAAAAAAGAAACCAACTGTCATATAAATAAACTCTATTGATTCTTACTTATAAAATGTGAAAAAATGTTTTATTTTGTCATAAACTGCAAACATAAAAAATTTAAAATCCGTTGCATAAAACAAGCAAACTTGTAAGGAAAACATTACATTTGGTTTTTGTAAATAAATGATTACCATAATTATTATACAAATTCTGTTGCAAATTATATATTACAATATCTTCAACAATGACATTAAAAATGGTGTCTAATTTTGCATCAAATATTTTCCTACAGCTACAGTGTTTGAACAAAAGGCTAAAAACATACAGAGTTCACATGAGTATCATAATAAAAATTAGATTATATGTATAGCTGGAATAATCGGCAAAACTATACGTGATCTGATGAATACATCAATATAACTTGATATACTTCATCTATATCTATACTATTCTATTGCAGATTACATTTTACTACTATTTTGTAGAACAATAATACTTTACTAGAAAAAAACACCAGGTGATTATATCTTTTATGTCAAATTAATGTACAGATATGGTATGGCACTTAAAGCTACCTTACGGCAACTATGTATTTTAACTATTAAAAAAATATTTTTTAACATACACTGGTACATATTCTCACATATAATTCAAGTATCACATGGACAAATATGACCAGACAGAAAGCAAAATATAAATTGGTATGACTCAGTAGTAATTTTTTTGACCTTGACCTTTTCAAGAGGTCATTGTTACAGTGCCTTGACCATTGAGTCTGTTTTGGCTTGTGCTATCCATGCCTAGCACTTATAGCCTTTGGTTCCACTGATAAAGTATTACCTTTGAAAATTTTTCTATTTAGGATCATTATGTTTGAAAATATAATGATGAACTATTAACAAATTCATCCGTTTTATAAAGTTTTATCATTATATCATACAAAATTAATGATCAAATCAATTAAACTTAAGTGCACAAGGGTTAACATCAGCAACATTTGCCAATCAACTTCTTTTATCACAATAAATCCTTCATAGTTTGCTGGTCTCTTTCTAATTATCTAAAACATTTTCTTTGTTAAAGTTATGTATTGGACTTGTCTTTTATATTTTGGAGGAGTCCATTAGTGCTTCAAGGGATTCTGTATTAGAACATGAAACAATAGAAATGGTCAGATTCTACAGACACTCAGGCTCACCCGACTTTACTGGTGGCATCTCACGTTGAATTTTTAAGGTTATAAAACAACAAGAGCTGTCACAGGAGACAGCGAAGCTCGACTAATGAAATACTGGACGCAGTAAGGAGGACAAAACTATGAAAGAAAAATCAATTATGTATAATTATGTATTAAGTTACAGTAAAAAATAACATTTGTTAACATAAATTCCAAGATCAAGGGGAATAATTCTAGAAATAGTCATGCTAGAGTTATGGACCTTGCCACACAACATTTGTGTAATGATAAGAAATATATATTTGAAGTTTGAAGTAGATACCTTAAAAAATAAAGAAGTTATTATATTTCTTAAAGAAAATCCTAAGTTCAAAGAGAGATAAATCTGTAAATATTGCTTCAAGAGTTATGGACATTGTCACATAAAATGTAATTGATGATAAGGAATAAGTATTTGAAGTTTGAGGTAGATACCTTTAAAAATAAAAAAGTTAAAATAAAAAATAACATTTTTCTAGTAAATAAATCTAAGTTTATGGGGAGATAATTCTTGCAATATTGGTGCTAGAGTTATGAACCTTGTCACATAAGATGTGGATGATGATAACGTAAATATAATTGAAGTATGAAGTTGATCCCTTCAGAAATAAATAAGTTACAGTAAAAAATAATATTTTTTATGGAAAATTCTAAGTTCAAAGGGAGATAAATCTGAAAATATTGGTGCTAGAGTTATGAACCTTGTCACATAAGATGGGGATGACGATAAGGTACATATATTTGAAGTATGAGGTTGATCCCTTAAGAAATAAAGAAGAAACAGTAAGAAATATTATTTTTTGAGGAAAATTCTAAGTTCAAGGGGAGATAAATCTGAAAATATTGGTGCTAGAGTTATGAACCTTGTCACATAAGATGGGGATGATGATAAGGTACATATATTTGAAGTATGAGGTTGATCCCTTAAGAAATAAAGAAGTATCAGTAAAAAATAGTATTTTTTAAGGAAAATTCTAAGTTCAAGGGGAGATAAATCTGAAAATATTGGTGCTAGAGTTATGAACCTTCTCACATAAGATGTGGTTGATGATAAGGAACATATATTTGAAGTTTGAAGTTGATACCTTAAGAAATGACAAAGTTATAGTGAAAAATATTTTACTGCACCAAAACTTTAATCTAAAATCTGGACGCGGACGCGGACGCCGGGGCGAGTAGGACAGCTCTCCATATACTTCGTATAGTCGAGCTAAAAATAACAGGACCAATAAATATTGTACATGATTTTAGAACTTGAGATAAATAAAGAAGTTGTCCTGAGAATAGATAAAGGGGCTTATGACAGGAATAAATATATTTGTTTAAGATTTACAATAAAGACATATAAATATATATATACCTTACTCAGTATGACTTGCGAGAATATGTAATTGCCCAGGTATTACTAACGTTTAACTGAATTGTTTCAATAGAAAGGTAGTTAACATATGGTAAACAAATAAAATTGCGACAATATTCTTTACTCTAGACTAATCATTTTTGGTTCCAGAAGGTTAAAAAAATATTTTTGAAATTTGACAATCTGTGTCACTTCATACAACAATGAAAAATGAAAACAATATGAACACAAAACATATATGAACATAAGTAGGCAAGATAAAGTGTTTATATTATCCATATTTACTCGCCTATAAGACTTTTTTCACCCATTTTTTTGACAGCGTTAGTGGATAATAGAAAGTGGATAATAAAAATACATAAAATTATAATTGACAGTTCAAACAACTCTCAATGATTTCAATGTAAAATTCTCACTCTATTTAGTGGATCATAAAAATACATAAAATTTTACGCTGTCGATTATTTCAATGTAAAATTCGTACCCCCAACTTATAGTATGGTCAGACCTATAGGCGAGTAATTATGATACATGATTTACACAATATATCACAGCAGATATCTGGGTGTAGTATTATATCTCTCCAGTTTAGGTAACATTAAATACAATGTCATTCTTTCAAGCTTAATCGTACCTAATAAGTAATTGACATAAAATTAAGATTCTTATAAATATTGCCCAATTCAGTTTTAAGGCATATGTTTAAGCTTTCATATAAACATATAGGCAGGATAATAGAATTTATCTAAACTTTACATAATCTTAGAGTATTGTAACAGATACATTTTAAGCTAAAAAAATGGGGGTTACCAACTTCATCTTTTAGTTATCTGCCCTTGAATATGATTTTTTTTTCTTTTTTTCAAATTACTATTTTTAGCATTTGAAGTGACTAAAAATGTGACTAAAGTGATATTTTCCCAGTTTTGTAAGCACATTTCTCTGTTATAATTCATTTTCAAGTAAGGAAACTGAAAGACATCTAAGACTGGAATATTCTCTTCTGTTAACAGACGAAGAAAGTCTGTAATAAAAAGTATGTCAAAAATATTTAAGCTAAAAATTGCATATCTACTGACCTTTTAAATTTTTGTTAAGGCCTTAAAAAAAGAGCATAATATAAGATTTCTAAGAGTAAAATGGGACCTTTAAGGGCTAAATAAAACCAACTGTGGTACAATTCACAAGACATGTGTTGTCTGACTGTAATAAATATCTATATATCTAAAGAATTTTACACATTTAATCTAATACATGTACATGAATCTACTTTAAAAAGGATTTTTACAAAAAAGAAAAAAAGGACACATCCATAGCAAAATGTAACTTATGAAATGGGATTATTATTCTTTGACAAAAAATTATTGTTTGAACAAGACAATACTTTATTTAAACTAATTAAACTTCTGCCTGCAGGAAGTACCCACAATAGTCTAAGTAGTTTGGTTCCAGACCTAAAGTCGAGTTCCTCAGACGTCAAGTTCCGACGTTGAGTACCCAATGTTCTTGTCAGGAATCACCAAGCTGATTGACAGCCATGCTTTAGAATTTGTTATTTTAAAAGATAAATTAAAATTATTTTCAAATAAAATCCAAAAATTAAACAGATGGCATCTAGCAGACGAGAATTATCCCAGAATGCATAAGGGTTGACCAATCTTTATACTGATATACGGTAATAGTAACAGAGTATGTTATACAGGAAAGAGCATGATAAACACTAATCTGATTTCAAAGTGAAAAATCAACTTTTACATATAAAACGTAAATATGTATATATACTGGCATTCAAGAGATTAAGATAATATGGAAGTAGGGCTGTCAATGTCCGAGGCGTATTGAAATTATACAAATGCTCAATGTTGATATATCATTAAAGTGAATTGGTCTATAATGAAGGGTCTGTAATACAACAGATAATTATGTTGTAAATGTTTAGTATTAGACATTAAATCAAACCATGACAGAATTGTTTATGGATATTGTTTGCAACTGTGAGATACATGATCCTATATTACATTATATTTATATGGCAGATAATAAACTGTTCTGGAGCAAAATATTATTATTTATCATAAAAAAAAAAAAAAAAATCACTAAGAACTTTGTGAACCATTTTTTCAAGCATTATCTTATAAGAATGTCCAAGTGATATATTTCTATTTTTTTTTTATCAATATTTGAAATACCTAAAAATGTGCCTATTATAGTCCAATTCACTTTAATATTGATAATACATAGAGGATGCATGTTTTTTCTAGATTCATGTAATATGAAATATATCTCACTAGGAAGAGAGAACTTTTAAAAGCTTTCCACAGCTCAAATGAAAATATAAAAATATATTCTCACAATAAGGTGAGATATATTTGATATACAGTCATCGCTATACATTCATCGATATACATTCAAAAACAAACAAGTTTTCTTTTTATCTTCCACCACATTCTATAGTTTTTGCATTATAACTACAATGTAATCAAACATTATGAAAAATGATGCTAAATGATGCTTAACTAAATGATGTCATGAAAATCTTTGTACATTTGTGCAATTTTCTTTAATGCCTTTGAGTGTATAGAATAGGAATAAACATTCTACATTTCACTCACTGTTAAACAGTGAAATATTACTTATATCTCATTTATATGTTGAACATTGTGCAATTTACTTTTTAATGCCTTTTAATGTATAGCACGGGAATAAATGAGCCGCGTCACGACAAAACCAACATAGTGTGCTTGCGACCAGCATGGATCCAGACCAGCCTGCGCATCCGCGCAGTCTGATCAGGATCCATGCTGTTCGCTATCACTTTCTCTACTTGTAATAGAGTTGGTAAGCAAGACAGCATGGATCCTGATCAGACTGCGCGGATGCACAGGCTGGTCTGGATCCATGCTGGTCGCAAACGCACTATGTTGGTTTTGTTGTGACACAGCTCAAATATTCTATATTTCACTCAGTTTTAAACAGTGAGATATTACATACATTTATATCTCACTCATGTTTTAGTATCTAAATCAATATATAGAGTATTACCACTTTATTTTTGTTCCACTTTCATACAGGTTTTCATTTCTTTGATTAAATACATATGTGAATAACATGATCATGTGTATAAATTATAAATGCCCTCTGTATGTCTTTCAAGGTCGTCTTATGTCAGCACTGTTTAGAGAGATTTGAATTGCAAACATGAATACAAAACTTTCAGCAATTTTGGCTATTTGTGATTATTTTTCATTAATGGACAATACTAAGATATGAGAATAAATTTTTGTAATTTCTAGTTGTCAATCAAGTCCTTTTTTTATCAAATTTGTAACCATAATTTGTAAAAAAAAAAAATATTAAAGATACATAATCTTTTTCAGATTATACAGTTGCCTCCATTCATTATACAGGATTTCCCGTTATCATTTTGAAATAAATTGACACTGGACCATTTTTAACAAGAATCAACTTAAAGTATATCAACCGAATTTTTAGCCTTAAGAACATGAGCTTATATATATATGTATATTGTTTGGAAACAAAAACAAAACAAAAAACCCGAACAAAACAATGTGTAGTTTTATACATCAACACTTCTGATTTGTTTTGCTCCTGATCTTGGTTTGGGTGGAGTCATAGGAGCTTTCGCACCACCTTGAAACTGAGTTCTTTTCACATTTCTATCACTGATTAAAGGTTTCTTTTGCACTTCGAACCTTTCTGCAAGTCCTGCAACACTTGCGGCACCAGCGTTTGGATCATCTTCCAGCGATTCTGTGGAAGGTTTCCTAGCTGGCTCACTGGGTTTTAAGCTTTTTTGCTGATTTACTTGGCCTCCACTGCCTGTTTTCTTTGATGAAAGACCTGGTCTGGCTTTTGGGTTAAAAATAGGTTTTTCATTTGTACTCCAGCTTGTAGGACTGGGTTTTGTGTCAGATTTAGTTTTATTTGCAGGGGTTTTGGGATGTAATGAAACTTTTGTATCTGCACTCTTTGAGACTGTAGCACGTGGTTTGGGTTTGACATTTTTAGGTTTTGATGGACTTGATGAAATGTTTGGAAGTTGTCTGTCAGGACTGTCTCTCGGTATTTCAACATTAATGTCATCTAATTTTGATAGTTCCTCCTCAAGCATTCTCCTAGTATTATCAACATTTGGTTTGACTGGTGGCGGGGGTGGTTGCTGTGGCATTCTGGGAGAATTGGTTGCCATGACTGCAGATTTCCGACTTTCCTTCGTCCCTGTATCTATATCATCACCACATTCACTTTCAGGCATCGACATGGGACGTGGCGGTAAAGGACGGTGTCTTCTACTTGTTGTATTTTCATATTCGTTTCCAAGACTGACTTTAGGAGGCACCGGCGGTGGTGGAGTATCTACATCTTCGTGAGATTGCGCTAAATTTAAATTTTCTAGTTTTACAAGATGTTTAGACCTCCTGTCTGTTGTACTTATCAATACTGGGCTCGAAATGTTCCTCGTTAATTCTCTCTTCTTTACAATATTTGCAACAGGAGCCTCCTCTGCCTTTTCCACATCTGGTTTTACGTTCTGCGATCCTTGCTTATCACTCTTTGAAAAACTTGGTATTTTAAATATCGGAGCAAATCTTGATTTACTCTCTGTAGGCGGAGTTTCATTATTTACAGCGGTTTTTATTTCAGACTGGTTACTAGCTCCTTTGTAAGGTTTCTGCGGTGGTTTTGGTACTGCAGGTTTGTGAGCGGGAACCGGACTGGGTTTCACATGAGATTTTGTATTGCCGTGAGTGGTACCAGTCAGTACAGGGTTCGATACATTGACAGATATTCCAGTACGGTTATTATTGAGGTTTGGTTGCTGTGGTCTTGCCGGCTGGGGTCTGAGAGGTTTTGTATCTGCAGGTGGCTTATACTTTGGTGGTTGTCTTACTGGTGAGTGATCTCTCTTTGGCGGAGGTCGGGCCGGTCGCAGAGGTCGCTTCTGATTCCTGAAAATTATAACAATCATTTTACTTCTTATTCCCTTCTTACAGCCAGGATTAAAACTTTAGTTATATTGAGTTAACCAATCTTAAAACTAATCATCAAGTGTTTTTTGGTTGATTGTTTTGTTCCACTTTTCTCATTATTAGTATTTTAAATCTAGTTCATTATATAACCTTTTACCCTTCCGAATTATGTAACGGTGACCTGTACATGTGAGGGATAACGTAATCAAAAGATTAAAATAAAGCAGTCAATAGTAAAAAACAGTCTGGTCAGAGTTCACTTATAAGCAGTTACTTTATATGAAAGGTAATTGCATAGGCAAGTCAGTAGTGCTGCTAGCATTTAAAGTTCAAGAAAGATGTGTCCAATAAAACACAACATTTTCTTGAGGAAAAACATTCACTTCATGTCGTAATATGTATTTTGTTTCATGTCACAAGTGTTCCGAGATAGTAAAATACAAATATATTGTTCAGTCTCAGTATTATAAACTGAGCAGATTAAGTTAAAACATATTCATTTTACCTCCAAGTTCAGAGCTTATCTGAACCACTTTCAAGTCAATTTCCTGGGAATAACCAGTGCACATGTCATTATGACACAACATGGTTGTGGACCTGGTAGGGCTCAAACCCTTAACCCATGGGTTGAGAGGCAGTCACATTAACCACTTTACCATCACTACACAGTAGCATATTTAACTTATACCCTGATGAATGGACTTGCCCTGCTCTATGTTCATATTCATACCCTGACTTATTATATCAAACTTGCTCTGCTCTAAGTTGATATACATACCCCCACTTATTACATCAAACTTGCCCTGCTCTAAGATCATATTCATACCCTGACTTATTATATCAAACTTGCTCTGCTCTAAGTTCATATTCATACCCTGACTTATTATATCAAACTTGCTCTGCTCTAAGTTCATATTCATACCCTGACTTATCATATCAAACTTGCTCTGCTCTAAGTTCATATTCATACCCTGACTTATCATATCAAACTTGCTCTGCTCTAAGTTCATATTCATACCCTGACTTATTATATCAAACTTGCTCTGCTCTAAGTTCATATTCATACCCTGACTTATCATATCAAACTAGCCCTGCTCTAAGTTCATATTCATACCCCGACTTATCATATCAAACTTTCCCTACTCTAAGTTCATATTCATACCCCAACTTATCATATCAAACTTGCCCTGCTCTAAGTTCATATTTATAGCCCGACTTATCATATCAAACTTGCCCTGCTCTAAGTTCATATTTATACTCAGACTTATCATATCAAACTTGCTCTGCTCTAAGTTCATATTTATACCCTGACTTACTTATATCAAATATAGAAATACAGACTGTTGATGGCATAGACTGGTCATAAATGTTACTAGAACTTAATTGAAGAAAGCAATGCAATGTTTATTACGCTACAAACAGGTTATAATTTGTTGTACAAATAGATGATAACAACCGGAGCAACTTACTTGTATTTCAAGTTGAATCTGTCATTCCACAAAACCAGAAGTGTGGCACGGAAATAGTAAGCTATGAATGCGAGTAGACCAATAATGGGCAGTACGAGCAAGAAAAATACTAACAATCCAATCATCAGACTCTTATCATCTGAAATATAAATGAGCCGCGTCACGACAAAACCAACATAGTGCGTTTGCCACCAGCATGAATCCAGACCAGCCTGCGCATCTGCGCAGTCTGATCAGGATCCATGCTGTTCGCTATCAGTTTCTCTACTTGTTAAAGGGTTTGTAAGCGAACAGCATGGATCCTGATCAGACTGCGCGGATGCGCAGGCTGGTCTGGATCCATGCTAGTCGCAAACGCATAATGTTGGTTTTATAACAATAATAAATTACTGTCAATGCAAATATTCTTTACTCTTGCACTGCTAAACACTGAATAAAGCTGTTTATTTAAAGTGCCTGAAAAAGATTTTTTCCAGGAAGTATGACATTTCAATTTTCAAAATGTTACATGTACAGCATTAACTTACTTAAAACTTTATTTTCTTCAATTTTGAGTGCTCATTAACTACATTTGTAATTTAAATTTTTATTTTGTTCAATTTTGAGAGCTGCACTGTATGTACACCTTGTTTTATATTAACATCTCACATTTCATGGAAAAACAAATGGCTCTCAGATTGTCCTTTAATGATATTTATGTACATTTAGACAAAATCTAATAAATCATCAATTGTACAGCCCAAAAAACTAGCTTTTGAAAATGAACAAAATCTTGTCTCTGTGAATAGGTGGTCTTATGAAACAATTAATTTAGGCTTAAAAGTGTTGAACTTGAAAAGTAGAATGGTTTCCTTTATTGATATTGCTGAAGTCTCTTTGGATACAGATTCAAACACTGGTTTAACTGTCAGTGACTGGCATGACAAATAGATTTCCCAGGTGTAAAATTACCATTAACATACCATTTATTTTGATAGGACCACTGTGGCTCGTAAGCCAATACCAAGAAAGAAGGAGGCATACTGGCTCGGACTACACCAGACTTAATGGTTTTAACATGTATTATGTCTTATTTCCAGTTTTAGTTATATTTATCATATAATCATTCATTTGGTCTGATGTTTCTTAGCCAGTTATGCCAAAAATAAAGATTTATAAGTCTATCACTTGTTTCGTGGTTTTAATTTGATTGAGTATAAACATACCATTTATTTTGATAGGACCACTGTCCACACTGCCACCATTACCAGATTCATCGCAATCACCACCGCCCCAACCTTCCTCACAATGGCAGTGTCCCTTACTGTTACACACCCCTCTATCTGAACATCCGCCGGGACAACCCAAGAAATTGAGGCTACTCAAGGCAGTGCACTTTCGATCTACACAGATCTAGTGAGAAAAAAAGAATATTAAGAAATTAATAAATTTTGTAGGTTCAGAAGCAGTTGTTAAGTTTGTTTTGTTTAAACATGTACTATACTTGATTGTGAAATACATCCTTGCAACAAATGTTTATCATTTTCGAATCTGCTTCGTCGAACTAACCAGCACCAATGTCATTTGATGAAACTTAGGCGTGACCACAGAAGGGTTCGAACTTACAAACACTGTGTTGAGAGGCAAAAACTTTAATCACTAGGCCACCACATTCCTGCCAGGAAAGCAGTTGTCACTGGCAGATAACCTTAAACTAACATAAAGCTCTTCTACATACTACATCAAATCATATATTTATTACTAAGCAATATCAAGAAAAAGAAATCAAGAAGTTTCCCAAGGTAGCTAAACATCTATACCAATTACAAAATCATATACACGTTTTTAAAACCACTGCTACAGAAAAACAAACAACATTGCTATTACCCTGACAGAAATACTTGCACATCCCAATAAAACTAATGTAAAAGATTACCTTTCTGTCATCACACTTGGCACCATCTGGGACCATGCCAGGATCCGGCATATCAAGGCCAACATCAAGTACAGCACCTCTACACACATAAGTCTGTGGTCCTATTGTCAAAAAAGTCGCTGGTGTGGCTTTAGCGAGATTGTCCTTCCAAAACATCAACTTCTCATTCTGGTGAACACAGTGTAACAATCCGCACATAACATTTCTGTAATGTAATATATCACATAACATTTCTGTAATGTAAGATATCACATAACATTTCTGTAATGTAAGATATCACATAACATTTCTGTAATGTAAGATATCACATAACATTTCTGTAATGTAAGATATCACATAACATTTCTGTAATGTAAGATATCACATATCATTTCTGTAATGAAATGTATCACATAACATTTCTTTAATGTAATGTATCAAAATATATATTATAATGTAACATTTATGTAATGTAAGATATCACATAACATTTCTGTAATGTAAGATATCACATAACATTTCTGTAATGTAATGTATCAAATTATATTTCTGTAAGGAAATATATCACATAACATATCTGTAAATGTAAGATATCACATGACAGATATCACATATATTTCTGTAATTATATATATATCATATAACATTTCTCTTATGTTATATATCACATAACATATCTGTTAATGTACGATATCACATGAAAGATATCACATATATTTCTATAATGATATATATATATATCAAATAGCATTTCTCCTATGTTATATATCACATAACATTTCTGTAATGTAAGATTACACAATAAATTTCTGTATATATCACATAACATTCTGTCATATTGATTACCACATAACATTTTGATTATGCAAACTATCCCAAGACAATTCTAAAATTCAAAATACCAATTAACATTGTAGTAATGGAAAAACCACATTATCTTTCGTCAGAACAAAAAAGCACACATTAACATAATTGACATGTAAAATATCATATTATGTAAATGTCATGTAAAACATATTCTATTACACAAATGTCATGTAAAATATGATACAACATAACTGTAATGTAAAATATCACATGTAGAAGAAAGATATAAAACAATCACATACTCTCTCTGGCAAGGTTTGTACGTAGACATTGTCCAGTTATATCCGCAGTTACCATGTTTGCTACCGTTAGAGTTGAGATGCCGGAAGCAGACAGGGTCCGAGACTCTACCAGTACTTCCCCATAGTAACTTACACTGACCAGTGTGAGTCTTACATTGACCATTGTAACAATATGACTGAAATGTACAAAACATACATGGTAATACAAAAACCAATATACTGTGAATTCACTTAATTTGGTGGACATGAAATTTTGTGGTAAATTTTGTCACAAAAAATATTTTCGTGGGTACTTAAATTTGTGGACTATTTATTATTCCAAAAGGTAAAATGCAAATAATGTGATGCAAAATTATCTTACAGCAGAAAAAATGAATTTTTGTTTGATCTTAAATTTGTGGATTGACCTAGCCACGAAAACAACTAAAATTAGTGCCCAATGAATAATAATGATTTTGAAGTACCAATCCAATCAGCAATTATCATAACTAAACCCTTTTATAATGAACTTGTCTGACTTTGAAATTGGAAACTGTCTATTGTTATATCAAGGGAAATCAATTAAAAGTTAAAGTGAGATATGTGGTTAAGGTAAATGCAGGTAAATGCAAGGATCATGGGTTCAAGCCCAACAGCAGGGTTTTCATTTTTATCTGAAGCAAAAGATGTGCCGACAAAGACAACCTATTGGGCCAATGGTTAAGGGGAGCATTTTAATTTACAGGCTGAAAATGCAACCAATTTTAACACCATTTCAATGGATCATATGGATCAGCAAACTGTTAATAATGAAAACCTTTCAACAGTAGCTTCCTCAAATGATACCAGTACTGGTTAAGTCCACGGTGCGGATTCAAGAATAGTATTAACAAGCTACAAAGTTTATTCACAATCAAGCTTACATAAATAACATTCAAAATAAAACCCAAATAATCGCATGTATATTTATAAACTAACCTGTCCATTGTAGCAGTCCACGCCATCTTGTAGAAATACGTCTGCCGGACATACTGGATCATCACCTTTACAAAACTCCGGTAAATCACATTCTCCTACACTCCCACGACATAATGTCGCCGCTGCTTTTGGCTATATATAAAACAAATGTTGTTGGCAAGATTAACTAGAGCTATCACTGAAGGTGATTAATACCCCCACAAGCAACCATTAATTTTGAAAAATAAGTGGTGTGAACAATAGTTTGAAGTTGAACTATAATTTATGAAGATTAAAATGAGTACAAAGAATTGCAACATCAACTGTGTCTTCAAGAAAGCTTGTTTTATGCTAATTTGGATAATAATATCTCATTCTAAACTCTAGTGTCTAGTGTGCAAAACCGTATTAAAATGTTTATAAACAGTTACGCTTGACAGTCAGGTCCAAATGCATTTAACCAGGGTTCCAACATAATGTCGCTAAATAGCAAGTTTGATGACAATAACTCATTGTTGACAAAATTATATTTGTGAAAGAACATTTTCTGGGGTTAGTAAAAGTGACCTTGACCCCAGGGGGAACAAAAGCAATAGTGCCTGGTCTTCACATATTAGCTTGCTAAATACCAAGTTTGATTACAATATGTCATTCCTAAGTGTAGTTTTTTGCTGGAAACCATTGTTATAAAATTGTATAACTCCAGATAAAGAAAACTGATTCAAGCCTTAAAATTTATCTAACTTATTATTATTATCATATTATTATCATTAATACAAACCAAAATGGAGTAGATTCCTTTCTGCTAAAATTTATCACTGTCCTTAATGGTTCGAGTGGTACACTATTTATGTCAAATGTTCATATCACTTATTGAGCTGCTCATATCCTTAATGGTTCGAGTGGTACAGTATTTATGTCAAATGTTCATATCACTTCTTGAGCTGCTCATATCCTTAATGGTTCGAGTGGTACACTATTTATGTCAAATGTTCATATCACTTCTTGAGCTGCTCATATCCTTATTAATGGTTGGAGTGGTACACTATTTATGTCAAATGTTCATAGCACTTCTTGAGCTGCTCATATCACTAATGGTTTGAGGGGTACACTATTTATGTCAAATGTTCATATCACTTCTTGAGCTGCTCATATCCTTATTAATGGTTGGAGTGGTACACTATTTATGTCAAATGTTCATAGCACTTCTTGAGCTGCTCATATCACTAATGGTTGGAGTGGTACACTATTTATGTCCAATGTTCATATCACTTATTGAGCTGCTCATATCCTTAATGGTTTGAGTGGTACACTATTTATGTCAAATGTTCATATCACTTCTTGAGCTGCTCATATCACTTATGGTTTGAGGGGTACACTATTTATGTCAAATGTTCATATCACTTCTTGAGCTGCTCATATCACTAACGGTTTGAGGGGTACACTATTTATGTCAAATGTTCATATCACTTCTTGAGCTGCTCATATCCTTAATGGTTCGAGGGGTACTGTATTTATGCCAAATGTTCATATCACTTCTTGAGCTGCTCATATCACCATTTGATTTTAGAACACATTCATAGTCATAGTTTTTGCCAAGAATGGTAAATTTTCAATGTCGCACACTTTGGTGAAATTGTTTAACACAAGAGAAAAAGAGAAAAACAGTAGTTTGTGGAAATCATTGTTACATTTGCCTATATTTTGATCTCTGTGAATTGTCATTTGCAAGCTGTTTTGTTTATGTATTTTTCTCACAGTAAGTCCAAAGAATCGGTTAAATTAATAAGAAATTTCTTTTACTTTTTAATCAATTTGTAAATATCGTGTCCTGAATTCACTTTCCCGATGTGTTGATGAAATCCATATTGAAGAGCAAACGACCTCTACTATGTTTGAAAATGTTTACTGCAATATTTTAAATGGTATCGAATGGGAGACAATAAAATGATCACTGTAGTATGTTGGAATAATGTCAGTATCTGATTCTTGTGTGTATCTGTTAGTAAAAATCAGGTCAAGAAGTCCACCTTTACGATGTGTGGCAGTTTTGACAAGTTGATGAAATCCATATCGATGAGCAAGCTTTATTAAGTCTTTTGCTGCTTGAGTAGGTTTGTTAATGTCAATGTTAAAATCTCCCATGACAAATGATGGTATGTTTTGCTCCATTTTTTGAAGCAATGTTTCAAATTGTGGAAGAAAATCTTTAACAGGAAGTTTGGGATTCTTGTATAACGAGAGAATCATGATTCGTTGATTTGTGTCTTGTTTGTTTTCCAGTAGAACTAGCAGATGCTCTACAGTAACATCTTGAGTCAGGTACTGTTTAAGTAATTTAAAGTGTTCATGAATGAAGACTAATAAACCACCACGTCTATGGTTTTGTACACTTTGAGAGTTGTCCTGTCTGATACAATGAAAATTCGGGAAGTCTGGAACATAATCGTCTTGTGTAAGCCAGGACTCCTGGAAACAGATAACATGATATCTCAGTATGGAAGGGTCTTTCTGGTAGCACTCAACATGTGGCTTAAATGAGTTTATGTTAAACAATTGGAGTTTTAAATAAACTGTCATAGTTGCATTCAAAGTCACAGGAACAGGTGGTTTGAATGGACAGGTTTCCTTCATACGAACTACTTCTTTTAGAGATAATTGATTTGTCTTGACATCTGATTTTGAAATTTCACCAATAAAATACAGACCAGCAAGGCTTTGTAACCTGCTGATGGCTGTATAGAATTGTCCACTACGAAATGTGCCACTCGAACAGATCACAGCGGTAGATTCAGTCTTTCCTTGCTCTTTATGTATGGTCACACCCCAGGCAAGAGATAGAGGGAACTGAATACGTTTACAAGTTATTTTTGAAGACCTTTTTGATAGGTAGACAGGCACTTCAACGGTAGGAATTGGAGTAGATGTACTTATATGTCCTGGAATCATACCTCTTGAGCTAGCACGTGCTTTTCTGCCAACACGATCATCGTCAAATTCCACAAGCACATATTTTGGCTTAAATTGGTCCGTATGTAAGTTTGAATTCCAGCTAGGAATAAATCCAGTGACTTTTCCAGCTGCAGAATTTACAAGACCATCAGACACATCTATATTTGTAGTAAGCACTACTCTGGCACTTATGCCAATCTTTAATTCTGCTTGCATTCCACCAGCATCTGCTTGAAATGACACCTGTTCAATTTGCTTTGTTTGTCCATCTTTCTTTGTGTCAATTGCTTTGAATGTAAATACTTGTGTGACTTCTTTTTGAAGCATTTGTAAGTTATGATCATTCTTTAATGAATTACTTATGAACATATGAGTGCTGAATAGCGGATAGTGTTCAGATGAAACAGAAACGATTTTTGACTGGAGGAGTTTCATGTCTTCATCAGTGTGTTCACCAATGCGTACTCTGTTTAATAGCTGTGCAAATACAACATCATTTTTCTGGCGCTGGATTTCTGTAAGTTCTATAATTTGAAAGTAAGTTGTCCAAAGTGATCCATATATTGCAGCCATTTTATCTGAAGGCACACTATAGACTGACTTTTTCAAAACAGGTGGTAATTGTAGCAAGTCTCCAACGGCTAATATTGACACTCCTCCAAATGGTTTATCATTTCCCATGATGTCACATAATCTTCTATGTATGGTAAGTAGCATGTCAGCACCAACCATGGATATTTCGTCTATAACTATCAATTTCACATCACCAACTGATTCTTTCATACTTGCTAAACGCTCCCTGCTGAGAGGAATATAATCCTCATCACTTTTTGTTCCAACTGGTAACTGGAAAAGAGAGTGACATGTGTGTCCAGCAATTTGATAAGCAGCTGCTCCAGTTGGTGCACATACCAACACATGGACATCCTCAATCTGGTTATCTCTCTGAAAGAGGCGTTTCACAGTTTGTACTATAGTTCTGACCAGGAAACTTTTTCCTACACCAGCCCCTCCAGTTAGGAAGATGTGAAATGGGTTTGGCTTTTTACCTGTATGTGAGATTAGCATAGAGTTTGCCCAAGTGACTATAAACTGATGAAGTTGATACTGAGTGTCATTCAAAGCCAGAATCATACTTTTCCATTCATTGTTACTTACATCTTCTGTTGATGGAATGTATTCATGTGGTACAACATTTGCATCTGTTGTAGTATTGTGGCTGTCTGTATCATATGCATCATGAACTGATGGTTCTATGTCTGGACCTTCTATGGCTTCTTCCATTCTAGCCTGTTCTGTTTCTGGTGCGACTGTTACCCAGTGGTCATCAGGAAACCCATTTTCTTCTATCTCCTCTAATACATTAGACAGCTCATCTGCATTATGTTCATACAACTTCTTGTTTTGTTGAATAATGTCATTTGTCAATTTGTATTTCTCTTGGTAGGTTTCCATTAGCAAATCATTTGTTTCATTTCTCCATGGTAAATAAAGTAGTAACTGGGCATGATAATAATGTTCCGGTTTCTTTTTGACTGACCATTGATGAGTCCGGATGATGGCAGGTTTGTGTCTTTTGATCATAAATCCAAGATTACCTTTTAATGTAATTCTGGCAGCTTTCTGTTCAGGCTCTTTCTGTTCAGGATCTTGTTCATGATCTATATCATCTGGTGCAGGTTTATAGGATGTTTTGTAATTTGTAGCAAAGTCTGCTAGGCATATATCTTCCAAATTGTCTGGTCGGGCAGAATACCTGTCAAGGAGATTGGTTTGATAAACATCTTCATCATCCTCATCCATTCTTTGTAGTACTTCTAAAGACTTAAAAAGTCGAGTACGGTCTTCAGGCATGTCTGTTGCAACAAACAGCACTTCTCTTGATCCCTGTGTCAGTGGTAGTGATAATAAGCGATATACAGCTTCCTGAGCGCTCACTTCCCGGTGTGTAAGAAACTTGTTTGCAACATTTCTCATGGATTGTTTAATACCAAGGTGTTGAGAACTTTCACTAACAGCCCGTAGTACATCTCCGAGAGTCTTTTCCGGCTTAGACACATAGGATGCAAGATACATAACACATGAATATACATTAGTCACAAACTGTACATCTATATTTGCTTCCCAAGCTCTTATTAAAGTGGGATTGTAGTTATTGATATTGACAGAAACAGGTTTTCGTTTTAACAGGACAGCTGGCTGGCCACCTCTGGTTTTTATCCAGTGTAAAGCATTTAGGTAAAGTTGTTTTGTCACCTTAGCTTTGTCCAGTATTTCTTGCAGTGTATTAAACTCTTCTACAACTTTAAGCTGTTCAAAGACAGAGGTCAAAGCGGTGGAATAGACTTCTTGCATGGCATTTGATGGTGGGTTCTCTAAAGGCATGAATATTAATGTCTCATCCAATGGTGGACGGGGAAAGCAAAAGCGACATGTTTTCCCATGTTTTCGACAAGCAACAGAATGTGTGTGTTTCTGTACAAGACCTATTAAGTCACGAAGATCAGGGTCATTTTCTGGCAGTTCACAAGATATTGTACGGTCAATGTATTGTATGACATCAGATTCTGTGCTTGTTCCAATAACAGGGGCATCTTTTATCCAAACTAACATATGAAGGTGTGGAGAACCACGCTGTTGAAATTCTATCCGATACTTATAGTCAGTGACTTCTCCAAGAGGATTGATTCTTTTGTTAAGTAGGATGTGTTTGAAGAACATGCTGACACGGTTGTTAAAATGTCTTGCAGCAGTTACTGGGTCAGAACGAAGGTATTGACATTTCTCTTCCCACGACAAGTTTTGAATATCTTCATTTCTCAGTTGTTTGCCCTGGCGCTTTGCAATAACTGAAATTGTATCTATCCATTTCAGGTCAGCTGCTGAAAGTGTCAAGAATAAGGTACAGGGTCCTAACTGTCTTATCATACCAAGCAAGTCATAAAACATTTTGTTAAAGAATGCTGGAGAACCACGAATTTTCTGCATAAAGTGTATTCCCAAGTCTGTACGGACCAATTCTTGAACCTTAGTACTTAGTTCACCAGCAGTAATATGTTGTTGTTTCCCTTTTCGGAGACTCAGACTTATACTGTCATATACTTCTTTGGCTTCAACCCTATATTGTGCATAGAATATATAATCAATGTTTTTAGAAAAGCGACCATCACAGTTTAAAAGTCTAGCTTGAAAGTACTTCTTCATAGACAACTTGGTAGGACGTTCATGGGAGAAACCAAATTTACCAGTAGGAAATAGTTGTGGGAAAGACAATTCTTCTGCATATTTATCTTGTGCAAAACTGACTGGTCTTTTCCCCTCCCCAGGTGCAATGCTAAGAACACTTTCATTTACAATATCTTTTGGTTGTATGCATGTGTCAAAAGGGATGCCACTTAGTTTTGATCTATTGTCTTCATGTTCATCCTCTTTGTCTGTCTCTTCCTCTGATTCCGTTAATTGTTCTTTGTTGTCATGACTATTTACGGATTGATTAGCTGGTACCAGAGAATCCCATAAATCAGAATCTTCATTAGAGCTGTCTTCAATCCAATTTTCATTTAATAGAACGTCTTCATAAAGTGGATTTTGAAGTTGATTTTTTAATAAGACAAGGGCATCAATTATCTTACTGGGTCTGATTGTACTGTTATATGAATGTCCTCTGTATTTCAGTTTTCTTTTGAGTTTAACTTTAATAAATGAATCAGCAGATGGTACTCTTGGCAAGACGGATACTAATTGATCAGGTTCTATTGGGACATTTACCACACAGCCATGTACAGCTTTTTGTTTTCCACGCGGTAAAGCTAACAATTTCATGAAAGGTATTCGTCTTGAAATAAATACAGTTTCAAGTGAATTGAGCTGTTCAATTTCGTATGGAACTTCACTTAACTCCATATTGTTCTTTATTGCAATTGATGGCAATCTGTCATGTTTAAGTGCATTGTGACATAATGTACAAATATATTCTACACCATCATATGATTTCTTGTTTGTATTACAGTTTAACATGTCTCTGTCATAATTATCACAGTTATATCTTCTTAGTGATGTACGATAAAGCATCCTATTACAGACAGTGCAAACAAATGTTGGACCATTTTGTATGTCAGTTTTGAAATTGTCTAAAGCTTTATCCAAATTTCCTGAAGGTTGCCTTTTCTCTCTTTTTGCAAGTGCTTCTTTTACATTTCGTTGCTTTCTTACTTCAGAATCTTCCCGTTTTTTCCTCTGTGCTGGTGTTTCTTTTTCATTTCGGTGCTTTCTTACTTCAGAATCTTCCCTTTTTTTCCTCTGAGCTGGTGTTTCTCTTTCATTTCGCTGTTTTCTTACTTCAGAATCTTCCCTTTTTTTCCTCTGTGCTGGTGTTTCTCTTTCATTTCGCTGCTTTCTTACTTTAGAATGTTCTCTATTTTTCCTCTGTGCTAGTGTTTCTCTTTCATTTCGTTCCTTTCTTATTTCAGAATTTTCCCTTTTTTTCCTCTGTGCTGGTGTTTCCCTTTCATTTCGTTGCTTTCTCACTTCAGAATCTTCCCTTTTTTTCCTCTGTACTGGTGTTTCTCGTTCATTTCGTTGCCTTCGTATTTCAGGATCTTTCCTTTTTTGTCTCCTTGCTAATGTTTCCCTTTCATTTGTCTTTTTCTGCACCTCTGAATCTTCCCTTTTTTTTCTCTTCATCAGTACTTCCCTTTCATTCCTTTTTCTTCTCACTTCAGGATCACTTCTCTTTTTTCTCTGTGCCAATGCTTCTCTTTCATTTCTTTTCTTTCGTTCTCCAATATCTTCTCTTTTTATCTTTTTAGCTAGTGCTTTTTTTTCATTTCTCCTTAATCTTTCTTCTTGATTCACACTTTTTTTGTTTAGTGGTGAAATTGTCTTTTTCATTTTTTCCTAGTGGAATTTCTTTATTATTATCATTAGGTACACACCTTTTTGTTTTTATTTCTGTCATTTTCTCTTTCATGTTTCAAGCCTGTAGAGATTGAATTAATATGTCTCTTTTTCTGTCTATATGCTTGATCCTCCAAGTATTTATCCAGAAATGTGCTGCCAAAAGTACGAGTTGTCAAAGGGAAGTCCGAAATAAATTGAGTTTGCAAGCATAACTTCAAGTGTGGTCTTAAACTACACTGGTTCAAAGTTAAGTGACAAGGAGACTTGCCTTTCAAGACAAAATATGCATTTGCTGCAGCAAAAGCTCCACAATCGACAGAAGCACCTTGACTTTGTGGCACAACATAGTTAATGTTCATTTTCCTTGCATGACGATATACAAGGGACAGCTGTGGTGTGAGCAATCTAATTCGATCCAAGTTTCTGAGTGAGTCAATGATAGTGATTGTTTGGTCAGATTTTGAACTTACAACATAATGGTCATTTAGGAAGTGTATTTGGATAGCATCCCTGTCTTCTGGAACTAGTTGTTGCTCATACGGCTGTTCATTTAACAGCTCCTGTTGATATATTACAGAAGGTGGAATCAGTCCATGTATTTGTCCAAATTGAGCTTTTAAGAGAGCAGAGAAATAATCCATAACTGTAATGTCAATAGATCCTTGGAGAACACTGTCTGGATTTAATCCATGGAAAATATAATCATGGGGAATTAGATCTCCTTGTTGAGAAGAATAATTTGGCTCATCATGTCCAAGCTCTGGTGTGTGACATTGAATATTGGAAGCATCAGATGGACAGGTGGTTTCAGAATGAACCTGTAAACAACAGTGGAGAGGTTAAACGTCTGTAACATGCAAATTAATATCATAACTGGTATCAAAGACTATAATTAGGCTCAATATCTTCTTATAAAAACTTTAAAAATCATCTGTGATACAGATGTTATCATACTGTGTTGCTATTGTTGGGTATTAAGTGATACCAACACTGGAAAGACCATAAGGCAACATGCCAGCTTTACTAGCACAGAGAGATCTCTGGTGTCCCTCCATGCATCATTGAAGCACAAGCAGGTACCCGAGTAGAATCATAAAATGAAATCTGAAGACCACAATGGCATTTAAAACCACAACTGTGAGAGGCGAGAGATTTAAATTCAAGTTATTCAACTGTCCTTAACCATTTGTCAAAGGAAGCCACCATTGCATTTTCTGATATTGAATTATATCACCATACTTACACAATAGGCAAGTTATATTTGAAATATTGGAAATATATTACTTTTGAATAAAATCTGGTTAAATGTAATCTTTAAACAACATACTTGTATAACTGGTTTAACCAAGTGAATATCCATTGGCACTGGTTTACATGGCTGTTGAAGTGAACTGTCAAGTCTATGATAATCCGCACCAAATGGACAGCTTGTTTCAGAACAGACCTGTAATAGTATTAAACAGTATGAATTTTCATAAAATAATAACTATTATATATATCAAACATGAATAGACTTATTACGCATTTAGTATCACAGTAGTGAAATAAAGGCATCGTTCACAGTGTAAAAATAATCGGATGAAAGTAAATGAAAATGTAGTTTTACATGTGTATATTTTGTTAAGTTAATAATGTCTTTAATGGACAACATAGTAAGAAGGAAAATACTCTGCAGTGTTGTACAAGTCATTACTTGTTTCATAACAGCAACATGTCAATCAACAATTGCAATATTTCCTCTTTAAGAGACACTATTATATACACTCATAATTAAATTAACCAAGACTTGCCTGTTTCCTGAACTTGTCATCCTTTCTTATCATAAGTTTTGATTTCTTTTTAAGTTTTGGCATCTTTTTTTTTTTGCGTCTAATTGTTCATCGCAGACTCTTTCAGAGCATCATCTATGCATCAACCTAAAAATTATTTTAATTTTTAATCAAACAGCACACATTTTTTGGAAGGACAGATAGTTGTATATATCCATCATTCCTGAGAAATATACCTTCCAGTATCAAAATATTACTATATGTGTAGCTTATACCAATTTTGTGAACCATTATTGGTGAGGTTACAAATATGGAGAAATCAACAGTCATTGAATTTAAGATTTTGAAATTACTGGTCCAAAGTCCGGTTTTGCATTTATCCTATATATATTTAACTAAATTTTCTTAAAATTTACACTGGCCGAAACTAATTTTCACTTGCCATGGGCCACTGGGCCAGTGCTAAATTCAATGACTGAATCAAACAAACTGAAGTAAATGAACTAAATTTTCTTAAAATTTACTCTGGCCGAAACTAATTTCCACTCGCCATGGGCCACCGGGCCAGTGCTGAATTCGATGACTGAATCAAACAAACTGAAGTAAATGGAAACTGAATGTATATTTCTCATACATGTAAATCTTATTTAATTGAAAGTTAGTAAGGTAAGTATATTACTATAGCTTTATTCATATATGTAAATATATAATACTATTTGCTTTAGTCATCAAGCACTCATTAATAAAAAACATTTGTTTCAACTGAATTAATTTTGAATGTTCAGCACAATGCCCAGTAACCTTTCAGCACACTTATAACATTTAAGTTCAATTATCAATAGCCTGTGTAAATTTGTTTGAGTTTCACCCCTCCCCCTGATTAATCCTTGATCTTGAAAATTGGAGTTAAATTATTTTAACATGAATCTAGACAGCTGTAAACTCTCTTAGTTTCCAGTTTCACAAAAGACATGGGTAACATGAAATAGACGGCCATATCAATCAGTAGGGAAATATAAAATATGAGAGTGAATTACCTTCTAAATGTCATCATTAATATTAACATTGCCAAGTGCTTTTGGTAACAAAAACACTATAAATATTTAGTAACCAAAAACAACTACAAATATTTCTACTTGCTATATTGCAACTGCCTTATATATAAAACATAAGGGGGGGGGGGGGGGGCATGAATCTAGACAGCTGTAAACTCTCTTAGTTTCCAGTGTTCACAAAGGACATGGGTAACATGAAATAGACGGCCATATCAATCAGTAGGGAAATATAAAATATGAGAGTGAATTACCTTCTAAATGTCATCATTCATTGGTAACAAAAACACTATAAATATTTAGTAACCAAAAAAAAACTATAAATATTTCTACTTGCTATATTACAACTGCCTTATTGTATAATAAACATGGGGGGGGGGGGGTCCAGGAAATCTGAGAATGAATTACTTACAAATGACATCATCATTAATATTAACATTTTCAAAAGTGCTTTTGATTCATTGGTAACAAAAACTCTATAAATATCATTAGTAAAAAAAGCATAAATATTTCCAAGTGCCTTTCGATTTATATAATACATCGGCATCGCGAAAATATGTGACAAATGAATATTTGTCTGTTTTCCATATAAAAATTACCATTTCGGCTATTGTGTAATGAAAAGCGTTCATAATAGATGCTTTTTGGATATTTAAATATTGTTTACCACTGACGATTTCATCAGAAAGCCTAAACAAAAAATTCCAAGTTTGCAATTCACGACACAAATTTACAAACATTAATAGATTTATTACGCATTTGATATCACAGTTCTGTGTAGGGAAATAGAGGCATCGTTCACAGTGTAAAAATAATCAGATGAAAATGCTGTTTTTCATGTGTATATTTTGTAAAGCTAATAATGTCTTCAATGGCATCATAGTTAGTAAGAAAATACTCTGCAGTGTTGTACAAGTCATTACTTGTTTCATAACAGCAGCATGTCAATCCATAGTTGCAATATTTCCTCTTGAAGAGACACTATTATAAACAACCATAATTAAATTAACCAAGACTTGCCTGTTTCCTGAACTTGTCATCCTTTCTTATCATAAGTTTTGATTTCTTTTTAAGTTTTGGCATCTTTTTTGTGTTGTTTAAAGTTGTCAATAGTCTAATCGTGCATCGCAGACTCTTTCAGAACATCATCTATGCATCAACCTAAAAATTATTTCAATTTTTAATCAAACAGCACACATTTTTTGGAAGGGCAGATAGTTTTATATATCCATCATTCCTGTGAAATATACCTTCCAGTATCAAAATCAGAATATTACTATATGTAAAGCTTATACCAATTTTGTGAACCATTTTTGTTGAGGTTACAAATATGGAGAAATCAACAGTCATTGAATTTAAGATTTTGAATTTACTGGTCAGAAGTCCAGTTTTGAATTTATTCTACTATATATTTAACTAAATTTTCTTAGAATTTACACTGGCCCAAACTAATTTTCACTGGCCATGGGCCACCGGGCCAGTGCTAAATTCGATGACTGATTCAAACAAACTGAAGTAAACTAAATTTTCTTAGAATTTACACTGGCCCAAACTAATGTTCACTGGCCATGGGCCACCGAGCCAGTGCTAAATTCGATGACTGATTCAAACAAACTGAAGTAAAAGGAAACTGAATGTATATTTCTAATACATGGTAAACTTATTAATTTGAAATTGAAACTTAGTAAGGTAAGTATGTTACTATAGCTTTATTCATATATGTAAATATATAATACTATTTGCTTTAGTCATCAAGCACTCATTAATAAAAAACATTTGTTTCAACTGAATTAATTTTGAATGTTCAGCACTCTTCCCAGGTACCTGTCAGCACAGTTATAACATTCAAGTTCAATTATCAATAGTCTGTGTATATTTGTTAGAGTTTAATTTTTTAACCCCTGATTGATCCTTGATCTTGCAAATTTTAGTTAAATTACTTTAACATGAATCTAGTCAGCTGTAAACTCTCTTAGTTTCCACTTTCCGCAAAGGACATGGGTAACATGAAATAGATGGCCATATCAATCAGTAGGGAAATATAAAATATGAGAGTGAATTACTTACAAATCAAATGTCACCATCATTAATATTAACATTGCCAAGTGCTTTTGCATTGGTAACAAAAACACTATAAATATTTAGTAACCAAAAACAACTACAAATATTTCTACTTGCTATATTGCAACTGCCTTATATATAAAACATAAGGGGGGGGGGGGGGCATGAATCTAGACAGCTGTAAACTCTCTTAGTTTCCAGTGTTCACAAAGGACAATGGGTAACATGAAATAGACGGCCATATCAATCAGTAGGGAAATATAAAATATGAGAGTGAATTACCTTCTAAATGTCATCATTCATTGGTAACAAAAACACTATAAATATTTAGTAACCAAAAAAAAACTATAAATATTTCTACTTGCTATATTACAACTGCCTTATTGTATAATAAACATGGGGGGGGGGGGGTCCAGGAAATCTGAGAATGAATTACTTACAAATGACATCATCATTAATATTAACATTTTCAAAAGTGCTTTTGATTCATTGGTAACAAAAACACTATAAATATTTCTACTTGCTAGACTACAACTGCCTTTCGATCTATATATAAAACATCGGCATCGCGAAAATATGTGACAAATGAATATTTGTCTGTTTTCCATATAAATATTACCATTTTGGCTATTGTGTAATTAAAAGCGTTCATAATAGATGCTTTTTGGATATTTAATATTGTTTACCACTTACGATTTCATCAGAAAGCCTAAACAAAAAATTCCAAGTTTGCAATTCACGACACAAATTTACGGCGCAAATTTACTGCTTGTGTAGCAATTCTGTTATTTTATAATGTTTTTAACACGTCCATTATAATGCCGGACTTTGTTTTAAAATTCTATATCAAAATTTAGTGTCTTATCTATTATTACAATTGCCTGTGGTATTGTGTAATTAGTCTAATCTGCGTAACAATTGCTGAAATCCATTCAGCCTCCATTAATTCAGTCCATTTTTTCCTTAAATAAGTGGTACCGAATAACGGACCCGTTCTTAATTGTGCAAACAATCACAATCAACATAAATTAAGCTTACAATTTCGTCTTTTTCTTGATTTTTTCCAATGTATGTTATTAGAATCTCAATAATTTGTCTGGAGTCGAGTTGAATTGGTTCCAATTTGATTCTCAGAATTTTTTTTAATTACAATTTAATCGAGTAAATGTCCGAAACGGCAAAAATATCCGAGTTTTTCAATTACATAAACATTTTTCTGCGAACTGGTCAAATTCTGTAGAACATATTCTGATCAACTTGATCACGTACATTACAACAAATCTGATGTAAACATCCGACTTGGAATTTTTTGGTGCAAATATGTGAAAAATGGCCATTTTGGTAAATCCATGTACATGTGTATAAGTTTTCATTTTAAGGGAAAAAATGATCACAATTAAGATTTTTTTTCACAATTGTCACGGTACATTTACAAGTTAAGGGGAAAAATCAATGTTTTATGGAAGAAAGCCGATTTCTGTAAATTTATTGAACAGATCATAAAAAAGTGAAAGCCGATTTCTGTAAATTTATTGAACAGATCGTAAAAAGTTCTTTTATAATTGAATTCAGCTTGAATGGTTTAAAAGGTATTCATACTCACCTGGATTGACAAACTGACATCTGTAGACGAAATGGCACTCTACGTTATACCATGATGTTCCATTGCCACAAAACAAAACAATCCGTCATTTATTATAATTTTTACTATACAGTAACTGTTAAGTCCTTTTGTTTGTAACTAAAAAGGTACTAAAAAATTTATAAAAAATCGGAATCAAATCTTTTTTTGAAGAGATAGAAGTCTGTAGCAAAATCTTTATTTAAAAAGAGAGAAGTATGTAGAAAAAACATTTTTCTATTTTTAGTAACGGTGACCTAGTCTTTGACCCCAGGGGGTCCATATGCAATACCAACCCAGGTATTCATGAGAGCTTGCTGTGCACCAAGTTTGATTGGAATATCTCAGTCCTAGCTCAAGTTATCGTCCGGAAACCATTTTTCTATTTTTAGTAACGGTGACCTAGTCTTTGACCCAGGGGGTCCATATGCAATACCAACCCAGGTATTCATGAGAGCTTGCTGTGCACCAAGTTTGATTGGAATATCTCAGTCCTAGCTCAAGTTATCGTCCGGAAACCATTTTTCTATTTTTAGTAACGGTGACCTAGTCTTTGACCCCAGGGGGTCCATATGCAATACCAACCCAGGTATTCATGAGAGCTTGCTGTACACCAAGTTTGATTGGAATATCTCAGTCCTAGCTCAAGTTATCGTCCGGAAACCATTTTTCTATTTTTAGTAACGGTGACCTAGTCTTTGACCCCAGGGGGTCCATATGCAATACCAACCCAGGTATTCATGAGAGCTTGCTGTACACCAAGTTTGATTGGAATATCTCAGTCCTAGCTCAAGTTATCGTCCGGAAACCATGAAGGTGGACCGACCGACGGACGGACCGACCAACCGACCGACCGACCGACAAGCTGACTCCTATATACCCCCCCTAAACTTCGTTTGTGGGGGTATAATTATTTCATTCCACCAACGATATGCCCCAAGTTTTATTAACTATTTCATTCCACAAACATGTGTCAATATGATGACAGATTGTTAATAAAAGCAGAGTCAAAATTTCACACTAAAATTTATACTACATGCTTTTACTTTAACTTCCATATCTTCTAAGTAGACATTTGTGATTTACATTCAATGTAACTTGTATAATACAATTCTCTAAATTAGAGGTAAATGCCCCATTCTGTAACTGAATAAATACAGTAATCTTAAAAAATGTGTATACCATTAACATGTTTTGCATATATTAGGACTACTAAAATAAAGTTTTCATTTCAGTATTATAATTAGAATTTGACAAATCATTATTACTACAGGGTGTTGATTTTTTATTTAAATGATTTAAATTAGCACTTTAAACAATAATTTAACTTGGACCCTTGTATAATGTTGTTTTTTTCCCAAAAACTTTCGCAGTTGACTTATAGAATAAGATATGTAGTAAAACATCACTCAAAATTACAGAAAATAAATACACAAATCTTTTCATTGAGAAAATACAACAATAAAATTTGCATATAGTAAAACATTAAAATATAGAATCATACCTTGCATGTATTAAGATCACAGCATCCACCCGAGGCACACATAGATCCTGGTGTTAATTTACATGTGGTGGCATTACAACATTTGTTCTTACAATCCTTCAAAAACAATACAAAATAACGTATCAAATATGGCCCAATTAATCATCAAGCTGATTAATTATGGATTATGGAAAAAATAATGCCTAAAGAATGCCCCAAACAGCAAAATTGAAAATGTTGCAGGCTCGGTTTTTTGAACCTGTTTATGTTTCGAATGTGCCAAGGTACCTTCCATCCCCTAGTCTGGCTAAAAAAAATTCAAAATTTTAAAAAAAAAATGGAAAAATTTGGGAATTTTGAAAAATTTTCGCTTTGTTTTTTACAAAAAAATATAAACAAAGGAAAAAACCCCATGCAAAAACAAAAAGAGAAGGTTTTTAAACCCTTGAAAAAATTTTCTTGCCGTAAAATTTCTGCCCAATGTATAAAAAACCAAAATTTTAAAATTAATTTTTGAAAAAACGTATTTCAAAATCCAAAATTTTCGAGAAAAAAATGTAGTGGGAAATTCCCGAAAAAATCCCGGTTTGTATTGGCCCTTTAAAAAATTGGGAAAAGTTATAATTTTGTAATGAAATTAAAATTTTTGAAAAAAGGAAAAAAATGCCAAAATCCCCGTGGGGGGAAAATTGTGATTATTTTTCCGGGAGCCCGTCCCTTCCCCCCCTCTATTCCTTACAAAATGGCCCCGTACAAAGTTCCGGAAATTAAAACAAAAACCATTCCCCTTCGCGCCCTTTAAAGCCAACATGGGGAGGGAAAACCCAAAGAGTTGGGGTTTTTTCGTAAAATAAAATACGATATATTAAATAAATTTATTGAAAAAAAGACAAGCTTTTGAAAATTAGTCTTTTTTAATTTACTTACATCCCAAAATTGAAAAAAATTTTTAAACTAGTAAACAAAAGAAATCTATTTTCATCATTTTTTACTTTAAACCGTTTATATTAATTTAAAAACAAAAACCCAAAGAGTATAACCCAAAAACCCTAAACATTTAAAAAATGTTATTAAAAAAGGAAAAACAAAATAAAATTTTGCTGGGAAAAAAAAAACCCTAAAAACAGTCTTGGGTTAAAAAGTTTTTCGTTTCTTTATAGGAAGCTTAAATTCCTACAACCCCCAAAACGTTCCCGGAAAACAGTAGCAAATGTGTAAACCCCCGGCCCTTTTAAAAACAAAAATCTCCCCCCAACCCGGGTTTAACCAAATACCCAAAACTTAATTTTTGTCAAAATTTAACCCCCCCACCCGGTACATTTTTTTAGTTTAAATTTAAAATTTCCCTTTTTCCCCCCCTTTTGGGCGTTTTTTTTTATATCTCCGTCCCCGGGGGAAGGTACTTAAACTGCGGGAATTTGCCAAAAAAGCCAAAAAAAATCTAGAGGGTTTTTTTACTTTAATTTTGCCAAAAACCCTTTTTCAAGCAAAAAAAAGAAAATTTTTTGTATCTAGTTTTGGAAAAAGCCCTAAGGAAATTTTCTTGCTAGGTATTAACATTAAAAGGGGATTAAAAAAAACAAACTACGGCATATGCCCCCTTCAAAATGGTTCCCCCAAAATAAAAATTTATTTTAATAAAAGTTCACTTTAAATTTTAAATTCTCTTTTAGTTCTATTTTTATTTTAGTTTAAAAAACAAAAAAAAATCAAGGGAATGCAAAATCACTCTGTAGTTAAAAAACAAATTTCAAATGTTGGTTTAAACAAAAATCCTTCTGAAAAGGCCCCCCCAAAAAAACAAGGGATTTTGGGCCCGCATGGGCCGACCCCCTTCATTTGGGGTCGATCGGGTCCATTTCTGTCGCCTTTTCCAAAACCCCCTTTTTAAAAGAAAATGTGCAAACAAAATTTGGTTTTTGATTTAGCTGCGCAGGCTGGCTGGATCTATCTGGTCGCAAATGTACATTTTTTTTGTCCTACGCGGCCCAAAATATGTTTTTTTTCCAGGTGAGAATGCAAATTTAAACTTTTATTAAGGGAAACAAATAAAAAGAAAAACGGTGCTTTTATTGCCAATCACTGATATCCAAAGTTTTAAATTCCAAAAAGTAAGGGTTTTTAAAATTTTAAAAATTTTAAAATTTTTAAACCCCAGTGGATTTTTCCCGAAAAACCCGCTCCAAGTTCTTTTTTAAAACCCCCTTAATTTCATGTTCCCAAAAAATATGTCATTTGTAAAATGTTTTTCATAATCTGAAATTTTTTATTTGTGTATGCATGGCTGCAGTCATTTTTAAGAAAATTTTTTTTTTTCCCCTTAAAAAAATAAAGGGTGTTTATATAAAATGTTTATAAAATTCTTTACAGGTTTTATGGAAAAAATTCCTTTTCAAAAAATTTTTCAAAAAACCCGACCCCTTAATTTCAAACAAAGTTTTGGTAGGGTTTTTTAACCCTTTAAAAAACTTATAACTAAATATTTATATTGTAGGGCAAAAAAAACCCCCCTAATTTTTTTTTTAAAATTCAAACTTTTCATGAAAATTTTTCTGCGAAAACAAAAATTTTAAATAATTTTAAACATTAAGCTCTATTGTGTAGAAGGTTCTCGAAAATTTTTTTTTTCTTTTTACTTTACATTTTTGAGTCTGCTTTCGAGCACCGGTTTTTGTGTACATGAGGAAAAAAAGTTGTGAAAAAGTATGGGTCAAACCCCTGATCTCTTGGTTTATTGGGAGAAACCTTTTAACCCCTAGGCCCCCTCTCCTTGTACAGGGCCCAGACTTAAATTTTTTGTAAAGGTATGAATTCCACTATTTACCATATCCAAAATAACATTAAATTTTCCTAATTTTTTAACTAAAATTCTTAAAAAAATATTTTCCAAACCCATGGACAGACCTTTTTTAAAATAGGGGGGCCTTAATTTTTTCTTTTGAAAATTTGGGAAATTTTTATTTTTCCCCTTTTAAGACAAGTGAAAAATTTTTCCGTAAAAAATTAAAAATTTGGAAATTTTTCACAATTGCAAAAGGCTGGGGAAAAAATTATCTTTAAAGAAATTTTTAATGACAATGTGCAATTTAAAATTTTTTGGGCAATTTTTTGGGGAAAACCAAAATATACGTAAAACAAAACTTTTAAAAATTTTGCCAAAAATTCATTTTAAAAAAAAAAAACCTCCGGTATCTCTTTAATAATAGGCCGCTTAAAAAAACCAACATAGTGCATTTTCCCACCGCATGGGCCAGACCGCCTGTCTCAAACACAGTCTGAATTTTAGGTCCCGCTGTTCGCTTTAGTTTTCTATTTTTTTATTTGGGAAGCGAAAAGGATGGACCTGACGACTGCCGGGGGCGCAGGGTGGGCTGGATCCCCTCTGGTGCAAAACCCCCTTATGGGTTTGGTTTTTTTCGTGACGCGGCCAAAATTTAGGTCACATGATTTCAAAATTTCTGTAACCCAAAAACAATTTTTATATTGTTATAATCATCATATAAATTATTTTTATTTACATGCATGCCAAAAAAAATAAGCAGAAAAAGTACATCTGGAAAATTTGTCATGAAAGTTTTGCAAATCACCTATGAATTTTGAATCCCAAAAATTTATAAATCTTAGCCATTCCCAAGAAGAAATTTTTTGTTGTTTTTTAAGCTATTTTTTCAAATTCGGGGTTTTGTAATTAAAAAACAAAAAATTAAATTCATTTTAAAAAATTTGATCATTTTTTTTTTTTCTCTGTTGTTTGCCTTTGGGGAAATTGTTAAATTTCCCTTAAAATTTATCAAAAAAAAACCTCATGGTTTGGGCCCTAGTATTTTTTTGGGTAAAACTTTTTTAATAAACAATGCAAAAAAAAATGAAAACCCCCATTATAATTCTCCCGGGTTTTACCCCCGGGGGTCTATTCCAGGGGTATGCCCCCAAAAACAAAGTAAAATTTTTCATAAAAAAATAAAGGGCTTTTTGTATGTGCTGTAATGGGGAAAAAAAAAATAAAGAAAACACCAAAAATCCAAACATGACTTTTTCCAAACACAAAACTTTATTTAATTGTAATTAATTTTTTTATTAAATTACAGTCAAAAAGTTTAAAAAAAAAAAATTAATAAGAAAACAGCCATAACCCTCATAGCCCAATTGCTTTTTATACTTCTAACCAATTCCCCACCAAAACCCTTTTTTACGTAAGCATTTTTAAACCTTAAACCCCCTAAAATTTATAAAGGACTTGCCCCCCTTTTAATTGGAAGGGTTTTTATTGATTTTTAAGGGGGTTTTTTTGTACCAAATGTTTTTAAAAATTTAGCAAAAAAAACCGGGTTTGGGGACTGGGCATTCCATAAAAATACATTGCAGCTAATGGGCGATTTATTTACCCTGGGTTTAAACTGGTTTTCCCCTTTTTACATTCAATGATTTTGGTAAAAAGTACGTTTTGTTTTTTTGTTTTTTGAAAAAAAAAAAACAAGAAACTCTTTTCTGATATTGTAAATTTATTAGAAAAATACTTTTCCCATGAATCTTTTTGTACAATGTCAGGCCTTTTAAATTTACAAGGGGAAAAAACATGGTGTTTCACAAATCACGCATATTTTAAAGATTTAAACCCATGATTTTTTTTAAATGGAATCTCCGCTTTGAATTGGAAAAAGTTTCCCTTAAAAAATCCAAAGGGGTTTTGGTATCTAATATTGAATATGTGATTTAAAATGTTTAAGGGCGGGGGGGGGGGGGGGGCACATAGCCAGATAGAAAAATTTATACTAGTACACAGAATTTTTTTTAAATTTTGCATGATTTTAAAAGGGTAATGATTGGGTTTTCATTTTACATTTTAATTACTTTCCCCCGAAAATGCTTTTGCCCCTTATAGGTATTTGGGAAAATTTTTTTCTCTACACTGAAAAAGCTGGTTTCATTTCAGCCCTTTAAACAAATTTTAAAACCCTCTCGGGTGAAAAAAAATGTATAAAATTACACGTTTTGAAAAAAAGTATTGGGGTGATTTGGTTTAAAAATGTATGAAAAAAATTTCTAAAACAATAAAAAAAAAAAAAAGGGAAACCCGGTTCCCCCTTTCCTGTTTTTCCTGGAACTGAAAAAGTTTTGAAACATTTATTGTTTTCAAAATTTTTTTATTTTTCATTTGTAACTAATCTTACCAAAAAATAAGAATTCCGAAAAATCAAATAAATTCTTAAATGAAAATGTTTGAAATTTTGACCGGAAGCCTTTCTGAAGATTTTTGTATTTTTGTTTTATTTTAGGAAAAAGTAAGTCATATGGAAAAAAAAGAACATCACATATGAATGTGTTAGAAATTATTTAGTAAATAATAATTTAATTCTTTATCTGCCTTGAAATAACATGAAAAAAAAAAATGATGCAAAAATTTCCCCAAAAAAATATACAGTGATTTATTTCCATTTTTTTTTAAACTCATTTTTTCTTGAACTAAGCATTGAAACAAATATTTTTTTTTTATTTACTTAAAAATTTTTCAGAAAGAATACCTTTGGCAAGCATGCCCCTATGCTGTTATATAACAATTTTCGTATGCAGTATAAGAGTAAATATATTAGCTATTTACAGCCATTGAGAATGATGTTTCAGCAATCATACCATCGAGAAGGTAAATATTTCCGCAAATTTTTCTGCATAGTATATTAACTTATAAGCTACATGTATAAAGCTATATTGCCGAATCAGCAGAATAATGTTTTCATCCCCTTTTATCAACGCAATGCTCCCATTTCCACAAAATCATCATTCCTTAATATAGAATGCACATGACCTTGATCGGAAAAGGTCAACAATCTTAGCATTGTAATTTATACCAACCCCTTTTTTTTACATAACAGACAACATACAAAGCATGACAACAATGTACTCACAGTAATGTATATACATCAGAATAAGAAAGATAACCTACCCGCCACTGGTGGCAGCCATGATGCATTTCTCTTCCTTACATTGACATATAGTATAGTTATCATGATCCATGCCAAAGTTGTGCCCCAGCTCGTGAGCTATCGTCGTAGCTGTTTGTCCCTGCTGTTGCTAAAATTCTACAAACCACATCAATTTTAAATTTAAGGTCGAAAAAACTTTTTTAATAAATTTTAACCCCCCCTCAAGAAAACCCCCTTTAAAACAACCCAAAAAATTTTTTTCATTTGCGTTTGATCTGCAAGATTTACGTATTTTTAATTTTTGCCCCGTCCGACAAAACCCAAAAAAGTGGGTTTGGGGCCCGCGACCAGACCAGCCTGCGCATCCCGCAGTTTCGGTCCCTTTCTTTTTCGCTTTCCAACTCTTTTTCAATAAGAAAATGATAGTGAAAAGCTGGTCCCTTTAGGGCTGCGCGGTGCCCCGGTGGTTTATCCCTGCTGGTCGCAAACCCCAATTTTAAAGTTGGTTTTTTTAGACAGGCTCATTTTTTTTAAAGAAAACCCTAGCCAAAAATTTTCAAAAAAAAACTAAAATTTTAAGTCCAGTGATACCCACTTATGGTACATATTTATTGTGAGTAATGGACATAAAACCATTTAAAAAAAGAAACGTTCTTAGCAAATGGTTTGTATCAATTCTTCCAATTCTTCTTCTAAAAAAAGATATTTTTATATCAGTTCTCCAGCCGTCTTTAAAGGCAATTCATGATAAGGGAAGTTTTTTATTTATTGAAGAAGTAGGGAAAAATAACCTTTCTAAATGCAATTTATTATCAAGGAAATTTTCTATTTACATTTGTATTAAGAAAGTAGACATGCATAGATATTGTAACCATATCTAAATTTGCAACAGTTACGTTGCTATAAATATGCTTAATGAATTGAAGACTACTTTTTGGTCATATGTCATATATTATCATTGAGTAAGACAGAAATGATAAAACAACCATAAAAGATTGAAGAGGATATATAAAACAGAGGCAAACTATATTTCTTTTGTATATTTAACACAAACAAAAGTTAGACATAGTTTTCTTGATGTCTAAGGACTTCTATATAAAAAAATCTTTTCATATAAGGGAACCCCAAAAGCTTTTAATTTCTTATTTGGGTTTTGGAGACCTTTTATTGAAAATTTTCGAGCTAAAACGTTACCCCCTTTTAAAAAGAATTTACTTTACTAAGGAAAAAAATTTCATTTTTAAAAAAAAGCCCCCACCGCTAAATACAAAAACCAAATAGGAAATTTTGGAAAACAAAAACCTTCAGCAAAAAATTTTTTTTACTTTTAAAAAAGTGCCCGAAAAACAAATTTTCCCCAGGGGCGGGGGCCCTTTTTCCCCCGGGTTTTAAATTTAATTAAAACTTTTTAAGGTTCACTACACAAAAAATTTTAAAGAAAAAAATCTGCCTATCAAATTAAAAAGTGATTTTTTAAAGTTTTTACTTTACGTAAGGAAAAACCTTTTTCCCCCCGGGGGGGGCTAGTTTTGACCTGAGGCAAAATTTTAACAACTTTTTAGGTACCTATAATCATTTTCATATAAAAATCAAAACCCCTAAACCTAAATACCTTCCGACAAAAGTAATTTTTAATTTTTACTAAAATGTACATATAGTGAAAAACAATAACCCCCGGGGGGGCCCAATTTTGGGCCCCCGGGGTATAATTTTTCTTGGTAGAGGCCACCCAAAAATCCTTTTTGCAAAATAACTAAGCTCTAGCCTTTTGGGTCTTTTCAAGAAGGTTTTTAAAATTTCTTATAATTCCTTTTTTGGGGTTTCCATGGGCAAAGAATTTCTGCATTGGGGGAAAAACTTTGGAACCCTTCATCCAAAGGGTCAATCCTGCCCAAATTTTTTTTGAAATTGGGCTAGGGGGGTTTCACAAGAAAAATTTTTTAAATCAAAAATTTTAAAAAAAAATTTACTTCATAATCAAAAAAAACCCACACACACAAAAACACCCGGTGAACGCTAATGCCAGGCATCCCCCCCCCGGAATTTCTGCAGGTGGGGAAAAAATAAAAACCCAAAAGGGGACAAACCAAGTTAAAACCCCCGAAGAAAAAAGACATATTTACCCCTTTAATGGCTTTTCCTAAAAACTCCTTACCCAAAAGTTTAATCTGCAAAAAATTTATGCAATCATGCCCTAAAATATACAATTTTATTATCTAAATGGAACTTAAAGAAAAAAGGAAAAAATATTTTTATGGTATGCAAGGGTTTATCCAAAAAAAATATTTTTTCTATATTTTTAATTTTAAAATATTAAAAGAGTGTAATTTAATACTGAATTTATTGAACGAGATGAATAAAATTATTTTATCCGAGTCTCTGGCGAATGCTTGTACAGAATGATGTAAACAAACTGACACAAAAAACCTTTCATTATTCTGACAACACTGCAACTAGAGCATATTCATGCCAACCTCTGGTGTACTTGACATAAAATCACGTTATGAATGAGACTTTTATAAATATCCCCACAACACTTATAAATTTTGAACGCTAGTTGTTAGGTTACTTCAAAAAAATTATGAAAACCCCGAAAAACAAGAAACCTCATTTTTTAAACTTTTTTTTATTGTAGCAATGAGGTGGAATGGACATTGAGCAATGAGGTGGAATGGACACTGAAACTACATACCATGAAATATTTCAAATATACTATAGTAATAATGAAGATAATCTTGTAAAGAATTGGGACATGAAAAATGACCGAAGTTGACTACAGATCTACTAGTCACAGAGAGAAATGAGGTATTTTCTTTTTATTGGTATTCAAGCTTCAGATCATAACAGTGGACTCTAGGCATCTATAAGTAACAAACCTCATTAACGCCACCTGAATACTCAAAGGTACATATCGCACCTCTATGAGACCTAGCTGTGCCTCGTGTGTCCCGAAGCAAATTTGTACTCCTGACAATAAATCAGCAGACGTACAGTGTACATGTATAAACTCATTTCTTATCAATATATCAAATATTAATTATAAGATATTTGGGAAAAAACTGAAAATTATCATAGAAACATTTACCGTAAGTCAACATTTGAATGCTTTTATTAAGTCATACCCAACATTTGAATGCTTTTACATAAGGAAAGTTTTTATGTTATCAAGAAGTAAAGAAATAAAAAATCATGGGTTCAGCAACATTGGTACAACAAATTTTAAAGGCATATTAAGCCTCAGAACTAAATACAAATGAGCCGCGTCACGACAAAACCAACATAGTGCGTTGGCGACCAGCATAGATCAAGACCAGCCTCCCCATCCGCGCAGTCTGATCAGGATCCATGCTGTTCGCTATCAGTTTCTCTACTTGAAATAGAGTTGGTAAGCGAACAGCATGGATCCTTATCAGACTTGTGGATGCGCAGGCTGGTCTGGATCCATGCTGGTCGCAAACGCACTATGTTGGTTTTGTCGTGACACGGCTCAAAATTTCCTCAGAGGAAGTTGCAAGCATGTGTTTCTTACAGAAATTAAAAGACTTACGTGATTAGTTGTGCATTATCATTGGGATGTTCCGGATTGATCCGAGACTTTCGGTAATGCAGGAAGTTTTTTAATGTTGTGTCGGCCTCCTGCGTTATTGTGAATAAATCTTGCCCGAGCCAGTTCTCTATACCTACCAGTGCTATATATATGTTGAATGGTTGATATAACTGTAATATAAGCATTAATATAGTTGAGGAAATTCTGTAACTCACTAGAAACAGTGTATTTATATCGTTATAATAATGCATGTTTGCAATGGCACTTTTCACTGAAAAACCATGAAGTTTATAAAATACACTTTATAATACTGCACATTTGTAATGTAGCATTTAATCGGATAATAGTGACTTTTATATAGTTTTATATATATAGCTGCTGTTAATGTTTGAAAAAATCTCTTTTTCTTTTTTTGTATGGTCTAAAAGGATGTTTGCTGTATTATAAATTTGCTATAAAAATTCCTGAAAGGTTATATGGCCATATATAAAAAAAATTTACAATATATGCAAATAACAATTTATATAGGGCCATATAACCCATCAAAAATGATAACTAATAATATAAGAAAGTTTTCTGTATTCAAAATTTGTTTCCAATATTCTTTATCGGTCATACAACCATTTACATATGGCCATATAACCTGTCAAAAATCTTATCACTAATACTAATATTAAACCTTTAGATTCTTAACAAGTAGAGCCAGAGAAATCTGAAGTGATGATAATTTTATGTATTTCTTAAATTCTCTTCATTTACATAACTTTTCATACCCTCGGCAGTACAGTCGGACATACAGTAGGTTCAAGTACTATAATTATGCTCTGGGGTATAAAAACCCATATATCTTTTAGCAACACTCAGTCATTATTCTGTAATCTGATTGGTTAACAAATTTAAGAATATTTACCCTGCTAACAATATTGATGATATTCTGAGTCTTGTAAATCTGGAATTGCTCATCCTTACCGTTGCTGCTAAACTGAAAACAATACATTACATTTACATTATTACACAGGTTTTCTTTTAACAATACATCTTAAAGGCCCATTATGCCTCAGAAATCAGTATATTTTTATTTCTGAAAAGTTTTTAATTTTTCGTGTCCTGTTAGAGCTACCAAAAAGTTACTAATTGGCCAATTATCTGAGTCATCTTTTGATAATTTGGGAAAATAAGTCCAAGCTGAATCGTCATGTTGTGAAATTTGACAAAATTTTGGGAAAAGCAGCAATTTTAATGTATAAACTAAATTATAGAGGATTAATAGAATTAAACAGAATTTAAAGAAAAGATATACAATTAACCGGATATCAAATAACTGATCAAAATTTTATGAACCAAAATATGCAGAAAAAGATACATAATGAGCCAAATATATAGAAAAGATATAAAATATACAGAAAAGATACAAAATGAACAAAAATATACAGAAAAGATACAAAATGAGCCAAATATATAGAAAAGATATAAAATATACAGAAAAGATACAAAATGAACAAAAATATACAGAAAAGATACAAAATGAGCCAAATATATAGAAAAGATATAAAATATACAGAAAAGATACAAAATGAACAAAAATATACAGAAAAGATACAAAATGAGCCAAAATATCAAAAGAAAAGATACATTATCATATACTCACAGTTCTATAATCATTTACTACATACATCTCAACATAACGAGTATTAATGTTAGCATCATATGGTTGCCTTACACTTCTTCTCATCTGTAAACATACAAAACATACAACATTATTCTAATTCGCTTCATATTATCATGTGTATAAGTTACAAATGTCATAAAACCTGAAGGCTGAATTTTTGTTACTTTCAATATTACTATTTTATAAGGCAAAAGAATGTTTTGAAAAGTAAAAAAACACTCAAACTTCAGGCATACAATTATGCATGATTTTCACCCACTTTTAAATAGACAGGTCACTTCAGGGTATATCATGATATGATAAAGGAATGATTCAGACGTCAGATTTGACATCAATAAACTTAAACAACATTATAGCATCAGATCAGCTGGCTATTTTGGTCTGCACTAATCACATGCGTAAAATAAGTTACAGCCAGAAGGATAATGTTAAAAAACATTAAAACCTTTTCAATTTAAAAACAGGCTTTATAGAGGGATCTTTTACTGCTCAAGTCATTTCCTTCCATGCATTATTTCAGGCACGAATGGGCACCTGAGTAGAACCATCGATGTTTCATTAGCTAGCTGGATAGCATCCTTACATGAAAGAATCTTATATCCCTGTCACGATTCGAACCCACAGAGGTGAAGGGCAAGTAGTTTGAAACCCATAGCAGTGAGGGGCAAATGGTTTGAAGTCATTTCTCGTAAAATGTTGTGTAATGACAATACTTACCCGTTTTATAACATTGTTTTTATAATCCATCTGTACAGATACATTGCCAGTTATAGATGGCCCTATATGATGAGCATCTGAAAGTCAAACATAATCGTCTTTGAATAATAAAATCAGCCTCATCTACCAATAATCAAATCTTGCTAAGAATTTTGTATAATTTCTTTTCCCTTTTTTTACAAATACTGTCCTATTTTTCAATGTGTAACAGTCCATTTCAGTAAGAAATTTACTATAAACTCTGCCAAATATCTTAAATGAACTTAACTGAATGAATAGCAAACAGTATAGATCATGATCAGATGTCAGTGATCACCTGTACACCATTCTACCTTCTGGAGCTAAGAGATGCAGTAAACCCATTTAGTTGCCTCTTACGATCACACAGGGATGAAAGGTGGCTGCAATTCTGATGCCTTAACCATTAAAGGCAACCCTTCAGCCACGATGGGATTCTAATCTGACACATTATGCTCTTACATGTAAGTCAACATCAAAGTCAGCTTTATTTTGCTTTTAACTCTTTTTTCTTTGCACTTTTTGTTATCTCCCTGTATGGTATATGATGTGTATAATACATATCTCTACAAAAAAGGGGGAAAAAAACTCTCAAACACTGTATAACTCTCTACATAGGACGGAAAAACCTCTCAAACACTGTACAAGGTTGGGAAAAACACACAAACAATGCATCTCTACACAGGAGAGGACAAACCTCTCAAACACTGTTACACACTACACAGGCGGGAAAAAAAACCTCTTTAACATTGTATAACTCTCTACACAGGAGGGAAAACCTCTTAAACACTTTATTACTCGCTACTCAGGAAGGAAACACCTCTTAAACACTGTATAACTCTCTACATAGGAGGAGAAAAACCTCTTAAACACTGTATAACTCTGTACATAGGAGGAGAAAAACCTCTTAAACACTGTATAACTCTCTACATAGGAGGAAAAACCTCTCAAACACTGTATAACTCTCTACACAGGAGGGTAAAACCTCTCAAACACTTTATTACTCGCTACTCAAGAAGGAAACACCTCTTAAACACAGTATAACTCTCTACATAGGAGAAAAACCTCTTTAACACTGTATAACTCTCTACATAGGAGGAAAACCTCTCAAACACTGTATAACTCTCTACACAGGATGGAAAAACCTTTCAAACACTGTATAACTCTCTACATAGGAGGAAAACCTCTCAAACACTGTATAACTCTCTACACAGGATGGAAAAACCTTTCAAACACTGTATAACTTTCTACATAGGAGGAAAACCTTTCAAAAACTGTATAACTCTCTACATAGGAGGTAAAACCTCTCAAACACTGTATAACTCTCTACACAGGAGGAAAAAGCTTTCAAACACTGTATAACTCTCTACATAGGAGGAAAACCTCTCAAACACTGTATAACTCTCTACACAGGAGGAAAACCCTTTCAAACACTGTATAACTCTCTACATAGGAGGAAAACCTTTCAAACACTGTATAACTCTCTACACAGGAGGAAAGACCTTTCAAACACTGTATAACTCTCTACATAGGAGGAAAACCTCTCAAACACTGTATAACTCTCTACACAGGAGGAAAAACCTTTTAAACACTGTATAACTCTCTACACAGGAGGAAAACCTTTCAAACACTGTATAACTCTCTACACAGGAGGAAAACCTTTCAAACACTGTATAACTCTCTACACAGGAGGAAAAAGCTCTCAAACACTTTATAACTCTCTACATTTGAGGAGAAAAGACTCTAAAACACTGTATAACTCTCAACACAGGATGGAAAAAAAACCTCTCAAACACTGTCAGTGAATTGAGCAACACAAATAAGAATACAAACCACAATTTGTTGGTGAAGAAAGGCTGTGCTCATCTTTATATAATCTATGGCTGAGTTTATCAACATCAAATGCAGGTTCTAAATGAAATACGCCACTGCTACTTCTTATATACCCACTGAAAATCAGTATTTAGATAGTATTACTGTGTGATAAATTTATATACAGGTATACATATTAAAATATATAAATTCTTTTTATTGTAAAAAAAATAATACCCAAAGATACATTTAATCTACTCAGAATCAAACTTAGCTCCAAGTATATACATGTAGTTTGATAGTAACTATATATGGTTTCAACGCAGTCAAATATGCATTACTATATTTTCTGTCAATAATTTCTGTAAAGTTCTGTGTACTTATTTACTGGTACAATAATTTTTTTTATAAGTGAAAACTGTCAAAAAACCTGGCTTTTTGGCAAAATTTTCTTTTAAAATACAAAAAGAAAATGTGTCATAATTTTGCCAAAAGTGAATAAAATCATAAAATCCTAATAAAAAAAAAACATGCACCTGGGCATTAGAGACTTAATAAAATCATTTTGTGCAAGATTGTTTGAAATCCCTCAAAAAATGTAAGTGATCTTTGCATACAGCAGCCTGCCAACTTTCACCAATCTGTTGACAACCTCAGTTTAAGATGCCTGTCTATCTATAAATACAGGTCATCAGTTGTACAATTATTTCTTTAATTCGCAGGAAATACCACAACTGTACATTTGCAGTTTGTAATATTTTCAGACATGTTGTTCACCCGAGCTTACGAAAATAACCCAATTTGCTTTCATTTTTTTTCAGAGAGCAGTCTTTTTCAAAACATGAGCTGTTCATAAGACAGAGGGCGCTGCTATTCTTAGTGCTTGACAGTAAGAAAATGTGCATCATTCTTTTAAAAGGTAACTCAAAGTTATGACACCTGTGCAATTATATTAGATTAATCACAGAGAACAATTATGTGAAAAATCAATATATTCCCTTCAGTGGTTTGGAAATATCAACTTGCAAGCAAAAAGTTAACCAAACTATGACTATGACACCAAAACCTGCCCCAGGAGTGGGTACAATAGCTCTCCCTATTCCTCAATTAAGGCAGTTGGGCAAAAAAATAAGCAGCTGTATGTCTGTAAATTATATAACACAACTTACCTTATACCATCACATGTACTAAGAGCAACCATAGAATCTGGTTCACCTCGTATATGACCATGGTAAAAACAATGTTTCTTTAACTGAAATACAGTATACAAGTTTACAAATATCAAACTGTCAACATGGTAAATGTTAAGTTCAGATATTGTAGTGCTTCTTTGACAAGGGAAGGGGCTTACCCCTTAAAGTTCCGGAAAAATAATGTAGTATTTTTTTGCAAAAGGGGTTAAAAATTGAATTTAAGGATGAAACTGCTGATTAGATGCCCCTACTATACAAGGAAAAAATACTTAACATTTAAATGAAGATTTGAATATTCAAGATGTGTTCTAATGTATTGAATCTTATCTGAATGTTCGTTTACATCCCTACAATTTTCTAAAAGTAGATATCTATGTCTAAGTTTCATTGGAACTTACCTTTTTATGGTGTGGCTTTTTTATTTTATAACTCTTGTCATCTGTATATCCTTTTTCTACATATGCTTTAGAAAACAGGTGTCTGAAAATAGATAGTGTTCTTGTTTAGTTTTACATGAGTAACCAAATTGGCAATGAAACTGATTCATTACCATAATGTCATATATTACTGATGAAAGCAAAAATATTGGCAACACAAAACTAGCCTTACAAATGTCAAGGAAACAATATTTTGTTTGTTTTTTGTTTGTTTGGTTTTACCAACATAATTTCAGTCATATGGTGCCGAAACATGAAAGATGATTTTGGCTAACCTTGGATGTTACAAACCTTAAGCAACACCAAGGGTCAAAACCACCTCACCTGTTTGAGTTTAAAGATTCTTACACTCCAGTAATTCAACCCATTAAAATAAGTTAATTGTCTCTTACAATCATGGGGATAAACGGTGGCTGCAATTAAGATGCCTTAACCCTTAAAGGCACCCCCCCCCCCCCCCCTAAACAATGTAAAAAAAACTTAGAACAAAAAAGAAAATCTATTTTTAGCCTCTATGACCTTGACCTATCTAATGACATAAAAACCCATTCAAGGTCAGAGATCCATGGACAGTGCTGACACACCAAAATACGTAAGAAATCAGTCAATTTAACAAGTTGAGAAACATAAGAAAGTTTTGCATACCAACAACAATAATTATGGAAAACATTTTGGGAAGTACTAAAGGCATTATACAATGAGACCGAAAATGAACCTCTTTTAAGTTAATTACTCATCTACTGTATAATTATATCAGTGTTTATCTTAACACTATTTGTGAGTACAATAGAAGACTAATTGTGATGAAAGATTTCATCATATGATTAAACAGGCAGCTAGTATGGATGTTCACTTAACCCAATTAAAGTCAGACAATAGTTAACAATAAAGTTTTGATGAAAACAATTGAATCACTTTCTTTACTATACTATAATACATGTAATTTTTTATAACCACTCGAGATCTGGCCGCCCCACCCCTTCGCTATAATACTACTACACTGTAGACACTGCATATTTCCTGCATTTACTTTATTATATTATTTACTAAATAAATCAATTATCATACAGTGTTATGTTCAACACAAGGTCAGTATAGCAGTTATATGACTCACACCTTACATGCGATATGAGGATATGAAATTCGAGCTTTACTACAAGTGTGTATATTTGTAGTGTAACTGTTTGACATGTGTTATAAACCAGTTAACATATTTGCCTTTCCCTGCTATATAAATACACTAAAATCATCAAACATTTGACTAACACTCTCCTTAAGGAGTCGTTCTTAAGCGCCAATAAGGTTTCCTCCAGAAGCCGACCATACAAAAAATGATTGTAATTTAATTAACTACACACAAAAAACAACCAATCAAAATCATTTTAACTTAGTAATGGTCCTGTAACAATCGTTTTATGGTGTAAATTGAATGAGTGCAGTGTGAAGTTCAATACTAATGGGTATTGGAAAACTTTCACATCCAGTTTATATAAAAATTTTGTTTAAAATTTGGGTTTCCAAACTTTTCATTTGGTCCTAGGGGGCAAATAGCTTTAACTTTTATCCTCTTTATTAAAACCACTTTGTACAAACCCAGTGTTGGGGTAAATTTTAAAAAGCAAGATGGTCATAATCTTTAAAAGGGCTCAAAAGTATAATAATCTTTAGAAAAAGAATTTAAACAAAAAATATAGCCCACAAGGCAAAAATTACCTTACATTGAGGAATTTGAGAAAAGTATGTGAATAAATTTTGGTTAATTTCAGCCCGGGGTTTGTCGTTAACACAAAACTTTATTCCAAGATTAATCTCCCACAAAATTTAACCCATCATTTTGAAAAAGGAGTTGTTTTTTAATTTTAATTTTTACCAAACCTTTAAAGTTGGGTTCAGTTTTACTAATTTTTGATCCCCTGAATACCCCTTTAACTACAAATAAGTTCCAAATTTCACAGGGGGAAAGTCCATTCACAAAACGGGGGGATAAGAGCTGTAAATTTTACAGATATTGCTATTGAAAAACACAAAAGTAATGCAGTTTTAAAATTTTTAAAAGAAATTTCAAAGGTGCGGCTGTTGGGCTTGGGTCATGGTCTTGAAAAATACTGGTAAGTTTTAAAAGAAAAAACTTTAAAAATTTTAAATTTGAATAAAGAATGCAAAATATAACCCGTTTTTTTTCTTTGTTCACAAGGTAAGCTCACAAAGGGGAATAATTTAGTAACAATTCTTAATAGAATTATAGAACTTGGTCAGTGAGTGACTACAAAGATATTTGTGTAGTTGCAAGCAAATACATTGTACCTACAGTAAACTCCACTTATAACAACATAGCTTTGAATAATAATCTGCTTATAATGATGCTGTTCCCTTGACCCAACTATTTCTTAGTTACCCTCAAATATAAAAAAATCGGGATATACAAAAAAAACTGTGAACCTAATTATTTTTGGGTTTTGTTTTTTGTGAAGATTTTTTTTTATATTCATCAAGGCATGTAATCTAAAAAAAGTCTGGACTTAGGGTCTAAAAATACCTAGTGTTTCTAAGTGTTTGACCAAAAGTTATTAAAACCTTTTTTGAATATTTACAATTTATAAAAGCAATTCACTAGTTTTTTAATCCAAAAAAACAGACTTTTAAAAACAAATTTTAGATAACAATTCTAACTCCTTTTCACTGTTTTATTCCCTTAAAAAAATGGGTCGTGTTTAATACCTATATACGCACAGCATAAAAAGCGATTGCTTAAACATTATACGTGTCATATATGACATCAATAAAACAAATGACGTCAGGAAAATTACTTTTACACTCAATGTAGTTTGACACATTTTTATCAATTTTATTTTTCATTAACGTGTAAGAATGTAAATAGATATATATTTTTCATACATTATAGTATAATAATCATTAATGCACTGTTTATTGTTCAAATGCTTTGTAATTAATCACTCAGGCCTATCGATCAGCCTTTATGATTATTTCCCTGCACTGTTGAACAACAACCATGCATTATTCTACAACTGATATCTATATCCTAAACAATCATGTAAAAGCTAGCAGACTAATTCAATTCAATTCAATTTCTGATACCATCCCGAAGGATGATTTTAATATTTATTTTGGACATTAGGGCCCTGAATATGAAATATTATAATATATACATATCTAAGACATGCTTCATGAAAATTGGAGTATCAATAGTTTTAACACTTTTATCAGATTTGTAATCTTACAGAGGTGGATTGAGACTGTAAGAGTTATTATCAGAGACTCTGGTCGTAAGAAGAAGAAATCTATTTACCATGCTGGGAGATAATCAGACAAGATATCTATATTCTGCTGGAATCTTGTAGAGAAAAACTGACATCTAATCATTACAAACTTTGAACTCCCATAGATAAATCTTTTACGCCATTATTAACTGTACATCATCTTAGCGCATATGGTACTTAATAATATAAAAATATTGACTTACACCAGACAAAACAGCTTTTTTTGTGTAGCTTTTAACCTGGTCTGCAGAAATATTTTTTTTACTATTTTTCTATAAAAACTGCAAACTACATGCTTATACTCTTACCTAGACAAAAAATTTTGATGTGCCAAAGCTGGATTCTGAGATATTTTTGTTCCAGATGGGTCAGAATCTAGGAGAGATATTTGCCCATACACAAATTAGCACAATATGTCAACGCATAGTACAATTAGTTGGACTAACTGAGTACCCTGCTGGAACCTAATGGGGTAAACCTTTGCTACCAGTATAGATGCTTTCCACATAGCAATCATTACCTCCCATGGCCGCCATTTTTGGGGTCCTCCGGTGTTACAAACTTAAAGCAACACCCAGGGTAAAAAACGCTTCACCGGCTTGAGCTAAGAAATGGCCATAGACTCCAGTAGTTTGAACCCCTTTAGTCACATCTTACAATAAGGCAGGGTTTAAAAGGTGGCTACAATTCTGATGACTCAACTCGTAAAGGCAACCCCTCCACCACAAGGGGCCACAAATTCATTGAAAAGCTTCAGTTGTTTTAGGGCTAAAATCATTTTATACCATTCTTGAACATTTAATATCTATTAGTATAATTTATTTACAGAAGCCCTCTTATCTCATTCACATGCTCCAGAAAAAATTTACTTCAGTTTTAGACAAATCATGTATTAGGTGTGGCTTATCAGTAACATGCAAGTGTTTAGACTGAAGATATTGAAATCAATGCCATTATAGAACAATACAGACAATTGTACTGGATTCTCACATTCTCTGACACTCATTACATGTAGGTTAAATAAGATCATTAGATTTGAAATACTGCAAAATCATTATTATTTGTAGGGAACTAATTTTCGTGGTTTTTGTGGATATATCAATCCATGAATTTAAGATTCAACGAAATTTCTTTTCGTCTGCTGTAAGATTATTTTGCATCACATTATTAATTTTACATTTTTACTTTTTGGGAAAAAAAACAGTCCATGAATTTAAAAATCCATGAAAAAATGTTCTTTGTGACAAAACCACGAAATTTCATGCCCACGAAATTAAGTGAATTAACAGTAAGTGTCTCTATTAATGAAAAATATTCGAAATACTGACTGATACAAACCTGTTGCACATGGAACAGAGAAAGAGTGGTAAATCATGCTATGATGTGATATTATATATAATTGTTACATAATAATACAGTACCTGTTTCTGATCAAGTCTATAACAAAGTTATCTTGTAGTGTATGGAACTTTATTGTTACATCACTATGGTGGCCAGTCTGAAATAGAAAGAAAAAAACAAAGTGAATTTAAAAACAACAATAATGTTTATTAAATATTAATGTCATCACAAGTACTAACTGATTTTAACACATGGCTAAAATATGAGTGGTAGTATTGATTTTAATGGCAAATGAGTGGCACAATTTGGATTGTTTATAAGTGGCATAATTCATGAGTGGTAGTATTGATTTTAATGGCAAATGAGTGGCACCATTTGGATTGTTTATAAGTGGCATAATTCATGAGTGGTAGTATTGATTTTAATGGCAAATGAGTGGCACCATTTGGATTGTTTATGAGTGGCATAATACATGAGTGGTATTATTGGCTTTAATGGCAAATGAGTGGCACAATTTGGATTGTTTATGAGTGGCATAATTCATGAGTGGTATTTTAGGCTTTAATGTCAAATGAGTGGCACTGGTATTTGGATAGCTTATGAGTGGCATAATTCATATTACTAATATTTTGAATGACATGAGAATTAATTATTGGATAACATACATGTATGAGTGATATGGCTTGTTGGCGTCATTATCTAAGATTAAAACTTTTTGAGTAGAATTATTTGAATTGCTTATGACTCATAATGTCACTCATAAGTTATGAGTGACATTATCAAATGGCATTATATGGCATTATGTCAATGGCATTATGAATGGCATTGTAAGGCAGTTTGTGACTGGCATTATTTACATGACATTATAAATGAAATTATTAAAGGGGCATCACAAGTGACATTATTAAAATGGTACTATGAGTGGCATCATTTAAATGGCTTTAAAAGTCACATTAATAAATTTTGATGACCTGTGAGAGGCATTATTAACCACAAATGGCATCATGAAGGGTATTGTGTGAAATATATTATAAATGGCATTATTTAGAATGGCATTATAACAGGCAATGGCATAATGAGTATATCATTATATGAGAGGGCATTATTTACAATTCTTATGAGTGGCATTCATTGAAGTGTTTATGAGTTGCATTGTTTGAACAGCTAAAAAGTGGCATTTTTTAACAGAATTATATTTGATAGAAACTGTCAAGAATTACAGATCATGGCCAGCCATTCCCCTCAAAGGCAAGGGCAAGCCATTATTGCTCTACTATTATTAAAACAGCATTCAAAGGGTTGAAACAGTCATGTATATTCAGTTCTACCTCTATTTCTATCTTTAAGAAAAGGCTGATAAATATGCATATAATTATAGTGCTTACAAATGCTTAATGTTTAATTACATTTCGAGGGTTGACCGCAAAACTGCATTAACGTATATAGAAATAAAGACAGACTTACAGCAGTTATGCAGTCAACCCTCATAATGTAGCATTAAATCTTTACAAAAATGGAAACTTTTCAGAGATAACATTCAATGACCATTTACCAGTGCTATTCATAACCACTTATCATTCCAACATTTAAACTAGAACTATCACTAAATGTGATTAATACCCCCACAAGACTGCTTCGGAAATGAGGATGTTACTAGTAACAGAATACCTTGTAAAAGAATTGAAATATAGAGTTATGGATGTGGGCAATTAAAAATAGTTGTGGTTCTTGTATTTTTGCATTTCCTTTCAATGTGGTTGGCCATTGATGAAGTTTTATTGAATTACTCTGTAAAAAGTCCAGAAAGACAAAGAAAAGGAACAAAGGGCAGTAACTCTATAAATACTGAAGATGGAGTTATAGTTCTTGTGCACTGCACTTCCTCTTTTTGTGCTTGACCATTGTATGAAGTTGTTTTGAATTTCAACCAGTATGTTTTAAGTTATGCTCCAGACAAGGAAAAGTATCAAAGGGCAGTAACTCTGTATTTTGTTATGGCTCTTATGCACTGCACTTCCTTTTAATGTCCTTGACAACTGTATGAAGTTGTATTGAATTCCAAACAATAGTTTTCAAGTTATGCTCTGGACAAGGAAAAGTAACAAAGGGCAATAACTCTGTAATTTGTCAAGATGGAGTTATGGTTCTTGTGCACTGCACTTCCTCTCAATGTGCTTAACCATTGTATGAAGTTATATTGAATTCCAACCATTAGTCTTCAAGTTATGCTCCGTCAAAAAAAAGCAATGGAAAAGTAACAAAGGGCAGTAACTTTGTAATTAGTCAAGATGGAGTTATGGTTCTTGTGCACTGCACTTCCTCTCAATGTGCTTGACCATTATATGACGTTATAATGAATTCCAACAATTAGTCTTCAAGTTATTCTCCGGACAAAAGAAAGCAATGGAAAAGTAACAAAGGGCAATAACTCTGTAATTACTTTAGATAGAGTTATGGTTCTTATGCACTGCACTTCCCCTTACTGTGTTTGACAATTGTATGAAGTTGTTTTGAATTCCAACTAGTAATTTTTAAGTTATGCCCCGGACAAGGAAAAGTAACAAAGGGCAATAACTCTGTAATTAGTCAAGATAGAGTTATGGTTCTTGTGCACTGCACTTCCTCTCAATGTGCTTGACCATTGTATGTAGTTATATTGAATTCCAACAATTAGTCTTCAAGTTATGGTCCGGACAAAAGAAAGCAATGGAAAAGTAACAAAGGGCAATAACTCTGTAATTACTTTAGATAGGGTTATGGTTCTTGTGCACTGCACTTCCCCTAATTGTGTTTGACAATTGTATGAAGTTGTTTTGAATTCCAACCAGTAGTTTTCAAGTTATGCCCCGGACAAGGAAAGTAACAAGAGCTGTCAGAAGGACAGCGCGCTCGACTTTTTTAGTGCTTGCCTATAAAACAAAACTTTGACAGTTAAGGGCACACAAGACTTTAACTAGGAATTTCTAAGTACAAATCAAGAAACATTTTCACAGAGTTATCTTCTCTTGCTTACAGATAGGTCTCATGATGGCACATAAGAACTCTCCAACTTCCAAAGTAATATCTCAAATGGTTAGGTCAACAAGTGGACAAGAATGAAAATTTTAACTGAGTTTCTAAGTCAAAAAGGGCCATAATTCAAATAAAATCCTTAACAGAATTACCTTCTCCTGCCCATGTTTGGGACCATGATGGTAAACAAGTATTCCAACTTTCAATTTAATATCTCAACCAGTTCAGTCAAAAAGTTGACTGGTACAAAAAACTTAACCAAGATTCTAAGTCGATAAAAGGCCTTAATTTTTAAAACAAATCCCTGACAGAGTTACCTTCTCTTGCGTACAGATGGGGGTAATGATGTGAAATAGCATTAAAAGTTTCAAAGCAATATCTCAAAGGGTTAAGGCAATAAGTGGATTTTACCCATATTCAATGTATTTTCTAAGTCAAAAAGGGGCATAATTCTGTCAAAAACCTTGACAGAGTTATGTCCTCTTGTCTGTTGATGAAGGTCGTGATGGTAAACAAGTATGGTCAGTTTCAAAGCAATACCTCCAATGGTTTTGAAATAAAGTGAGGTGGTACAAAAAACTTAACCAAGCTCAATACACTTTCTAAGTCAAAAAAGGGCCATAATTCTGTCAAAAACCTTGACAGAGTTATGTACTCTTGTCTGTAGATGGAGGTTATGATGGTGAACAAGTATGGTAAGTTTCAAAGCCATACTTGTAATACTTCTGAAATAAAGTGGGGTGGTACGAAAAACTTAACCAAGGTGTGACGCCGACGCCGACGCCGGGGCGAGTAGGATAGCTCCCCTTTTCATAGAAAAGTCGAGCTAACAAAGGGCAATAACTCTGTAATTAGTCAAGATAGAGTTATGGTTCTTGTGCACTGCACTTCCTCTCAATGTGCTTGACCATTGTATGTAGTTATATTGAATTCCAACCATTAGTCTTCAAGTTATGGTCCCGACAAAGAAAATGCAACGGACGTCTGGACCGACCGACCGCCCGACCGACCGACCGACCACCGGGTGACTCCTATATACCCCACCAAACTTCGTTTTTGGGGGTATAATGAACTGTCCAGAAATTTATCAAACTATCAAAGACAGGTTAATAGAAATAAGGATAAATGTTCAGCTTTTCAAATGAAATGATTTCTGCACTTCCTTTATAAAGTTATCAGTTAATAACAATCAATTTTAATGCCAGCAGCTATTTATAGTAACATCAGAAATAAAGTGGGGTGGTACGAAAAACTTAACCAAGGTGTGACGCCGACGCCGACGCCGGGGCGAGTAGGATAGCTCCCCTTTTCATAGAAAAGTCGAGCTAACAAAGGGCAATAACTCTGTAATTAGTCAAGATAGAGTTATGGTTCTTGTGCACTGCACTTCCTCTCAATGTGCTTGACCATTGTATGTAGTTATATTGAATTCCAACCATTAGTCTTCAAGTTATGGTCCCGACAAAGAAAATGCAACGGACGTCTGGACCGACCGACCGCCCGACCGACCGACCACCGGGTGACTCCTATATACCCCACCAAACTTCGTTTTTGGGGGTATAATGAACTGTCCAGAAATTTATCAAACTATCAAAGACAGGTTAATAGAAATAAGGATAAATGTTCAGCTTTTCAAATGAAATGATTTCTGCACTTCCTTTATAAAGTTATCAGTTAATAACAATCAATTTTAATGCCAGCAGCTATTTATAGTAACATCATAAAGTTTAAACATCTAATATGATTCAGTGGTAAAATAACAGCTGTCTAACCTGTTCAATTTATACATTTTATGTTTTCAGTATAATTATGTAATTTATACAATTGTTCATCTCATAATTTATTAATTTATCTTTATAACAATTATTCTTTGTGTAGCTGCATACAATGTATTTTATCTAATTGAAATATTTTACCACATTTCTTTAATAAAAGTTAAATGAATACATCTTTTTCAGCATGCTTTTAACTTCAAGTCTGACTCCTATTTCACAGGATGGCCATTTCAGCAATTTGCTAACATTTGATTAGTTTGGTTACAGAAAGTTTCTTTAATTACAGGATATCTTGTCAATGCATAATGCAGAAAATGCTATTTTGATACAATTTGTATGAAATCAGAAAATCATACAGATTTAGCCAAGA